TGTATATTCTAGTTGTAAGTCCTTCTAGTTCTTCTATGTGAGCTGCCACCACAGCACGGCTACTGACAGACGAGTGGGTGTGCTTCTGTCCCCGGGAACTGAACCTGGGCTGCTGAAGTGGAGCACGCTAAACTTTAACCTCTGGGCCATCGGGGCAGGCTCTCTGATTCTTTTCTGTATTGCTTAGTTTGATTTTCAAACTTGTCTTCTGAAGTGAATAGTTATTTTCATTGAGTGTTAGGCATTGTTTTTGAAAAATTATAATTTCAGGCCTGGGAGGATACTTTCTTCAGAGATAATTTGCATTAGCTTTCAGAACACTAAGATCCTCCTAATACAGTCAACAGTAGGAATGATCTGGTCTTTGGTCTCTGTGAATACTGATCCATTCCTTTTTTTTTTTTTGAGAAAGATTAGCCCTGAGCTAACATCTGCCACCAGCCTTCCTCTTTTTGCTGAGGAAGGCTGGCCCTGAGCTAACGTTCATGCCCATCTTCCTCTACTTTCTATATGGGACACCTACCACAGCATGGCTTGCCAAGTGGTGCCGTGTCTGCACCCAGGATCTGAACCAGCAAACCCCAGGCCACTGAAGCAGAACATGCGCACTTAACCACTGTGCCACTGGACCAGCCCCTGATCCATTTCTTTTCACTCTTACTTCTTGAGTGTTGCCCTTTGGGATCTCAAACCAAAGCCTTAGAAACTATTCTCTTTGGGCTCTGAATTCCAGTTTTTATCTTCTTTCAGCACTGTGGGACTGTCGGAAGGACTCATCACCTTCCCCTTTTTACAGCTGCCTCTGTCAGGATAGGTGGAAGTCATGAGGGGAGAAATGGATCTAAATACAGGTCCCTTCTCTTTACAGCTTTACTTTTTCAGCATCTTGGCTTTGTAATTTTTTACTACCTTGTTAGTTCTCTGATGCCTTTAAAGAGACTTTTAAAAGATTTTTTTAATTATCTTTACTACTTTAACAACTATCTTTACTAGTTATCCTTAGAGGAAGATTGGTCCTAGTCCACCATCATTGAAAACAGAACTCTTGCAGAAGCTTATTTTGCCCTATCAGATGCTTGTGGCATATATACTTTTTAAATCATGTATTTATTTTTTTTTCTGCTTTTATCTTGTTTTTTTTCACTTTTTTTAATGTGGTAAAAGACATATAACATAACATTTCCCATCCTAACCTTTCTTTTTTTGGTGAGGAATATTGGCCCTGAGCTAACATCTGTTGCCAATCTTCCTCTTTTTGCTTGAGCTTAAACACTATACCACCAGGCCGGCCCCATCATCCTAACCATTTTTAACTGTGCGGTTCAGTGGTGTTAAATACATACACATTGTTATGCAACTATCACCTCTATCCATCTGCATAACTCTTCATCTTGTAGAACTGAAACTCTGTATCCATTAAACAGTAACTCCCCATTCTCCCATCCCCTCAGCTCCGGTCAACCACCATTCTACTTGCTGTCTGTGTAATTTTGACTACTCTAACTACCACATATAAGTGGAACCATATAGTGTTTGTCTTTTGGACACTGAATTATTTAACTTAGCATACTGTCCTCAAGGTTCATCCATATTGTAAAATATTGCAGAGTATCCTTCCTTTTTAAGGCCAAATAATATTCCATTGTATGGGGCCGGCTCTGTGGCCGAGTGGTTAAGTTTGCGTGCTCTGCTGTGGCGATCCAGGGTTCGGATCCTGGGCACGGACATGGCACTGCTCGTCAGACCACGTTGAGGCAGCGTCCCACATACCACAACTAGAAGGACATGCAACTAAGATATACAGCTGTGTACAGGGGGGGTTTGGGGAGATAAAGCAGAAAAAAAAATTCCATTGTATGCATATATCATATTTTGCTTATCTGTTTATCCACTGAGGGACCTTTGGGTTGCTTCCATGTTTTAGCTATTGTGAATAATGCTGTTATGAATATGAGTATACAGATATCTCTTCAAGACCCTGCTTTCAGTTCTTCTGGGTATATATCCAGAAGTGGAATTGCAGGATCATATGATAATTCTATTTTTAATTTTTTGAGGAACTCTTATACTATTTTCCATAGCACTGGCTGCATGATTTTACATTCCCATCAGCAACATACAAGAGTTCCAGTTTCTCCACATTCTTGCCGACACTTGCTGTTTAATTTTTTTTGATAGTAGCCATCCTAATGGGTATGAGGTGTTATCTCATTGTAGTTTTGTTTTGTATTTCCCTAATGGTTAGTGATGTTGAGCATCTTGTCATGAGGTTATTGTCCATTCATATATCTTCTTTGGAGAAATATCTATTTGAATCTTTCGCCCATTTTTGAATTGGTTGATTTTTTTTTAATGTTGAGTTTTAGGAGTTCTCTGTATATTACTCCCTTGTCAGATATATGATTTGCAGATATTTTCTTCCATTCTGTGAGTTGCCTTTTTACTTCTGTTGATGGTGTCTTTTGATGCACAAAATTTTTAATTTTTATCGAGTCTACTTTGTCTACTTTTTCTTTTGTTGCCTGTACTTCTTGTGTCATATCTGAGAAGTCATTACCAAATCCAATGTCATGAAGCTTTTGTCATATGTTTTCTTCTAAGGATTTTATTATTTTAGGGCTTGCTCTTAAGTCTTTGATCCATTTTGAGTTAATTTTTGTATATGGTGTAAAGTAAGGGTCCAATTTTGCATATGGATATCCAATTTTCCCAGCACCATTTTTTGAAAAGACTATCGTTTACCCATTGAATGATCTTGGCACCCTTGTCAAAAATCATTTGACCATATATGTGAGGATATTTCTGGGCTGTGTATTCTGTTCCAATGGTGTATAAGTCTATCTGTATGCCAGTACCACACTGTTTGGATTATTGTCACTTTGTGCTAAGAAATAAAATCAAGAAGTGTGAGTTTGTTCTTTGTCAAGGTTGTTTTGGCTGTTTGATGTCCCTTTAGATTCCATATGAATTTTAGGATGGGTTTTTCTATTTCTGCAAAAAAACATCATGAGATTTTGATAGAGACTGCATTGAATCTATAGATTGCTGTGGGTAGTATTGACATTTTTAACAATAATAAGTTCTCTGATCTATGAACATGATGTGTTTCCATTTATTTATGTCTTTTTAAATCAGCAGTGTTTTTTAGTTTTCATTGTACAGTCTTTCACTTCCTTGGTTAAGTTAATTCCTAAATATTTTGTTCTTTGTGATGCTATTCTAAGCGAAATGTTTTTCATGCTTTCCTTTTCAGGTTATTCATTGTTTGTATATAGGAACGCAACTGATTTTTGTGTGTTGACTTTGTGTCCTGCTACTTTGCTGAATTCATTTATTGGTTCTAATAATTTTGTGTGTGTGGAATCTTTACTATTCTACATATAAAATCATATCATCTGCAAACAGATTATTTTACTTCCTCCTTTCCAATTGGATGTTTTTTGTTTCTTTTTCTTGCCTAACTGCTCTGGCTACAACTTTCAGTACTTTGTTGAATAGAAGCAATAAAAGCAACCATCCTTGCCTTATTCCTGTTCTTAGAGGAGAAGCTTTCAGTCTTTGACCGTTGAGCATGATGTTTGCTGTGGATTTTTCAAAAATACATGGCTTTTATTATGTTGAGGTAGTTTCCTCAGTTGCCAGTTAAGTCCCCTGGAAGTTACTTCAGCCAGGTGGGAAGGGGCTTGCAACAGTGGGGGCTGGGGCAAGAGCAATGGCTGCCTGCCTCTTTCTCTGCACCTCTGTGATCAGGAGCAGCAGTCAGCGATCAGAGGGCAAATCCCTGATGTTCCAAGGACAGGGTCCTTTTTGCCCACTCTGGTTCTGTTAAGCTGTTAGCAGGCTGTTCTAGGAACATGTGCACAGCTACCTACCCCGTGGCTAGGGTTGGGGGATGGGTGATTGCTACTATGCTAGTGGCTGAAATAGACTGAAATTAACCAACATTAACTGCAACTTACTGTCCTAGTCTTCCCCTGAGAGTTGGGAGCCTTCATTAGACTGAGAGATCCGAAATAGTTACATCAGACCAGTTCTACCAGTGCAATTGTTTTGTAGGTATGGAGATGGATTCCTGGTGCTTCCTACTCTGCCATCTTCCCTGATTCCTCCACAGAGTCTTAGTTTTACCTCTCCTTTACACTTTCTTTTCTCAAAGATGTCATGCTAGTCTGACTTCTTACATTAAAAAGTCTGTTAACTTAGTTAATTTTTCCTGTTCTTTTAGCATCTGCTAGATTTTAAGATAGAAACTATTTTTTAATGTCACAATGTCTCATAAAATTAATAGAGTTTGTTTTATTATGCCAAGAAAAAGACTGGTGATGTTAGATAGAGGAAATGTTAACATTTTATGTGTCATTCTTCAGTCTTATAAAAATGAGGACTATATTTTAATTAAACACCACGTGCTTATTGACCCTCTACTTTAAACAAGACGGTATTATGTCTGTAGTATGTGTAGAAGCTGGCTCTGCGATCAAGACCTTTTAACATAGTTGAGAAGATGTATCAGATCTAGAAAGGGATGCATTAGATCTAAAAAGGGAACTAAAAGCAAAGTGAAAACTATAAAACTACACGTGTTATAATGGTAGCAACATCTAAAAAAAGCAAACTAAGAATCTGCATAGGAAGATAAAAACAAACCTGAAAATAATCCAAAATGTAAGCAGTTGCTAATGTTTGGATTGTAAGAATATTTGTGATTTTTTTTCTTTTGTTTCTGCTTTGTGATATTTTCCACTTTTCTATAATAAATAAATGCTAAGCAGCATGTATTTCTTAAACATTCTTTTTATAGTAGTTAAGTGGTCCTTGAGGTGTGTTCCACATTCTCAGTGGGAAAGCAGTTATGTAACCGTGTTGATTTTAAGTTTTAATAAATGTCATTTGTATTTCCTTTACGAAGAATGTTTTCAAAATTCAACTGGAATACATGAACATACATTTTTCTCACTATTCATATGTAATAAATATACGGATATTCTTTTTTCTTACAGAAATCTGTCTAATGTGGAAGAAATTGGAACGTGTTCATACATTAATTATGTCATCACTATGACAACACTCTATATTCAGCAAGTACGTGTGAATTAATGTATTCCTTTTTGTTGCTTTACTGAGAATAACTAGGTTTTCCTTTTAAATATTATGGTAAAGTTAAATGTTTTCATAGGAAGTAATAGTTCAGAGGAGAAAATTATCATTGGGTACTATATATTTCAGGCATCTTATATACATATTATCTAAAAATAGAGAAGCAATTATTAATATATTTCGTTATTTTAATTAAAAGTTAAAGTGTGTCACGAATGACTTTTTAAAATGACACAATGTGCCGTTTTCTGACACAATGTGTTTATTCATCAAATATCCCTCTTATTGGAAACATCTTCTCCTTTGGAAAGATGTGTGGCTGTCCACTGGAAACTCTTCCTGGGAAGCGTTGAAAATTGGAGAGGTTTTATCCAGTCCTTATGATTAACCGACTCTCTTTAGACTCAAATGGCACTTAGGCTTATTTGAATGAAAATGATTTATTATTAGATGATGAATGAAACATGTAGTCTTTTAGTGATGTAGGTAAGGATGTTACACAGTTTAATATTTTTAAATAAACGTAATTTTATGTTTAACTTTATTCTCAGTTAAAAAGCAAAAAAAAAGAGAAAGAATTGGCAGATCAGACATCTATTGAAGAATTTGTGATCCATGCGTTGGCATTTTGTGAAAGTTTATATGATCCGTATCGAAATTGGAGGCATAGAATTTCAGGGTATGTCTTGTACATCATAATGTTCATTTGAAACCTGAATGTCACAGTAAATGCAGTTCTGCAAAGCAGGTCTTATTGTCTGTGAAAGCAATTGGTAAGATGTGTATAAAAGACCCCGTCTCTATCCTGAGATAGAGAACTATGTTGGAGGTAATGAATTAGTGATAAATACCAATTCCAGATAATAATTTACCCTGGACTTTTATTTTGTAATACAATTGAATGCTAATAATCTGATAGGAAAATTTCAAAGCATAGTAGCATTAAGTAGAGTGTACATATTTTTCAAGAAAAGTTCTCTTTTATTAAAGCATATTTCATAATTTGAAAATTATTTTTAACAATATTTTGTCTATTTATTTTTAATTGTGAGGCTTGTGTCACTCAGGAAAGCAGGAACCATACTAGATATTTAAAGAGAGAGAATATAGCACAAGGAAATTGTTAATTAGGAATTAGAGAACTCAGCAAAAGGGAGACATTGATGTAATGCAGAGATAGTGACTTCAGGAAGCAGCTACTTCCTGGGGCTGTGGGAACAAAGGGAAGAGATTGGGGTTATCAGAGACTACAAGCTTGGAGAAGAGGCTTTGCAGTGCTGGGGCTCAGGCCTCTGGGGAAGGAGAGCTGCTTAGCCAGTTCTGGTATCGCCGAGCAGCCACGAAGAGGCTCGTTCTGGGACTGCCAAAAAGACGCTGAAGACAAGAACCAACTGCAGACGCTACAGTTGAGAACTGCAGGCTGGTAGAAAATAAGGAATCAGTTCCTTTTTCACTCTTTCAACCGTCCAAACTCCGTTTAGTACCTGCTATTGGTGAACCCAACAGCCGGAAGAAGGGAAATGTGGTTTGTAGAGTGCCTGTCCCAGCATCACAAAACAGATCCGATATCAGATGATGGGTTTGGAGCTTAGTGACAGTGGCATAATTACCAGTACAGAGCTCAAAGAGAATTTTAAACTCATATGTCTTGCCTCCCTATGGTCACAGAATAGGAAGAGTTTTGTATCATCACCCACAATCAGACCTCTTTTTTAGGTCTCCCAAATTTGCTATATTTTCAGTCCTAAGGTTTTTCCATTTTCATTTTCAATTTAGCCTGACCCACTTACAAACAACTTTTGCAAGAGCTTGACCTTATTTCCAGATAAAAAGTTTAGGAAAAATAGTTATGTCCTAGGTGTAATGGGAGCACAAAAAAGAAGCACAGAAAAATTGACCAGGGGACAAGAACTTAGAAAACCGAGATGCAAACAGACATTTTGCAACCCTCTCAGAAACTTGTTGATATGTATTCCCATCTGCTAAGTGCTAGATGCTTGACCCAAATATCGTAATAGTGGAGCAACCAAGTATGTTATGTTCTAAAAATGGTACATTTTTAGCTGTTCTATCTTAACTTGTTGAAAATATTCAGTGTAAACTACTTATGCTTTAATATTTGTGGTATGTATGATAGTTTGCACCCCTTTTATTTATGTTAGCATATTAGATTTAACCACCACTATAATGGAAATTATAACATCTAATACAGAGCCTTTAGAATAATTCGCTAATCACAAATTGCAGGAATACCTTTTCGTTATGTTAACCAAGTCAGAGTGTTTACTGTTGTTTGTAGCACAAGGTGTTTGGATAGGGTGTATCCAATCTGTTAGTTAATATCAGAATTTCTAATGTGAAAGGCGTAAATAATCTCATGGAAAAAACTAACTGAAAGCCAAATAAAATCAATTAGAAATCAATTTTTCTACCACATGACTGAATTTTTTTTAAAGGCGTGACTGAATTTTTTATTTGAAACTCCAGTGATATTGTGTTTTTGTAAAGACAAAAAATCTTTGATAATGGTCTTAATTAAATAGGAAAATCCAATAGTGTTCTAGGATGTTATGTTTGAAATTAAAATAAATACAGAGAGTATGATAATTCTTATGCCTTCTACACAATGGAAATAGGCATACATTTGGAAGGCAGTCCAGGAACAAATGGTCTCTAATATGATTTCTCCCAAATCCGAATGTTAGATCAGTGTCTTAGAACTCTTTGTTCTATGGTTACTGACTTCAGCTGTGCCTTTCCTATTTGGCTTATTCTACAGTCAGTTGGCTTTTCTTTTCTTTCTAGCTTTGAATAATTATAAGGAAAGTAATTTTAATATCTCAATTATAGTTGTTAAGGAGAAGCCATCTTTGGTACCAGCCCGGTCGCGTAGTGGTTAAGTTTGTGCACTCTTTTTTGGTGATCCAGGGTTGATGGGTTTGGATCTGGGGCACAGACCTAGCATTGCTCGTCCAGCCACGCTGTGGCAGCGTCCCACATGAAATGGAGGTAGATAGGCACAAATGTTTGCTCAGTGACAAACTTCCTCAAGCAAAAAGAGGAAGATTGGCAACAGATGTTAGCTCAGGGCCAATCTTCCTCACAAAAAAAACGAGGAGGCATCTTAAACCCATGCTTTATCAGTAGATCATATTTAGATGTGTGGAATTTCTATGTGGCTGTTCTTCAAATATTTTCCATTTTTGTTGGTTTTATCTAACAATGTTAAGAGCTTTTTCAGGGCATGAAAAAAATGTGATTTTTAAAATTTTTCAGCAGTCCACCAGTTGATGTATCATTGTAACAGTAGCCTTTATTCCTCAATCCTTAGACTGCCATGCCTATCTAAGAGACTCATTTTGTGTTGAATTGAAATGTTCTTGGTAAAAGCACGTGCTATTTGTGTTGGCCTTGCCAAAGTCTGTAGAAATATTTCAGCCATCAAAAGGATTGGAATTGTCATTAAAAACAAAACTAATCCCATTCCACTGGATCTATATCCTTAAGGTGGAAGAAGCCAGTGGTATAGACTCTTTGTGTGCAGGTAAAATTTCAGAAGGTGGCACGGAGTAGCCTGATTTCTCCTGACTTTCACTTGCACTGTAGTGGTAAGCTGTCCTACCTTAGGGGTCAGATTACAGAGCTGCTGAGCAAGCTCTTTGACAGACTGGGAATTTTAAATGGCTAGTTCCTTTTTCTGTTTCCAGTTGTTTGGCGACTTAACCTGTCTGCTGTGTTTCACCGTTAAGCATTGTAAATTTTTTTGCTTAATTCAAAAGAAGAAATCCTTTCATTGGTGAGTATTTAAGTTTTCGGTTAGACTTCTTTTTCAAGATTATGCCAGTCCTGGAGATGTGTTATTCAGTACACAAATCAAAAATAAAATATTAAATTTATTTTATAGTTTCTGTAATTGTGCCATCTTTACTTTCCTGTGTTATAATTTGGTATTAACTTCTTTTTAATGATAGACGAATCCTTAGTACTGTGGAAAAGAGCAGACAGAAATATAAACCAGCTTCTCTCACAGTGGAGTTCGTCCCTTTCTTTTATCGTAAGTAACAGCTCTGATTTACTTTGATTTTGATGTTACTTCTGATTATTCTTTATTCTTATTCCAGTTCTAACCTTGATTCAGCTTTGTGTATTTATAAGATAAAGATGTTAAGAACCCGATCACTGGAGTACTTGATTCAAGTTTTGTTGTGATTATTGTTCTTGGTTTTATTTTATTTACTGTTCTCAAAGCGTTTTTCTCTTAAAAGAGCTAAATATTTTAAAGATGGTAGTATATTTTAGAACTTCAGAGTTTTTGCTAATAATGAACTTAAGAGAATTGGCCACCACCGTACATGTGACCTATATGGACTCTAGTTTTATTTCTTAAAAAAATGATTATACTGTATTCCAAGAATATAGAAAGTTTTGCAGAATATAAAAGGAATACCTTGTTTCTCACTCAAATTTGTCACATCTTAACATTTTGCCATATTTGCTTCAGTTCTCTTTCCTTTTTTCCCCTAAGAAATAAGACAGAAATAGTGCTTTGTTTGTTGCTTGGTGAAGATGATTGCAGTGCCCCCTCTGCTTGACCACCAGAAGTGATGTGGCTTCACTTGTTCACACAGGCAGGTCCCGCCTGGAACTGGGCTCACTTGGAGGGTGCAGGACAAGAAACCCAGTGTGCCAGTAGAACAGTGCAGGGTTTCTCTCCAGTGGGAGATCTCACAACATTCCAAGGGCTGTTCTTGGGTTCTCCAAGTGAGAGAGTGAGACCAAATTGGCGGGTGTGTGGGCCACCCCGGCTGTGAAGCACAGTAGCCTGTAGGAGCCATTGCGCGTGTAGGAGTCCACGAATGTGACTTCCAGATCCTGGGAAGGGAGGTGCCTAAGTTACAAGTTAGACTGCAGTCAGGGAATCCCAAGGTTATGCATTCCCATCGGGTATTGATAGTCCTTCATAGCTCTCCTAGTCCACAGCAAGGACCATTTTTACTGTAAGTGCCGTTGCCTAGTCCACTGATTGTCCACATTTGTCAGATTTCCAGTGATATAATTCTTCGTTTGTTTTCCTATAGAGAAGGAGAGAGTTTTGCCCACCCTTTGTTAACCATTGCTCACAGTAGTGATAGTGAGATCTTCCAATTATCAAAATGATTTTCCTTTTGCAATTTTGCTAGTTACCCTCAGGATGGTACTTAGGCACGGTGTGAATATCTTGTTTTTCAACATCTTTTCATCTAATGTTTTAGCATCTGTTGATGATCCTTGGTTGAATCAGTTATTTCATTGAGGTCTGCAGAATTATGGTTTTCTAATTCTCTTATCCTTTTACATCTATCACTTATTGTATTCTCTAAAAAAGAATTTTCCCTCATCAACTGGGGGTAAACTTCAGTTCCTAAAAAGGCTGGATAAAATGCTTAAATCTTTACCTTTTACTGTTTTCAAAATGAGTTCAAATAATAGTCACTTCTGGCGGGGCAAGTGACTTTTATTACTCTCTTTTTGTGTGTATCGCCATGGTCTCAGTGACTTTTATTCACTGTTTTGCAGTCAGTTATAGTCAATCCTTTTGGATGCTCAAGTTTTTCCAAATTTGGTCACTGACGGTATTTTCTCCTATTCAGTTTGCCTTTTCATTTAATTAGTGGAGTGTTTAAAAAAAACGTAGAAGTTTTACATGTTAAATGTGGTTTGCATTGCATGTTTTAAATTTTGATGGGATCTAATTTATAAATTTCTTTCTTTTATGGTCTGTGGTTTTGTGCCTTATCAAAGGAAGCTTGCTTACCTCAAGGTCGTGAAGATTTCCTCCTATGTTTTCTTCTAACTTGTACATTTAGGTCAGTTTTCTGTTTTGAGTTAATATTTTCTAGCCAGCATAGGTTTTTCATTATTGTTCCAGGAATAGTTGTTGAAAAGGCTGTTCTTCCTCCCAGTGAATTACTGTGGCATCTTTGTCAAACTCAGGAGGCCATATAGTGTGGGATGATTTCAGGATTCCCTTTTGTTCCTCATGTCTGCCCTAATGCTGTCACCAGACTATATTGATTATTGTGACTTTATACTTGATGTGAAGTCTTGAAATCGTTAAGCCCTCCAGCTTTGTTCTTGTTTTTCAGATTGTTTTGGCTTTTCTGGATCCTTTGCATATTTATATACATTTTAGAATCTTTTTCAATATTTTTGCAAAAGGCCTGGGATTTTGATCGGGATCGTATTGAATCTATGGAACCGTTTGAGCAGAATTGCCATCTTAAGGATATTGAGAGAGGGGCCGACCTGGTGGTGTTGTGGTTAAGTTTGTGTGCTCTGCTTCAGCGGTCTGGGGTATGCTGTTTCTGATCTCGAGCGCAGACCTAGAACTGCTTATCAAGCGGTGCTCTGGTGGCGTCCCACATGAAGTAGAGGAAGATGGGCACAGATGTTAGCTCAGTGACAGTCTTTCTCAGGCAAGAAGAGGAAGATTGGCAACAGATGTTAGCTCAGTGCCAATCTTCCTCACAGGAAAAAAAAAGAAAAAAGAGTGTTGAGACTTCTAGTTATGAATCTGATATATCTGATTGTTTATGGTTTTTTTCTTCAATCAATATTTTGTAGTTTTCAGCATATAGATTATGCACATATTTTGTTAATTTATCCCTAAGTATTTATCCCAAGTACTTGTAAAGTCTTTAAAATAAACTATTGCTGATAAAAAAATGAGTCTTACTTTCATGGTCTGTTTTGTTGGGGTTTTTTTTAAAGATTTTATTTTTCCTTTTTCTCCCCAAAGCCCCCCGGTACATAGTTGTATATTTTTAGTTGTGAGTCCTTCTAGTTGTGGCATGTGAGATGCCGCCTCAGCATGGCTTCATGAGCAGTGCTCTGTCCACGCCCAGGATTTTAACCGGCAAAACGCCTGACCGCCAAAGTGGAGCTCGTGAACTCAACCACCCCGCCATGGGGCTGGCCCGCTCATGGTGTGTTTTTGATAATGAGTGTCCCTTTCTAACCATGGTGATATTCCTTGCCTACTTTGTCAGATACTCACGTAACCACTCTAGCAATCTGATGATTAGACTTTACTTGCTGTATCGTTTTACATCCTTTTTATGTGTTTTCTGTGTGCTGAACAGAACTCTGTCATCTTCCAGCTCTGTGTGAAATCTGACAGTTATTCAGCTTACAGTGCCTTGGTAGGTTTTTGCCTGTCTTGTGGGATTTCACGCTATCATTGAGGATTGATTCTTCGGCTCAGTGTGAGCCCTGTGCATATTTCTGGAGTTCTTTCTCTGTACAGCTTCCTCCACTCCAGTACTGCTCACAAATTCCTGTTAACTAGGCCTTCCCAAACTGTTTATCTGTCTCCTAACTCATCAAATACCCATGTTCTTTTTGGGTTCCCCCTGTCTGTGCAGTTGTTCAGAAAATGTCTGTAAACAGGAAGTGCAGGTGATCCTTGGGATCACTTTGCTTTCCCTGCCTTTTCTACCCACAGGAGAAGGAAAATTTCTAGAACCTATTTTGTCCAATTTTCTAGTTATTTATATCAGGAAGCCATGTGTAGTGACAGTTATTCCAGCATAGCTGAAATTACTTGATTTTTTTTCCGTTGGTGAGGAAGATTGGCCCTGAGCTAACATCTGTGCTGATTTTCCTCTCTTTTTCATATGGGATGCCACCATAGCCTGACTTGATGAGTGATGTGTAGGTTCGTGCCTGGGATCAGAATCTGTGAACCCTGGGCCACTGAAGCAGAGTGTGCAAACTTAACCACTATGCTACCAGGCCAGCCCCAGAAATGACTTAATTTTTTATATGTAAATTTCTATGAGTGCATTTTACCTCAGCACTGTTTCTTTTTGGTAATGTTTGTTATGTATAAGATTGGAAATAACTCTATTGTTATAGTCTTGTTTTTGTGTGTAATGATATATAGAAAAGGTTATTCATTTCTGGGTTATTAGCAATATCAAAAGAAAGGGAAAGGATAAAAGTTTCTCAGGAAAGAACTGGTTAAGTAAATTCAGGTACCTCATTGTGGTGATGTGCTCTCCAGTCACAAAAACGAATAAGGCCGAGTACATGTGAAGGTGTAATAATACCCAGCGCGTGTTAAGGTCAAAACAAAGTGGGATGCAGTAGTGTGCATACAGCTATCCTTTCTTTTAAGGTGTGGGGAGCGTGGAGGACTGAGTCGTCGGGTAGAGGGAGACTGGCTTTTCCTTGTTAATTATGTTGTTTTAATTTTTCTTTGTCATGTGTGTATATAACTTTTTAAAAATAATAAAACAGTTGATAATGTTAGATGAAAGGTTACTGTCAGTACTAAACCTTTACAGTGTTGGCCCCGAAGTGGACCCATGAAATCTTTTTGTCCAACTCTTTCGATTTTTTAATGGTATAATTGACTTAATTATTCAAATAAGAGGCAGTAAGTAGTAGTATTAAAAAAGACATCTAGTTTTATGTCAGGTTTGGATTTATTTCTAGCTCTGCCACTTAGTAGCCCTGTGACTTTAGGCAAGATATTAAATTCTGACCTTCCACTTGCTCATTTATAAATGGGGTAAAATATCCTCATATGGAGTATTATGAGAATTAAATGAGATAACATAAATAAAGTATCTAAAATGCTACCTGATAGATGGTTTCTCTTTTCCTCTCCTATGAAAAACTGTGTATCAACCTTGTCTTTTAACAAATATTAGCCTTTTTAAAAATAGTTCTTAATGTTTCAGTGTCAGACATTCCTTAGAGATGAATCATACTGTGAAAGAGAACTCTCATTTACTTGTTTGTGTGTTATATCCGCAGAGTGTTTTCAAGAGAGTGAACATCTCAAAGAAAGTCTTAAGTGTTGCTTACTGCATCTCTTTGGAGCCATCATAGCTGGTGGGCAGGTGAGGAAAGTGTTGAAAGTTAGTATATAAAACAATAATTAACAGTGTGAAGAGCTTTCCATGGATTATTTAATGTATTTTTTGTCTTTTTCTAATTTCTGGAACCATAGAAATACTTTTCTGATTTTAAATCTTGTTTAAAACTAATTACATACTTCTTTTATTTATCAACTTCCAAAAAACCTAAGTAATAATATTTAACACTAACAATAAAATTACTGCATAAATAACCAGATTTAACAATTTTGGGGGTATTGTAAGTTCTTCGTTGTGTTGACTTTCAGCTATTAGTTCTTACTGTAGAGTATAGAGGTTAGTCTGCCCTGTTAGTCCAAACTGCTAATGTTTGATTTCATCAGACTCATCAAACTGCTGGAGTTTGAGCTCACCAAGTGGATTAATAGGGCTGACTAACCTCTATACTCTAGCGGTTTGATTTCCTAAGATATATGAATTTGGTCACTCTTCTGTCTACCTATAATTACTAAATGTATACATTCAGGGTTTATATGCGTTTTTTCCAGCAAACCCAGCTAGTTTTTTTATAATTTACAAGAAAGAAATTCTAGTAATGTTTATTTCTTTATTTTTTTTACGTTGAGCATCTTAAAAGCTATCTATGGTGAACTTGAGTAAAACTGCTAGTTGAAAACAGGATTATAGTTCAGAAAGAACATTCTATGTGTTTTCTTAACCACACAGTTTAGATCAGATGTTTCTAACACTTTTTTGTACTGCATAACCCTTTGGCAGTCTGATAAAGCCCCTTGTGAGAATGTTTTCAAAAAAATACATAAGATCACAAAGGAAACTAATTATACTGAAATGCAGTTACTAAAATAGTAATAAAGCAAATTTGTAACATAGTATGTGCTTCTTTATAGCACATTACATTAGCAGTAGCAGCAAGTCTAGTGACTAATGCAGTTTCAAAGAGGAGATGAACGTAAGTCATGTTTCAGGACGCTGCAACAATTGCAGTGTATGAAAATGTATATGATTTCTGTTGGTGACAAAGTCACAGGTATTGCTAATGATACCACTGGGGTCCCTGGTTGACTACCTTGACTTCTCCTCTTCACACTGGTGGAAGAGTCTCTTTGTAGTGAGACGGATGATGACCAGAATCTTATTTTTCAGTTTGTTTGCTTTGTCGCCTGCCCTTATTAGCTGATAGCCTTTTCCTTCAGTGTCTCCCATTTTCATCATTTCTCCACTGTTAAGAATAAGAATTAATAAGTATCTGTGAATAAAATAGGAAATGACCTTGTTTTTGACTAGTGGAAAAGCTGGGGGGATCCCATTTCCTTTTTGAATAGACAGAGGCTCGTTCTTGTTAGTGCCAAGGGTAATCGAGCCCCAAGAGACCTCCAGTAGTTAAAACTCAACATGGAAATCAAGCAGATGCTGGAAGCCCGATTTATTGTTTCATACTGAAAACACTCAGAATTCTTGTAATCAGATTGTGGTTACAGGTGCAGCTGTATTGAAGTCAGAAGGTTCTTTGTGGCTGTAGCATCAGTACAGGGTATTTAGATGGATTGAATGTCTAAAGGCATAAGAATGGCCTTGTCATAAAGAGCAGAAAGATTGAAGTCCAATGACTGGTCTCCCTTCCCAAAGCATCATGCACGGGTTTCCCAATGGCATTTTGTTCTGTTTTATGTTATGTGAAGAGCAAGGGCTTTGCAGCCAGACTGACATAGATTTGACTCCCATGCCCATCTCTAGCTAGTTGTGTGACCTCGGATAAACTATTTACATGTGTTTTAGTTCCTTTATTTATAATATGGGAATCGTAACCCTTGTAGGATAGTTGTAAGACCAAATGACATGTAATATATGGAAAGCACTTAATAAAGTGCCTGCACCTGTAAGAACTAAGTGAATGACAGGTGTCCGTAGGATTTATGATCCTCTGTAAGTAGCAGTAAATAGTAAAGTTATAACAGCTCAAGTTGGAAGTTTACATTTTTCTCTCAGTAAAAAGAAAATAGCAGTCAGTAGTTCAGAATTAATTTCATGGACTAGGATCTTCAGGGACTCAGCTTCCTTCTGAATGTCAATTTGTTATCTTTACTATTATTTCTTGTGCTGCAAGGTAGCTTCTGGAGTTCTGGCCATGATATCTGCATTTTTGGCACAAACACGGAGGGGGAGATGAAGAAAGAGACAAATGGCGTCTGCCAACTGTCTGTAAAGGACGTAATGAAAAGCAGACGCTCGATGTCTTTTTTATCTCATTTGCCAGACTCCATCAGATAACTGCAAAGAAGGCGAATATGTCCAGATAAAAAATTTGGTAAAACTTACTTCCTAAGCCTTCTTAGCAGCAGGGGAGGTTAGGAAATGTAATCTCTGTTCCTGGTAGCCATGTGTCCACCAGAACATTAGGGGTTCTATTATTAAGGAAGTGGAGGAAAATGGATGTTGGGTGGGCCATCATCAGTTCTTTCCATAGTAGCACTTACTGTTGATATTATTTATTATGTTGATAATAACAAGTCCTAATGGCCTAAGTACTATTACTTTCAGATGCTTTGATAGCTATGTTCTGATTCAGTATGTATCAATTTAATAATTTAGGACAGTGTATGTTGTTTATTTTCAAGTTTAATGGATCACCTCAAATAGCTACCAGTTAGTTAGAGTTTCCGAAATATGTTTGTAGAATCGGAGCCAAGCCAGTCCTCTTATATATCTTTATCATTTGGGATGGATCTGCTGTAATCAACGGAAAGCCTGAGAGAGACTTACCCAAATAGAGGTGTGTTTTTTAATTCTTGCATGAGAAAGCCAAATGTAGGCAATTCTGGGCTGGTATAGCAGCTCAGTGGTATCATCAGAGACTAAGGTACTTCGATACTCCTGTTCTGCTCTCTAGCCTGCTACTTTAATTCTTGGGCTTGTTTCCTCGTGTTATAAAGGTGGCTCCAAGCATCATGTCTACACTTCAGGCAGGAAAAAGGTGAAAAGGCCAAGAGCAAAGGGTCCTTCCCTTTTTATTCATGAAGTGATAGCCTCTTCCTAGTCTACTGGCGTGTATCCTTGACCAGAGTTATGTCACATGGCTACTCCTAGCTGCAGGGGGAGGTGGTAAGCAAGTTTTCCATGTGGGCACATTGCTATCTGAATAAAATCAGAATTCTATTAGTAGTGAGGAAATGATGTGTAAAATAATAGGCATAAAATACTAGCAGTGTCTGTCAAAGTGTTTAAAATTTTTTTATATGTTGATTTATTAAGAGAAAAATTGTCTGCAGATTTATTAAATTCTCTTTTTTTTTGCAAACATACAAGACTTCAGTTAGGTTTGCTATAATAAACAGAATGTCTCTCATGTTTCAGAGGAATGCTTTGCAAGCAATTTCTCCAGCCACCATGGAAGTTCTTATGAGAGTTTTGGCAGATTGTGATTCCTGGGAGGACGGAAATCCTGAAGAAGTGGGTAGGAAGGTAGAGCTTACTCTGAAGTGCCTTACAGAAGTGGTGCATATCCTTCTCGCTAGCAGCTCTGACCAGCGGCAAGTGGAAACCAGCACTCTTCTGGAGAACTATTTTAAGTTGCTGAATTCTGATCATTCAGCTTTACCTAATCAAAGGAGGTCCAGACAGTGGGAGAGCCGATTCATAGCTCTGCAGATCAAAATGCTGAGTAAGTATTACATGAAGTTCGTTAGACTTGGTTTGCTCTAAGTCTGGTTTTTTACTTTCACATTCCCCAATTTCATTTGAAATACAAGGCCATTGTATAGAAAGTATTGTTTAATTCAGATATTGTGTTACTAGATGTTAACTTCAGAATAGTTAATATGGAATTGATTTGTCAACGTCTTTGCTTTAACAATGACAAAATCAAAACTCTATATTCATTTTTGGAAGTATAATCCACTAAAAGCATCAATGTTAAAAAGAAGGTCAGCGCTGATTTTGAAATTGTAGGAAAAATAAATTTTCAGAAAGTGCCATTTGTAGTTTCTAACCCATGGCAAGGAGTCATGTATGATCAGTTTTGTATGTGCTTCTGTAACATCTCTGATAGAGGTCACTTCAACATTTGTCCTTCTTCTGGAGGGCCTCTGTTTTTTTGTTTTGTTTTCTCAGATCCTCTGTGTGTGTGTGTGTGTGTCTTGTTTTTCTTTTCCTCTCTCTGTTTTGTGTCATTCTGTGCTTTTCTATCTGTTTCTCTCTGTGATCTCCTTCACCAATACATGTGATTTCTTATTGCATTCTTCTGTTAGATTGATAGGTACAAATATTGTTAACTGAGAGTTACTTTTTTTTTTTTTTGAGGAAGATTAGCCCTGAGCTAACTGCTGCCAATCCTTCTCCTTTTGCTGAGGAAGACTGGCCCTGAGCTAACATCCATGCCCATCTTCCTCTACTTTATATGTGGCACGCCTACCACAGCATAGCTTGCTAAGCGGTGCCATGTCCAGATCTGGGATCCGAACCGGTGAACCCCGGGCCGCCAAAGCGGAGCGTGCGCACTTAACCACTGCGCCACCGGGCCAGCCCCTGAGAGTTCCTTTTTATAGAAATAAAATATTTTCATTGCAGCTAAACCAGGAAATTCAGATAAGTAAAGAGAAAATAAAAGTTTTTTATTTCCTGCCACCCAGACTTAACCAACATTAATCGTTTGTTGTATAGCTCTAGAGACTTAAAAAAATGTTTGTGTGTGGGTATATGTGTGTGGTGTGCAACTTAAAAATATTGGACATCAAGCTCTTGGTGAATCTTAATGATTTGTTACAACAGTGTTTTTGTAGGAAAATAAGATCCATCTTATATAGTTTCTATTCTCTTACATGTTATAACATGGCATGTTTTATAATTATAAATTGTAAGTTGATCAGGAAGTTTGAGTCTATGTTAAATGGACTTATTTTTTGTTAGGAACTATTGTATTACCTATACCAACTGTCCCTTGGTTTCTGAATGGGGATATCCCTTCAGTAGGAAACAAGAGCAAAGCGTCATCTCGAATGGATTAATTACCTAAGTCTCATTTTCACAGTGGCCATTTGTTAAAGTTCTACTGCATAAGTGAGACCATGTTGCCAAACATAACCAGGTGCTGCTTATTAATAGCAAATTGGGAACCACAGTTGGTTATACTTGAGCGTTATAATGGAAGAACAACTAAGTAAATGGGAAATATTTCCCTCTCATATATATATATATATATATATTTTTATATATATATTTTATATATATATGTTAAATACTTTATAATAAAAGTTATTTATATAAAAAGTTAAATACGTTATAATAAAGTATAAAAATGTTCACTTCTCTTAATAAATAATAAATACATTTCCTACTCCCTGTCCCTCTTATTTCCTAAAGAATTTACATCTGTTTGTTAGCTGAAAGGCCTAAATTACAAATATGGCTAGAGTAAATGTTTCTATGATCCCAAATTTTCCGCTTTACAAATGGACAATTTTGTTTTTATTTTCCTAGATACTATCACAGCCATGTTAGACTGCACAGATAGGCCTGTTCTTCAGGCCATTTTCCTTAACAGCAATTGCTTTGAGCATCTCATACGGCTGCTACAGAACTGCAAGGTATTTTTCTATTATTATTGTTGTCTTTGATTTTAAGAAGCTATTATTTTGTGTTTTGATTCAAATTTGAGCATATTATTATTACTGATTTTTTAAATTGTGGTAAAATACATGTAACAAAATTTACCATCCTAACCATTTTTTAAGTTTACAGTTCAGAAGTATTTAAATGTATTCACATTGTTGTGCAACCATCACCCCCATCCATGCCCTGTAACTGTTTTCGTCTTGTAAAACTGAAACTGTATGCTCATTAAACAATTCCACATTCTCCCCTCCACTCAGTCACTGACAACCACCATTCTACTTTCTGTCTGTATGATTTTGACTGCTGTAAGTACCACATATAAGTGGACTGATACAGTATTTGTCTTTTTGTGACAGGATTATTTCATTTAGCGTAATGTCCTCAAGATTCTTCCATGTTGTTGCATTTTGCAGAGTATCCTTCCTTTTTAAGGCAGAGTAATGTTCCATTGTATGTATATACTACATTTTGTTTATCCGCTCGTCTGTTGATGGACCCTTGTATTGATTCCAGCCTTTTGGCTATCGTGGATAATGCTGCTTTGAACATGAGTGTAAAATATCTCTTTGAGACCTTGCTTACAATTCTTTTGGGTATATATCTAGAAGTGGGATTGCTGGATCATATAGTAATTAAATTTTTAAATTTTTGATAATCACCTTACTGTTTTCCATAGTAGCTGCACCATTTTACATTCCCACCAACTGTGCACAAGGGTTGTGATTTCTCCACATCGTCACCACCACTTGTTATTTTCTTCTTTTTGATAATAGTCATCCTAATGGGTGTGAGCGGTATCTCATGTGGTTTTGATTTGCCTTTCTCTCTTTAATGATTAGTGACATTGAGCATTTTTTCCTGTACTTATTGGCCATTTGTGTATCCTCTTTGGAGAAATGTCTGTTCAAGTCCTTTGTGCATTTTTTTAGTTGGGTTTTTTGTTGTTGTTGAGTTTTAAAGTCTTTTTTGTTATTTATGTGTTGTAAAAATTTGGTGTGAGCATTTGATGCATATAATTTTGTGCTTTTATTTCATTTGAGATTATTTCATTAGCATTTTCCTCTGTTAGAATTTTAATATCTACATAATACTATATTAGGTGGATGTACCATACTTAACTATTCCTAATTGGTAGATACTTAATTTATTTCCAGTTTTTTTGCTATTACATAACTCTTTCAAGTTTCATAGAATAGAATCCTTTTTATTTTATTTTTTTAAGATTGGCAGCTGAGGGGGCTTGCCCCATGGCTGAGTGGTTGAGTCCGTGTGCTCCGCTTTGGCAGCCCAGGGTTTTGCCAGTTCAGATCCTGGGTACATACATTGCACCACTCATCAAGCCATGCCGAGGCGGCGTCCCACATAGCAGAGCCAGAAGGACCTACAACTAGAATATACAACTGTGTACTGGGGGACTTTGGGAAGGGAAAAAAATTAAAAAAGATTGGCACCTGAGCTAACATCTGTTGCTAATCTTCTTTTTTCTTCTACTTTTTCTCCCCAAAGCCCCACCGGTACATAGTTGTATATTCTAGTTGTAGGTCCTTCTGGTTGTGCTGTGTGGGACGCTGCCTCAGCATGGCTTGATGAGCCATGCCATGTCCATGCCCAGGATCTGAACTGGCGAAACCCTGGGCTGCTGAAGGAGAACGCACGAACTTAACCTCTTGGTCACGGGGCTGGCTCCTAGAATTCTATTTCTAGGAGAATTACTAAGTGAAAGGGCATAAGCTTTTGGGTTTTTTAAATGCGGGAACATTGTTTAAAAACAACTTATAAGTAATTGGAAAATATAGAAAAGTAGAAAAATAGAAATACTACTAGGGTTCTTGATGTATACTTCCAATTTGCTTATCATTTTTCTTATTTTTTACTGATTTACACTTGTAGCACATTTGTGTGTAAGTATGTAATAACTAATATCTCTTATTATTAGATCCTGTTTCCATGAAGTTCAAGATGGTATCAGAAATTTTTTAGAGAGCTTTGTGAGAAGTGTTTGAAAATAAAACTACTTCAGATAACTTTTACCTCTTTCTATTTGAGGTATTCCCTTCATGGACTCCCTGCTGAAAAATACTAGATGTTCATTCTGGTTCTGTGAGAATATTCCAGAATAAGGATTTTAATATCAGCTCCTTGAATTTTTCCACACTGTTTGGAGGGATATACCTGAAAACATTTATGTCACCATGTTACTTACTTTTTATAAAATAGTAAAGAATAGCATAAAATAATAAAGAATATATTGATGAAGTAAATAGTAATGAATATTTATGAAGTCAACAAAAGTACAAAATTACCACTGGGGAGTCAAGATGCGTCCCCCCCATCTCTTAAAAATCATACTTGGGAAAGAAATCCTAGAGAGATGAACGCAGCATCAGAGAAATGTTTATAAAGGTTTCTGTTCATTGTAAGAAAGCAGTGTGGCTTTTTTATCCAATTATAAAGGCAACTTTAGTGATAAAGACAAAATCTCATACAATTAGAAAACCTGCCAGTCACACGTTGTAGAATGTAAATCGCCAGGATAAAATGTAGTTCCTACTAAAATGTATTAGTATGTACTCTTCTTCAAAATATGAAACTCAGATGTAATAAAAATCTCTGCCATTCCAGGTCAACAATATCTTTTTAAAAAGTACACAGCTGTTTGGCATAGCTGTCATGATGGTGAGCTAGTATCTGCTCTTTCTACTATGGTATAGGCCGAAGTTTTTTTGTTTTGTTTTGTTTGTGAGGAAGATTGGTCCTGAACTAACATGCATGCCAGTCTTTCTCTATTTTGTATATCGGACACTGCCACAGCATGGCTAGATGAGCAGTGTGTAGGTCTGCACCTGGGATCCCAACCTGCGAACCCCAGGCTGCCGAAGCAGAGCATGTGAACTTAACCCACTACACTACTGGGCCAGCTTCAGGCCAAAATTTTTTATAATTTAGATCTGGAAACTTGCTAATAGTCATAGTGTTTTAAAAGTTAGTTATTTGATACTACTAATCACATTTTGTTTTGAAACAGGAAATGCTAGAGAAGAAACCCATTTTGGAGGGGAAAGCCATACTTTGGGATCTGGGCCTTACCTGCTGGCAGTGGTCTTTATTTCTAGAATATTCTAGTGAGAATCACTGTAGATTGGGGCCAGCTCCATGGCCTACTGGTTAAGTTTGGCACACTCCACTTTGGTGGCCTGGGTTCACAGATTGGGATCCTGGGAACAGACCTTCATGACTCAAAGCCATGCTGTGGCAGCATGCCACATATAAAGCGGAGGAGCATTGGCACAGATGTTAGCTCAGGGTAATCTTCCTCAGCAAAAAAAAGAAAGAAAAAAAAGAATCACTGTAGATTCATCATTAAACTTTAGAGTCATTAAGTCTTAAAAACAAGGGGAAACCTGTGCAATAAACTGTGCAACTGTTTTATTATACAAATGAAGAACTATGTCCTAAGAGATTAAGTCTTTAGCCCAGGGTTAACACTTATATATGATGGAAGTAGGATTTCTTTTTTTCTTTTTTTTTAAAGATTGGCACCTGAGCTATCAACTGTTGCCAATCTTTTTTTTTTTTCTGCTTTATCTCCCCAAACCCCCCCGTACATAGTTGTATATCTTAGTTGTGGGTCCTTCTAGTTGTGGCATGTCGGACCTAACGTGGGTCAACGTGACCTAACGAGCAGTGCCATATCCGCGCCCAGGATCCGAACCCGGGCCACTGCAGCGAAGCACGCGAACTTAACCACTTGGCCACGGGGCCGGCCCCTAGGATTTCTTACCTAGATATTCTGTCCTGCTTTCATGCTTCATTGTTACACATAGTTTTGTAACTGGGTATTACTAGTACTAGTACTTAAGATCACTATTTAGTCAGTAGAAAAAATGTTTCTGTGCATTAAATGTAGGAGAATTGCAGATTTTATTGACGGACAAATTTGATGGAGATAGGTGATATGATTCCATAATATGTAAAAGTGTTTAGAACCTTGTAAAAACTTAAGTTCTCAAATGTGTTACAGGATGCTACGAATGTCTGTGATCGATTTCTGTTTAAATTGGTTTTTGTTAGTAAGGAATGAGTCATTTATTCCATTTTATATAGTAATACAGAATCAAGAGTAGTATTATTTAAATATTCAGACCCTTTGGAAACATTGTCAACTAAAGCTTAAAGTGCCATAAACAATTTATGAATTACATGGAAAACCTTAGGCTTATGGCTACAGTTTCTTTCCTTTCTTTTTTATGAGATTCACCAACCAGTTTGAGTATGCATTAATTTCCTTAAGTGTTTGTGTAAAGATCTCTGGGCTGGTCAAAATGAGTTTCATCAAACTGTAAAGTACTTAAAGGACCATTCCATGGAATCATGCATTGAACTTTTATGATAGGTGTGATGAACCTTAAATATTTAAGGTATTTTGTTTTACTGTATCACATTTTGGAATGGAGATATGCTTTGAATTAATGTAAATTTTTTAAAAAAAAAACTGTGCAAGGAAATTTGAATTAATGAGAAGAAACTAACAACAAATGTCTAGTAGTAAAGACAAGGACTCAAAACCATCACATTGACTTTAGCACTCTACTTTGAAGTTAAAATCATTGTTTTGAAAATATAGGCATTGCAGCATATTGTAATTATGCAAAGTTCCATTTGAGGACTTAAGTGTTCAGATTCTGGAAAGCTCTTTATATTGTAGTCTTGTTCATCTTATTTAATTCGTTTTATTTACTTTTTTCCCTTTCTTCCTCACATCTACCCCTTAAAACCAACTACAACAAAAATTTATCATCCATACGTTTAATAGGAGTGAGAATTTATGAAAGGCGCAGCTGAGGGCTGCTTTATGGAAAGAGTGTTGGGAGTGGATGAGTAGAATGGTGTAGTTGAAAGCCTGACTCTGGGTCACACCTGCCTGGATTCATACATGTTGCCTTGGTGACCTTGAGCAGTTTCTTTTTGTTTTTTTAAAATAGAGTTTTATTTAAATTCTACAGCAATATGCAGTCAAAATAGAGATTTTGGAGGAAAAAAGTATAAAAAAATGTTTAAAATCTTTTTACAAAGTGTATATATATAATATTTAAATTTTAAAAGTGTGGTTAAAGTATACATAACAATATTTGAATATGTATTTTTAATGTGGATATATTTTCTTTTATGAAATTGGATGCTACTGAATATTTTATCCTGCTTTTTTTTATTTTTATTTTTTTTATTTTTTTTTTTAAAGATTTTATTTTTTCCTTTTTCTCCCCAAAGCCCCCCGGTACATAGTTGTATATTTCGTTGTGGGTCCTTCTAGTTGTGGCATGTGGGACGCTGCGTCAGCGTGGTTTGATGAGCAGTGCCATGTCCGCACCCAGGACTCGAACCAACGGAACACTGGGCCGCCTGCAGCGGAGCGCGCGAACTTAACCACTCGGCCACGGGGCCAGCCCCTATTTTATCCTGCTTTTAAACATGTTTCAGCATGAGTCTTCCCATATGCCATCACACATTTTTCAAAACATTGTTTTTAATGACTGCAAACATTTCAGGCCAGCAGTTCTCAAAGTGTGGGATCCAAGATCATTTTAGGGAGTCTGCAAAGTCTAATCTTAATAATATTTCTGTTTGAGGCTGGATTTTCTTCATAAATTTTAACCATAGTAGCATTATCATAACAGTCTGAATGCAAAAGCAGATATGAGAGTTTATCTGTCTTCTAAGTCAGACATTTAAGGGGATTCACGAAATGTAAAAGCAGTACCATGCTCGCTAAGATATATTTTGGAAAATATAGTTATTTTTCATAAAAATATGTAATTTAGGTCACATGTAATGGGTTTATTGTTACTTTTTTGAATGAATAAATAAATATTTTTAAATGTCTTGGTTTTAGTTTCTGATATGGTCAATATTGATAGATGTTATCCATATAAATAAAAGTTCTTTGGGGTTCTCAGTAATTTTTAAGAGTGTTAAGGGGTCCTGAGACCAGAAAGTTTGAGGACTTCTCTTTCAACCAATGGATGAACCGTTATTTATTTAACTATTCTACTATTGTTGGCTATTTCGGTGGTTTCTTATTTTTTGCTATTGTGATTAAGGCTGAAGTGAGCATCTCTGTTCTAAAATCTTGGTATGAGTCTGTGACTCTTTCTTAGGGTATATTTCTAGAAATACAATTATTGATTTAAATGTAAGAACTTTTCTTAAAATTCTTGATATGGATTGCTTTCTGGAAAGACTTCACTCGTTTTTGGTTTCGTCAGTTCTGAGCCTTTCTGTGTCCCTGCACCTCGATAATATGGAATATCACTGTTTTAACAATGTTTGCTGCTGCTGATAATACCAGCTTGCATTTGTTAAACCCTTATTATGTGCTAATAGTATCCATTAGCATAGACACTGGGCTAATAACTTAGCATGGATTATCTCATTTAATCTGCACACCTATTTCATGAGATATTATTCTTTTCATTTTTGAGAAACAAGCTTGGAGAAGTTAAATAGTTTTCCTTAAAACCAGACAGCTAGTAAGTAGCAGAGTCAAGATTCTAATCCAGGTTTCTGATTCCAAAGCCTATATTGTGTTCACGAATCTATATTCAGGTTAAGCTTTCCGTGTGCTCTTGCGTACCATATCACACCATATGTTTGTCCACGTTACACCACTTTACTTCGGCACATTACTGGACTTTTGTTTTCTCATTTCTAAAATGATAGAACTTCCTAAGAAGAACTTCCTTCTTAGAATGCTCTTGCTAAATCCCTTTATGACCTAACTTTCTCTCCCTTTTCAGTCTTATTTGAGTTATCTTTCTCTTTACCCAAACTGCAACTGAGATCTTTTGGGATTCTGAGTTTTTTATACTTAAATACTTTATTCCTATCCTTCTTTCGGTAGAGGGCAGTCTCCATGTATATCAGAGATAATCCTAATCCCCCTTTCTAGTAAAGAAATTAATATAAATTGTTCTTAATTCTTGATAATTTTGGAGAATAGTGTTACAGAATTTTTAACAAAATGTGTGATCAGATAAATTCGGGAAATGCTTCATGCTAACCTCCCTTGTCCAACTACACATTAGCATATTTGAGACTCTGAGAAATATTTCCAGAAAGAACCCTTTTAAAGTTAGTTTAATAGCATTTCACAAACATACGTGGCTACAGAACCCTTACTGTACATTATTTACTACAGTATCTTTAGTCTGTCTCAATAGCACATTTCCTTCTTTTTTTTCTCCCCAAAGCCTCAGTACGTAGTTGTATATCCTAGTTGTAAGTCTTTCTCGTTTTTCTGTGTGGGATGCTGCCACAGCATGGCTTGATGAGCGGTGTGTAGGTCTGCACCCGGGATCCGAACCTGCAAACCCCAGGCTGCTGGAGCGGAGCACACAACTTAACCACTCGGCCATGGGGCCAGCCCCTTTATCCTTCTTTTCTGTGAGGCGTCCTCTGCTGATCCTTTCAGAATTTAGGAATATTAACTAATTTAATTACTGCCATTTTTTATTTTAGTAACTTAGAGTTCCATGAGAGAAAGTAATAATAATTATATAGTATATGAATTAATGTTGGTTTGTAATCCAAAATGTGAGTAGTTGATTGTCAGTTTACAAGCGGTATACTTTGCAAGTGAATTCTTGGGTTTATTTTCAAGAGACATGGAAATCCATTTAAGCTTCATTTCTGCTCATAGGTAACAATTTAATGTTCTTTCTCCATTATTCTTGTCTCTATTTTTAACAGCTGTTTTTAAATGCTAACAATAAGGTGGCAGACAAGAACGAGAAAGACCTTGCCAACAAATTACTGACAGAAATGAATGAGGACCAGGTATCTACAAAGCCTGCATCTTGTTTCAGCTGAAGTCCAAAATCAGTCAATGGGAGCAACTATTCCTGTACTTTTCTTCCCATGTCTTATAATATACAACATTATCTAATTCTGATCTTCATTATTTTGAAAATTGTTAAAAGCAATTTAAAAGTTGCTTTCATCTAAAAGACAAATATATTGAAATCTTGGTTTTTAATATAAACCATCAACAACAGTATTCTCTCTTTGTCTGTGTGTGTTCTTTTTAGTTTGAGGAGATACAAAGTACAGGAATGGGATCCCCATATCAATGCTGTTCACCTGGTGGTGACTTCATATTTTGGGGGCTTCTTTTTCTGAGGATTGTGGTGTATTGGGACCTTAGGGCTTTGTTTGTGACTATGTATGATCAGTTTTAATATCTTGATTCTTTGCTTCTTCTTGACAAGTGATGATTGTAATTCAATGGACAACCCGAATCTTGGAGGAAGGGAAGAAGATGCCAAACTCTTTGAGTCTTAATTTAGTATAAAACTTATCTTTTTTCTTTTCTAAAAATTCAACTCTATGTGGGTATAGGGCAGAAATATGCAGTTTATGTTCGTTTTCACAATACTTTAGGTAATTTAGTTTGGAAAAAACTACCTACAAAAATTGCTTTGTTAGTTTTCTTTCCCAAAATGTTTGAGAGGAGCTTATATGGTGTCTTTTATTAACAATATCTTGATGTCCAGGTTTCTAAATAGAGCTGTGGTATGAAAAGAGACATGATAATCTATTATTTTCTGTTCCGGATGTGAAATAGCAATTACAAAGTACCATTTTAGATTTCTGTATAAGTGTTAATCTCTCTTAAAGCCTCCTTATATAGACGGATGAGACAGTTGTAATGGTCTTCTCAGAGGGTTATGTTAGTATTCCTGATTGTAGGTACTGTGTTGCCTAGTCCTCTTGGATAAAGTCTAGGAAAGATCTTATTTTTATGAAATTCTGTATGCAGAATGTTTAACACATATTATGTTTATTACATATTTAATGTGTTTGTTTTATGTAGTAATGTTTAATAAACAATATCAACAGAAACCAAGTTACTAGCTTAAATACTTGTCTGAAAGTGGTAGAGCTTAGCTTAAAACAACAAAGATCTAATCAGTCCCTTTTTCCTCAGATCTTTTTAGAGTGAAGGAAAGAGGAAAATCCTCTTTGTGGAGTGACTAGCTTCAAGTCATAGTAATATATTCCCGAAAGCAGATTTTCAGGACTTTTAGTTTTTCCAACGTTCTAGTCCTCATGCTATGCTTTCATGGTTGACTAAGCCTGATGATATAATTCAGTTTTTTAATATTGTTGATGTTATATTTTGTTTTTGTCTTTTTACTATAAATTCACTGCCCTGAAATTTAACACCTCTCTTCTTTATGATGAAGCTTAAACAGAAATAGGCAAAATGGAGCTGCTTTTTATTTTTTCTTACAACTTTTGGCATTAAAGATTGCCTTCTCGAAAACAGGACGATGCTTATAGATACACTTTTCGTTTTCTATTCTACCTCAAATTCCTCATTTTATATAAAAATAGATATACCTTACTATTTGCAAGTGGGATTGATTGGTGTATGCACATACCATTTCAGTTACAACACAGGGCTTGGAAGCTGAGGAGACCAGACTATTTTAGATGTCTTATTATACATGCTAATGAAATTCAGACCTAGGAAGTCCAAGTCTATTTTTGAAGGAAATTAAAACATAATAGAATTTCCAATGATAGACCTCCCTCCCTTCCTCTTGAGATTGTCCATTATTTTTAAAAAGCATGTATTAACCTTGGTTTTTTTTTTCTTCAAAACATTTTAATGTAATGAGTTGAATGTATCTTTATCCTTTTTGACACGTGGTCACTAGGTAGCTTTTCTTGCAGGTTATAGTGTTTCAGAAATCCATTTCATTGGAAGAGGAATGTATTGCATGTTAAGTAATTATTTTTCAGATTTTCAGAGCGGAGGTTTCCTAACTGAATACGAATCTTGAACACATTTGTTAATGTCTTACTTTTTTCCCTGTGGTAGGTGTTTCAGGGACAGTTGGACTGTTTGGCTGTATCGACCATTCAGGCTTTGACGGCAGTCATGAACAAATCTCCAGCTGCTAAGGTGAAGCGTGTGTCCCCAAGCTCTAGGATGCTATCTTAGCTATACCAGTTTTCACTATATAGTTCTCAAAGTAATGCATGAAAGTACATAATGCATAGTGATTTCATGCCTGAAATGAAATAGTTTGCAAAATATCTCATCTTAGTACTGGAATAAAGAATTAAATTTTGTATCATAGTTTGTCGCTATTAATAAAGTAATCACTCTTTCACTACTTGGTCAGCTTATGACTGCCTACTCTATGAACATTTTTCACTTGTGAACAGCGCTGTCAATTTGGGACTTTTCCAGATGGCCATGAAAATTCTGTTTCTTTGTAGTCACTAACCATCAGGATTTTGTTTCACTTCTCATTCACTATCACTGAATCTGTCCCACTGTTCACATATGCTCATTTTGTGCTACTAGTTTCCTGTTTGAGTAGTTTCAGGGATTAGTGAGATCATCTGTGTAAAGTGGTAACCATAGTGCCAGGCACATGGTAAGTGCTTAATAAATGTCAGTGTCTATTATTATTATTAGGATTTTACCTTCTTATCCACCACCTCTAGTATATTTCATGCCTCACCTTTCTAGTACCAGAAATGAATGAATTACTCCTTTTCCCTAAGCCATGCCTTCCTTACTTTCCTTTGGTTTTTGTTAGGAGACTAACTTTTGCCCTATAAATGTTGCTATATATAACTTGTAGGTTAGATTCCTACTGAATAGGCCTTTACAACTTTTAAAGCCTGGCTTGGGAATCTGATCTCCATTTATAATAGTCTCTTTTAGGAAAAAATCATTTTAAGTTCTAAGTAATTGGTTTGTGAGTATAGCAGATCTCCCTTACTGTATTATGAAATTCAAACCTGAAATGATGTTCACATCTTTTTAAGATGTTCTTTTTTTTTTCCTATATAGTGCCTTGCATGGTAGAGTTCAAAAGATTATTTAAAAAAACGCCATTTGAAAAAAGATTTTCTTCCTACCCTTGGCCCATAGTCAACTAGTTCCCCTCCCCGGAGACAACCAATCTTACTCGTTTTGTTTACATCTTTTGATTTTATAATTAGTGTATGCATTCCTACCTAATTTACTGGACCAATTTAGAATTGCTAGGTTTTTTGATTGTCTTTATATTTTACTTAGGGCTTTGGGTGCCCACTAGTTCAAAAATACATGTGCCTTAGACCTTACTAAAATGTACTTGATGCTCCAGATAATTCAGACCATTTAGACACAAAGTAGAGAGAGACCTGTACCCAGTTTTTTTTCTGACCACTACTCAGTATTGCCAGGACTCTAATTTAGTCCTTTGAGGCTATTGTCTGACTCCTTTCACCCCCAGAGTCTCTTCATTTTTTCTCCGTTTTTGTTTTGACTTCACGTAATGGTATACTAGTTACAAATCAAGTGAAGAGAGTAAATAATCTGCAAGTAATATAGTAATTTTATAGCACAATTTTTGCTAATTCCATTTATTTTACATTTTGGTAGATTATTGTAACATTGTATTCCATATGGAATCTATTTTAAGATGAAGACAGGTAACTTAAGAAAACAAATATTGAATTCATAATCTTTTAAATATTAAGGTAACTTAAATGGATATTATTCAACATTTTTAATGTTCCGACAAATTCAGTCTTTGAAAATGTGCTTTGATGTATTGATTTCCCCTCCCTTAGGAAGTCTTTAAAGAAAGAATTGGTTATACACATATGTTTGAAGTATTAAAATCCTTGGGTCAGCCAGCAGTGGAACTACTTAAAGAACTTATGAATATGGTGAGTTTTTTAGCTTTATTAAAAGAAGTTTCTTTATTTCCATGTCAAAGACAGTAACTAACCTTTTGTCTCTTATTGCTTTACAGGCTGTAGAGGGTGACCACACTTCAGTTGGGATTTTGGGCATTAGTAATGTCCAGCCTCTCTTGCTTCTTATCCAGTGGCTTCCAGAGCTAGAATCCCATGACCTGCAAATCTTCATCTCTGATTGGTTGAAAAGAATTTGTTGCATTAATAGGCAGAGTCGAACTACTTGTGTCAATGCAAACATGGGAATTCGAATCATTGAAACCCTTGATTCCCATTCTTCCCTCCACCGAACTTGTGCTGAGAACTTGATTGCACTCCATGGTTCCTTGGGGAGTCAGTCAGTGAGCTCAGAAGAAATCCGTCGACTGCTCAGACTGCTGAGAGTGGATGAGTCTGAGTGTGTTCACCCTTATGCCACTCCTGTAACTCGAGCAATCCTGACAATGGCCCGGAAACAAAGTCTAGAGAGTGCCCTCCAGTATTTCAACTTGTCACATAGTATGGCAGGAATTACTGTGCCTTCAATACAGAAATGGCCAGGGTCTGCCTTTTCTTTCAATGCTTGGTTTTGCTTAGATCAGGATCAGTTGACTCCTGGCAGTGCTAACAAAGGAGGAAAAAGAAAACAATTGTACAGGTACAAGTTATGGAATATAAATGTACACTGTCATAACAATATATGCTGTGATTCTTAAACAGGAAAAAGCTTTTCCAAGCATCTAGTTTTTAAATGTACAGCAGAGGCTTTTATCTGAAGCCTCTTCATCCTTAGGGTATACACAGTTGAATTATAACTAGTTTGGTGCTTTCATAATAATAGTTGTATATATCTCAAATAGTTTGCAGTTAACTTCTGAGGCTAGTTTGGAAACAAAGTTCCTTCTTAAAAATATTGTTAAAAGTGGAGAAAAAAAGAAATAATAAACTTGAAAATGAATAGTGAGCTCTCTGTTCCATTGAAGGTGCTATATATTTCTATGAAGGACCGGAAAACCTATATACTTGTACATCCAAACTGAGTTACCTCAGTAACTACTAATTTTTGATATGCCTTGTGATTTTTAAGACCTTTATTCATGCTTGCTGAATCTTACTTGAAAGAATTGAAAGTTTATAGTTTTACTATAGTTGGCTAATGGAGTTCCGCTTATAAGGCTACCTTTTTTAATGTACAAAACTCTTATGCCAAAAAAAGATTTAAAAATCATCCTTGAAGCAAGCCTGGCCTGATGTGTGGCAATAGAGTGTAAGCCACAGCATGTCTGGTAACAATATTGATGATGACGTTATGGTTTTCTGTGCTTCAGTAAGGATAAAACTGAACAACTGACTTCAAAAGTTCTGATAGTATATATTCTTGTTAGCTTTTTTACAGGAAGTGGAATGGGTTTTGAAGCTTTCATTACGCATTCAGGTACGTTGGTTGTGGCAGTGTGCACAAAAAGAGAATATGCAACAGTTATGCTTCCCGACCACAGTTTCTGCGATTCCCTCTGGGTAAGACTTTGGGGCATCATATTTAACTTCTTGATTCTTTCCTTTAAAAACCACACATGTGGTGCATGTACCTCAGCTGTTGGCTTGTGCTTTTTGAGAGTTGATTAATTTTCACTTTGAAGTTTTATTCATGTTGAAATTCATCTATAAGGAGGTTAATATCGTTTATCATCATCATTGTAAATTCAGCAGTTATCATTTTTCTGCTAAAAAAATGAAATGTTATGATTTCTTTCAAGTTTTCTAGAATAAAATTTGATTCTGAATTTCAATTTAAAATGAGAGCATAAAGTGTTAAAAACAATCTATTTCTGTTGCTTTTTTTAAAATCATTTTTTAATGCCAAGATGATTTCAAAGGACCTGATACATGATAGTCATTAAACACATTTGTGAAATAAATGAGAGAAAAGGAAAGAAAAAGAGGTAGCAAGGAAGACTGGTTATAGAAGAGACATCAGTCAGTCACATCTGCACTCCAAAAATTCCTCGGAATGATTTCGTTGTAGATGAATCAGTGAAATAGAGAGCTCAACATTAATTATGGACTTCGATGAGAGTCTTTGATTCATGAAGTAAAGATATTTCTTCTCCTAGTCTATGTGTAGTACATACTTAAAGAGTATAATGAAAGGAGGAAAAAAGTATGGGAAGAATATCAAGTGAGAGGAAAAATTTAAGTTGATACATACCATATCAAAAATAAAATAATTTATAGTAAATTGAAAATGCCGTCACACCACGCTCAGTAAAGAAACCAAATACCCGGGTTTTCCTAAATTAATTCTTAGTAAAAAATTTAGGGAGACTTATTCTTATATTCAACAAGACAGCCTTTGACTATTTTTTAAAATCATATTATGGCTGCAAAATACTCAATAATACTTTGATGCTAAATAAGTTAGTGTACCTAGGAATATAATTTTTAATTGGTTAATGCTTAGATCTGAAATTGTCTGTAGCCATTTCTAAACTAAGTTTTTTTCCAGTCGTGTTGACATACATGACTGTCTAAGTTTGAGGCGTACAGCATGATGGTTTGATTTACATATATTGTGAAATGATTACCACAATAGGTTCAGCCAACATCCATCTTTTCATATAGATACAATAGAAAGAAAAAAGAAAACACTTTTCTCCTTGTGATGAAAACGCATAGGATTTACTCTCTTAATTCTGTTAGTCTCTTTATATATTTCTGAAGATATAAAATGCTTCTTATTACAAAAATCGGTTCTAAAGAATACTTACAGACTTGGAAAATGCAGAAAAGATACTATGTTACGTTTGTGTGTAGATTTTCTAAAGTTGATGTATGTGCTTTTATAGTACTACAGAAAAAATTATTTACTTTAAGAACATCATTTTAGTCAGCATTTAGTTATGCTTAATCTTAATGGTCTACTCTTCACTCGAATTATAGAGTATTACTCTGAAAACATTTGTTATTCCAAAGACTTGATGTAATTTTCACCTTTTAAATACATGTTTTACTTTACCAGCACAACATAACCATTGTTCACATGCCTGGGAAAAGGCCCTTCGGTCAGAGCGTTGTCTTTATCTACGACAATGGACAGCAGAAGGTCTCTGCGCCTCTCAGATTTCCTGCCATGAATGAAGTAAGCACCTCTAACCTCCTCTTTATGGGCTCAGTTGATTGAGAACTCTTGAAAATTTTCACTTGAATGTAGAAGGTTCTGTTTATTCTAAATATATGCCCATAAATTTTAGTGTTTTTTATATACTGAGATATAGTAAGTTAATATTTCTGTTAGCCTGTCATCATTAGATGAAGTGAGACAAGATGTAATAAAGAAAAACAATTCAAGGAAGAAACAAATGTAACTTAAGGGTTAGAACAAAAGACTTATAACAGGAAAGCCAAAAAAATTGAATAGAGCAGAGCAAAGGATCATTTAATGAAGCTCTCCAAGCACAGGAAATGCTTAGAGACTGTTATGATGGACTCTTCCATCTCCACTGAACCTGAAACAATACTGAAGGAACTTGAATCTTTCCATTGTAATTAGGTATAAGATGGAATTTACTCAGTAGAGGTGATTCTTAAAGAGCATTAGTGTAAAAGTTCTTTGAGGATTTTTGGATAATTTTGAAAGGGCCTTTTCTGAAGGTGACAGAATGGATTAGATTATTTCCCAGATCCTTCTAGGGTTCTAGTAATTTCTTGTTGCTGTTCATCTCAGTGACCATTTCAGGATAACTTGTAATTAGTATTGTTATACTGATGTGTAATTCTTTGTTTATAAATTTTAAGGGGAAAAGTAGTTTTATCTAATTTAGAATATAGTAAAATTGTTTTAAAAAATTTTTTTAATATACACTCATTAAAAATTCAAAATTTACGAAAGGATATAAAATGAGTTATAAAAGTAATGTGTCCAAATCCCAGAGCCCAAAGGTTATGTATGTAATGATTTCTTATGTGTACACACATGCATACATCATAATCCCATAAAAATAAAACTTTTAGTTTTCAGTGCATTTATTTGCTTAATTTTCTGGACTGTTTCATTTTAAATATGAGGATAGAGATTTAATTAAAATTGTGTGATTTATATTGTTTCTTAATTTTTAGGCTTTTGTTTCTTGTTGCATCGGTTCAGCTGGGCAAAGAACCACCACTCCTCCACCATCCCAAATCCCAGATCCACCTTTTTCTTCTCCCATCACCCCTCACCGGACGTCATTTGGTGGGATTCTGTCATCAGCCTCCTGGGGAGGAACAATTGAAAAATCAAAACTGATTACCAAATTGATATCAGCTGGCACTCAAGACAGTGAATGGGGATGTCCCACATCTCTGGAGGGTCAGCTAGGGTCTGTTATAATTTTCTGTGAAGCACTACAACCTCCTCAGGTGAAGGCATTATATTTAGCAGGTGAGCATATACAATCCGTGTGTTTAATTGAACTTAAATAGTTTTCTTCTGTTGCCTAAATATATTCTGAAGAATATGTTTGATCTCAAGAGTGTATTTGTTTTAATTGAAGCTGAAAGGAAAGAAAAAGCCCACCACACATCATACTTTTTTCCCCTCAGCTTTGTTGAGATAGTATGACATAGAACATATGTAAGTTTAAGGTATACAATGTGATGATTTAATACACAGATATATTGCAAAATCATTACCATAATAAAATCAGTTAACACCTCCATCCCCTTACAGAATTACCATTTTTTTTATGTCTGTTGATAACATTTAAGATCTATTCTCTTAACTTTCAAATATGTTATACAGTATTATTAATCATAGTACACCGTACCTTTTTGGTAGGCATAAATAAAGCAAACCTTTGGGATATATTTTAGATATCACCCATAATACTGCCTGCATTAGTCTCTTAGGACTGCCATAACAAAATACCACAGACTGGATGGCTTAAACACTATTTATGTTCTCACACTTCTGGAAGCTGGAATTCTAGGATCAGGTTTCTGTCAGGCTTGGTTTCTGGTGAGGCCTCTGTTTCTGGCTTTTAGATGGCTGCCTTCTTGCCGTGTCCTCAGAGGGAGTCTGTCGTCTGTGTGCGTGTGCAGAGAGAGATGTCTCTGGTGTCGTTTCCTCTTCATTTGTGGGGCCCTATTGGATTAGGGCCCAACCCGTGCAACATCATTTAACCTTAATTACCTCCTTAAAGGCCCTGTCTCCAGATGCAGTCATATTGGGGGTTAGAGCTTCAACAAATGAATGTTAGGGGGTTCCCACAGTTCACCCATAATACTTCCAGTACTTTTGACAGATTTTAATAAATTGATGAAACAAAATACAGACCTGTCTTCATGAGAAATCACATTTAAAAACTTATCTTTTTTATAATTTATATATTAATATACCTCAAGAATTCATTAAGGCAGTAGAATTAGGAGTCCTTGAATAAAATTATAAGCTGTGTTTTGGCTTTTTCTTTTTGGCTATGATTTTAAAGATACACATTGTTATTGGATCATAACTATTTTCAAAATTATATCTATATTTTAGTAGGATGTTCAAGAGTTAAGCCTCTAAGTAGAGAGATATATTAACTCTGCAAAACAGCTAATTATTTGTCAAAATGTCTTTTTTAGATTACATGGGAGTTTTGAGATGAATGAGACTGTCCAGACTTTCAGAGTTTGTACTGGAACCTTGTCATTACTTTAAAACTCACCAAAGTATTTGAAATTGATCTTTAAACAAATTCCAAGTGAATAAGTCATTTAATGTAGTCATTACAGCTGTGTAATTTGGATTTTGTTTTTATAATTTTTCCTACTTATAATTCTACTCTTAAAAATAATTATTATATAGTTCATAATGATCATTTTTAATGGATGCATAGTATTTCATTGGATTCATCATGCATGATTTACTTAAGTTTATAATTTTTAATATTGTTGTAAACTTAAAGTACTAAATATGATGACCTGTCATACTTACTGGTTTTTTCTTATTTTGATAGATTTACTTATGATAAATTCCCAGGATAAATATTCAAAGATTGTAAATATTTTTACAGCTCTCAATAGATTTTACCTAATCAGTTTCCAAAAAGGGATATACCAGTTGATAGTGCCTACCAGGAATACATAAGTATATCAGATTGACCACAGCCTCGTTAGGAGGGAATGGTCAGTGCTTTCCTCCATTTTTGATGTAAAATGGAGCATTGTTTTAATTTGTATTTCTTTGATTTTTTTAGTGAAGTCAACAGTTCCTTCCTACTCATTTGCTATTCCATTTCTGTGCTATCTATTCACATTATTGATTGACTCTTTTGCTAGTTTTTCTTATGAATTTGAATTGTCTGACAGATAAATTAATAAACTTTGTTATATTCAATATTAGTTCTTTAATGCTATATAAAATTTCGTTTCTGTAGTGGAGATTGATCCACACACCCTGCCCCCACCTGCCAACTTTTCTAGGTTTTGCACGAATTGGAGGTGATGTAAAAAATAAAGTACATTTTGGTTGTGTGTTTTAACTATGTTATGTGAGTAGCTTGAAACAGCTTAATTTTAAATTTTGTTCTGATTATACAGAACTGGGGAGACCATATATATTCAATGATACATGTGTGTGTGTATAAATAATTTTCAGGTCCCAACTGTTTAAGCCCTTGGAAATTTCAAGAGTCTGACATGGCTGACCTGCCGGGTAACGTCCTCCTTCACTACACTGCAAAGGTCAGAGTAAATGCGTGGACTGTCCGTCTAGATGTAGCTGTGCTGTGAACTAAAATTCTTTTTTTAAATTTCTTTTGTCATTTCAGTGGGTAATTGAGAAGGAGGGGCTTGAGTTAGCAGTAAAAAATTAAGGTGCAACTCTCAACTAGGGTTCAAACGTTACCGTTGTCGTCCCAATAGTATGGATGGCAGTAGTTGTCTTGGGAATTTGTCTAATGAATCGACTTCAGTAAATGAAACTGTTTAAACTTGTATTCTTTTGGAAGGAGAGATGAAACAGAATTGTGCTCAACATTTTCTTTGTTTTTTAAATATGATGTTAGCAAGAAAATAATAAAAATGAAATGTTCACTTCAGGAGGAAAAAAAAGAACTACCTATATGCATACCATGCCCAGTCCTTTTTCCTTCAAGGAAAGGAATTACTTTCACTATCTAGTCAAAGTAATTGAGGTCAGCAAGGGCTGAGGAAAAGAAGATCAAAGGTGGAACTGGGAAAAAGAAAAGGGAGAAGTGGCATAAACAACAATAGTAATTGCCTTCATTATAGTGAATGTTCCATTGACCCAGAAAATGCTTTGTTGTGTGAGATTTTACGTCATAGAATTTTTTTTCTGGTTTAGCCAGCTAGTACGTGGTTGTCATATATTACTTTGAATACTTATTTGTTATAGCTACCCTAATAAAATTTACTTATTGGTTGATATTTCCCCCTAACTTTTTTGTTTTGATTAATTTCAAACCTAGAGAGAAGCTGAAAGAATGCTAGGTTGAAATCATGTGTACACTCCACCTAAACTCACCACTTATTAACATTTTGCCACATTTTTCTTTATCATAAATCATTTGTGAAAGCAGATTGACGTAGCTAACAGGACCCTTTACTCCTAAATTTTTCTACATAGTCCTTAACTTTCCTAAAAAAATTATCAATAACTCATGGACTATATAACCCACATTCAAATTTTCCCCAAAATATTTGTTTAGCCTTTTAAAAATTTAATCCTTGATCCATTTGAGGTTCATGCATTGCTTTGGTTATAATGTCTTGAGTCTAATTTTTTGTTTGTTTGCTTTTTGTAATGCTAACTTTTCTCCAAAGATAGATGTTTGTCTACCAAACTAGATTTTATGTTATTTTTTTGGCAGGGACTGTATCTTATTCTTATTTTCATTATAACTATCTAGTATAGATAAATAGAAAGTAATTGGATTTAATCTCACTGTATAACTGGTGGCGTGTCTAGACCTGATGTCTCACTGGGTCTTTTTGGCATTATGATTGCCATGTTCTTTTTTCAAAGTTGCTGTGATCTTGATAACATTAAAGTTGAATTTTTACTGTTGGAAGTGAAAATTCTGTGATATTAAAAAAATAGCTGTTACTGTTTTGCCTCAAGAAACACAATATGACAAATATATACAATAAAACAAGTTTATTGGAGGAATAGTTCTTGAAAATGGTGATATAAGTGTTCTATGGTTAAATAGGTTTGGGGGACTGTTGCCTCCTGGATATCCCTCTGGGAGATTGATCGTGCACTTGAAAAACGCTGCTATGAAGAAACTAGTTTCCTTTTGCTTTATCCTACTTCTCATCAGTTATTTTAGCCTAGAGCACATTTTGTTTTTATCTCACTTATTAACAAACGCTAGTTTGGGGAAAGCTACTCTAGAGGATTTTTTGACAGTTAATAGTTTTTCGTTTTTGTCTCCTTTATAGGAGGTGTTTCACTATCCATTTGTTTAAAATTTTTTGAGTGTCTTTTCTGTGCCAAGGATACAAAGATGGATAAATTAAAGTTTCTGGCTTTAAGAAGCTTACAATCTAAAGTGAAATAAATATGTAAAAAAAAATAAGTGCAGTATAAATTCATGAGCATTTTTCTTTTTAACTACCATTTATTGAGTGTTTACAATATATTAAGCACTCTGCTAAATGCTTCACATGTATTGTTTCATGTAATCTTCACAGAAGCTCTGAGGAGTGTATGGTATTATCTGTACCTTTTTTAAGCTGTAGTTTTCTGAGCTCTGGTTTTCTAGTTTCTACTTTCTGAGTTAAAGAAAGTAACTTGCCTCGCCTCATAATCCTGGTGAAAGGCCTGCCTGTTTAACCTGTATCCTTAACCGCTGTACAATATTTCTCTATTGGAATTTTGTACAAAATGCAGTGCAGGTACAAAGGAAGAATGGTTGGTTCTTCCAGGAGATTAGAATATCATAGAAAAGATGGTTTGGTTTGTGTTTTAAAGGGAAAATCGAGGAGGGATGTGCAAGGAACAGTAAGCAGCACCTACAGAGGCGTAGACTGTAAAAGTGGGTTCTACATGTATTGGGGTATAGGGCTCTCAGCAGGAGGAGAAGATGGCAGGAAATGATTAGAGGGCAAGCAGAGGCCAGATCATAGCAAACCTCCTGTGCCAGGCTAAATGGTAGGCAGTGGACAGGATTTTAAGCCAAAGAGTACTATGATGCGGTTTGCATTTAGAAAAAGGTCTCAAGCTGCAGTGTGAAAGTTGGATTGGAGGGGTAGGTGGCTGAAGGCAGTCATATCGTTAGGAGATTACTGTGTAGGAGAAGTCATAGATGCACAATACCCAAACTAAGGTAGTAGCGGGAGAGAGACATTTCTGTCTCTGGACCAATTTTACATTGAAGTTAAATGTAAACTCAATTTCCGTTTGTTTTATTGAGGCAGTTTTTCTCAGTTGCCTTAAGAGGAAAGCAATAGCCACATCATCTGTGCTAAAATGTGCAGGTTCCTTTATTTTCTTTTGGAATGGAGATTAGATGCAAGGATGTTTCAATACCTGCAAATTCACAGATTAAACGTGAAGTTACCTGCTTTACAAGCCTTTATGGAACTTAAATTACTTTAACCATTTCTAGAGTTGCAGACTAAGCTCTTAATCTGAATATAACTAGCATTGTCAGTCTGTAACATGAGGGAAAATAGTGTCTTATGCCTGGGATTGGATTTTCCTATCTTGATAAATTTTTCTGTTCTGTGGTTTCTCTATCTCATATTTAATCACATTTTTTGTGTGTATCGTGAAATTGTCCCAAGGAAGTATTAATGGGAGCAAAACACTGAATTTTTTAGAAAGTCAAAAATCTGTTTGCATATATTGGTTTAAAAGAGAAACGTTTAAAAACTTTGTGATTGGTGACTCATAAATTGTAGTTACAGCTCGTGGGTCAGATGGCAGGAGCAGTGACCTGCATCTGATGAGTGAGCGCCTTAGCATCTAGTCCTGGTTCCTCTGAGGCACTCACAACAGTAACACTAACTTCATGTCGCGAGCATCTTAGCATTGACTGTACTGTATACCTTTTGAAATTATAGTGAAATGTTCCATATTTAGAGTTATATTTTGTCTTCATTGCACTTAGCTGTTTGCCATATTTTCTTTTATTTTTAGGCCTGCAAAAATTCAATCTGTCTTGATTTATCTGCTAATTGTTTGCATGGGAGGTTAACAGGAAACAAAGTAGTGAACTGGGACATTAAGGTAAGTTAATGATCAATGACAGGCAACATAGTATGTAAGTTTAGTGATGCTTTAAAGGAGTTTGTTTAAAAGCACCACCAACCTGATCTGAATAATAAGTCCTGGTTAAAATGTTTGCAGGCAAGATAGACAGTTTGAAGAATAAACAAATAAGTAGTTGAATGACTGTTTGATTTGCTTGAAACTTGGTTACCATTTTAAGCCATGCCATGATCTTAATGGTTTCCATAGAAAAATGTACTGCCTTAGTTAATTGCTCCACTTTAACATATTTAATCCCAGAAACTGTGTGGCAGATTTCAACCCCTGCTAACCTTCTCAGAGACTTCATTGATTCTCCCTTCTCTCCTGAACCACACGCTTCTCCCTGTCTACAGTCTCCTGTCCCTCAGCTTTAAACAACAGCAGATCTTTCCTCTCCAAGGTTGAAGATGAGTCACTTTCTCTCTTCACACGTCTGCCTCTCGCTATTCCATCTTGTCTGCCTCTTTCATGTGCCTCATATTTATATGAAGCTGCACATACACTTCTATCTAAGTTCTCTGCTTATTTTCCAAGACTTGAGTTCACTGCTTGTGTCCTGTGTTCCTGTCACACTGTCATTTCACTCATCATGGTGACCGATTCTTCAGTAGCCTTGAGAACGTCTAAGGAGGGCCTGTGCTTTTCTCGCCAGTCCTGGCGCAGGGATGTGCCACAACATGGTGGACTGAATGGTTACGTTAGTAAAGGTTGTTTGGGCTAATATGAAGGGCAGAGAGATCCTATTCCAAAAATACAACATTTCCTTAGATGTCTTAAATAGAAATTATAGCCTAAGTAAAATCAAAAGAAATATGAAAGTTGTGAAGGAACTTGCTGGTAAATCAGCAAAAAACTTTTATCTTCTAGTCTGTTAACACCAATCAAATATGCTTATTGTTTTAATGGAACAGAAATCGTTCGGATAATTCTGCCTGTGTAAAAATGAATCCATCAGTTAGTATTAATCTCATGTTATTCATGTGGTATAAAGCTTTTTCTCTCTGAGACTGGAACGCTTATTCTCGTTTGTTAACATAGTAAGATTATGACGTCTGCCAATTTTATCAGATAACTTCTGCTGTCACTTCTAAGATTGGTTTTACAAGGCTAGTTCTCTGTGTTACTTACATAAAGAAAGCTGATTATTTGTGCTGTACATACTTGAAAATCAGAGCAGTCTTTGTTGCCTTGAGTTACAGCTACATCAAAATCAAAAAGAAACAGTTATCAAGAAAAAGACTTTCATTTTTAGACTGCAACAAAATCAAAGACAAAAAAAATTAAATGAAATGACAGCTGGGGAAAAAATATTAGAAAGCGAATTTACTTACTGTACACAGCTCTTAAAAATGAATGTAAAAACAGGCAAAGAATATGAAAAGGTTGTTTACAAACTTAGGCTGGGTCTACACGGAAGTTTGGAACATTTTAGCAGTTAATAATCGCTAACCTTCTGTAGCACCCACCATGGATGTCAGGCTAAGCACTTCTCATATATTAGCTGAGTTAATCCTTCTAACAACTTTATAGAGTGGGAATTACTATTATTCCCATCTTACAGATGAAGAAACTGAGGCCAGAAAAAATGAGTAACTTATCAAAGGATGTTGAATATATTTTGTTAAGCTATCCAAAATAGTCACCTTGAATTTTGGTTGAAGCCACTCCCTCCACCTTTCTTATTAACTAAAAGTAGAGGAGTCAGTCTTATTTCTATGCCAAATACATTCTCCTTTTCTTTGTGACTTATTCCGCTGTTTGTTATTAAGGCCTAATTGCCGTGTGACAGTTTTTTCCTCATATCATTGGTATCACATTATGAAGTCTGCCTGTGGGGTCACATGTGGATTGCCTGTGTTTGGAATTCCTAAACTTTAGAAAACAAGTAAAAATGGTCTGGCCTGGTCTCTTAAATATTGATTATGGTGACCGTGAGGCTGCTCTTTCAAGCATCTGCTCATACAAGGGTTTCTCTAGCTGAGGCTATCCTATACATCGTCTGAAGGTATCTCAAATTGTAACCTCGTGCATGCCTTGTAGATATTAAATGACAAAATTGCCCTTGTTTTATAAGATTATAAAATTGTAATTTTCTTTTTCAGGACATCATAAACTGCATAGGTGGATTAAATGTACTCTTTCCTCTCTTGGAACAAATCAGCCACTCCAGTGAAGGACAGATTGCTGAAGGAATGAATGAAAGCACAGTGTCTGAGTTGATAACACCTGTGGAAGGAGATTGGGTGGTATTGACCTCCACAAAGGCATCAGGTATTAAGATGAAATTAACATAAAATAGTCATTGAGAAACTTGAATTAATCAAAAAATAGATTAAAGTGTCTTGCCACCACTAGGAAGAAACTTAACCATTTGTTGCTGAAGCAGCCCATCCCTAATTTTTTTAATGTAGTTCAGAGAGTTCATAATACTTGGTCGAAAAACTTAAGATGTTAGTTTTACTCTTGACTATCGTTGGTTTGTGTTCTTAGTAGAAATATAACAACATTGTTAAATTTGTGGTAGAGAAAATATTTAGATGTGTATATAAGTATACAGTATGCAGTTGCTGTGCTCTCTGATATTTCTGTTCTGCAAGTGACCTTTGGAGGCAAATTCCTGAACCAGATTCCTTGTTTGTTATAATGTGCATTATGATGTAGAAAAAGTGATATAAAAGTGATTAGAGTAATTACAATAATTAATGACATGTTCACATTTCCAGAGTCAAGACTAGAGAGAAATTTAATTGCAACGTTTATCTTGATTGTGAAACACTTTATTCAAAGACATCCTATTAACCAGGATAATCTTATTCACTCCCATGGAGTTGCCACTCTTGGTGCCTTACTTCAGAAGGTGAGCTCGTCTAACCTGATGTAGGTGTGGCTGATGATTGTAACTAGCAGTCAGTGTTGGGGTTTTTTCTTCCTAATAAATAAATATATATATTTTTAAATTTCACTATTACAGCGTAAGTTATATTAGTAGATATAATTTTTTTCACAAGCAGCTTTTAAAAACTTCTGTTGATGGCAGGCCTGGTGGTGTGGTGGTGAAGTTCCCACACTCTACTTCAGCAGCACAGGGTTTGCAGGTTCAGATCCCAAGTGCAGACCCAGCACCATTGTCAAGCCACGCTGTGGTGGCATCCCACATAAAATAGAGGAAGAGTGGCACAGATGTTAACTCAGGGACCATCTTCCTCAAGAAAAAAGAAGAAGATTAGCAGTGGATGTTAGCTCAGGTCCAATCTTCCACAAAAAAATAACTAAACTTCTGTTGAATCATATGAATTACTTATCTTACATAACAGTGTATAATCTTTGATGGATAGGACCTTGGTTGTTGGCTTTCGTATTTGGGATATTTGATCAGTTTAAGATTCTGTTTTAGGAATATGACATTAGGAAAGTATGTTCTAGTGTTACATCAGAAAAATTAATGTTTAAGTTGTTTATATTTTTCTAACCAAGATTTTTGTATTTAGTAGATGTTCTGAATTAATCATTGGAAATTATAGCTTAATGACAATTATTTAAAGTGAACTTTACAGAACCCTATTCTGTTTGGATTTCAGGTGCCAAGCACCTTGATGGACGTTAATGTATTGATGGCAATTCAGTTGCTAATTGAACAGGTATCATTAGAGAAGAATATGCAGCTCCTGCAACAAATGTATCAATATTTACTCTTTGACTTCCGTATTTGGAACCGTGGAGATTTTCCCTTTCGAATTGGTGAGAGCAGACTGTTAGATAAGGTTTAAGGTTTTATAGTTTTAGAAATTTATAACTACCTATGTAACTTTATTTTGGGTATATCATTTTAAGAGTGAACTTTCTATTTTAGGTCATATACAATATCTTTCTACCATCATCAAAGACAGTAGGAGAGTTTTCCGAAAGAAGTATGGTGTGCAGTTTCTCCTGGATACACTTAGGATTTATTATGGGTATGATGTCCTTGCTCCTTCTCAGTCTGATATTGTTTTCTGTCTGCTACTTAATTGGAATGTCTGGGTTATTTATTTTCCAGGAATTCTAATATCCTAGTGTGGAGGTTAAAATGACAAACAATGGATCACATACGTTGGGTTTGAATCTTGTGTTTTATTAATTGTCTATCTATAGGCAACTCACTTAACTTTTCTGTGCTTAAGTTTTCTGGTCTGTGACAAGGAGATAATGAAACTGACAACCTATGGTTGTTTGAGGATTATAAATTAAATAAATTAATAATGTATAGAGCACTTAGATCTGTGTCTGCCACATAGTGAGTGTTGCATAAATATAACCTGTTTTAACAATTTATATCTTTGTCATTGAAATTGCTAACCTCAAAAGGTTTTCCCTAAAAAGAAAAGCCAAAGATACCATGAATTCTATTATTACATTAATTCTATTAATTACCGTCTTTTTTAAACTGTAAATTCTTTTAAAAAGTACAAAAATGTAAAAATTAAAAATTTCAATTTTTGCGCTTTTGCTTTCTTTTTCAGGAGTGATTGTAAATATAGTGAGCTGTCTTTAGATGATATTCGAACAATAAGGACTTCTTTGTATGGACTGATTAAATATTTTCTGTGCAAAGGTGGAACTCATGAAGAGATACAAAGTATCATGGGTTACATAGCTGCTATCAGTGAAGAAGAACAGGTATTTGCCCGAGATAAGTCTGTTTTTTCTTTTTAACATTTATGTTGCTATATCATCTCCTTTTAAACTTATATATATATCTGTTAAACATATATATATGTGGGGGTTTTTTGGTGAGGAAGATTGTCCCTGAGCTAACATCTGTGCCAGCCTTAGTCTGTTTTATGTGGGACACCACCACAGCACAGCTTGATGAGTGGTGTGTAGGTCCACGCCTGGGATCCAAACCTGTGAAGCCCGGGCTGCTGAAGCAGAGCACATGAACTTAACCACCACGCCACTGGGCCGGCCCTGATATTAAACATATTTTAAGAGTAAAATATTTATAGTGTCCCATACAGTATTATGCAGTTAAAGAAGTAAATTTTATCTCTTCACTGAAAGTTATTAAAATAGACGGCAGTGTAATAAAATATTTTAATTAGCTAGAAAGCAGTATGGGGAAAAAGTTGCTTTGTCTGGCTATTCTGAAGCCTGTTTTCCTAGGTCACATAATGTATATTTACCTGTCATCAAAGTTACTGGGCAGATTTCTAACATGAATTTTAACATAACATAGGTTCATAAAAGTTTTGCGTAAAGAGTAAATTGTAAATGTATTTCTATTTTTAAAAACTTTTACATACATTATTTATTTATACTTCAGAGCTACCCTTTTGACAGTGGTCCTCAGTGTATGGTCCCTGACCAGTGCTACCTGGGAACTTGTTAGAAATGCACATATACTGCAAAGTCAAGCCTTCCTGGTGATTACAGACTAGGAATTACTCTTCTCGTTTGCGCAGTTGGAAATGTACGTTCAGAGAGATTAGGTGACTTAACTTTAAAAAGTCACGTAGCTGATAAACCTGGAACTAGAACCCAGGTGTATTTACTACTCTTTCTGTGCTCTTTTTGTATACCGCTCTCTACACCAAATTTGAACAGCCTTAATTGATGTTGACTCAAATATTTTGCCCCCATCATCAAATATTCATTGTGTAGTAAGGGTTACATGACTTCATGTTGGTACTGGATAGATGAATTAACTTAGGCTGTTTCCCTGAAGGTTGAACTACTTCAAAAGTTTGCCATTATTTAGAATCATGGGTAGCCATCTTATTTCATGATAGCTTATTGTCACCCGCTGTGATTCATTGCCAATGATATTTTCTTGGTCAACTCAGTCAAAGAATCGTTTATTGAAAACTTACTATATACGTAGAATAATAGTGGACATTGTGTATAATGATGAATGAATTATCATTCTTTTAGCCTAATGGAGGCAGGGTTGGATAAGAGAGGTTTGTAAATACTTGTGAAACAGAAAAGAGTGTGATAATCTATAAGAGAGATACAGAGTCCTATGAGGTGTTCATAGGAGAGTAATACATGTTGAGGAGACCAGCAAAGGCTTTATGGAAGACCTGGCTTTTCGTATGGACAGAGCAGGACAGGTGTGGTTCAGCAGGTGAATATGGGTAATGTGAGAGGATTTACAAAAGGACATGGAATAAGCCAAAAGCGTAGTGGAGGGGAAAGGCAGGGCTAGTTCAGAAGACATCAGATAGTCCAGGTAAGCTAGAACGTGAGGGTATATAGAAGTTAGTTGAATAACTGTTCGTGGTTTATGACTTTATTTGTGCTTCCGTATGTGAGTGTGGTTGTTTGTTTTGTGTTGTTTAATTTCAAAAGCTCTTTGGAATTTTGGATATACTCTTCAGTCTCCTACGTACCAGCCCAACTAGAGGTCAGCTTTTCTTACTGCTGTTTGAACCAGGAAACGCTGACATACTTTATGCCTTGCTCTTAAACCAAAAGTACTCTGACAGACTAAGAGAAGTCATTTTTAAGGTACAGACGTTTCTTAATCATCCTTATATTTTGGGGCATTTATGGGTATATGAATTTCATTGGAATATGTCCATTCTATGAATATAAATTCTTTTTTCATATCTACTTCTATCTAATTTTAAATTGTTCAGTGTGTTTTGAAATATATTTTTCATGTTTTTGTTATTTGCATATTAAAAAACTAATTGTATTGTCATCTGATCAATCATTTCAGTGGAAAATCTACTTTGTCATACCACCCTCAATATAAAATCTCTCATTTCCCTTTTGACTTACAGTAGGTCTACCTGGCAGATACTAACTAACCTCATGTAGCACTCACTATTTCTCATGAACTAAATGTTTTTCATATATTAGCTTACTTAGTCTTTGAAACAACTTTGTGAAGTGGATGTTATTATTATCCCCACTTTACAGATGAAGAAACTGAGGCCAGAGAAATTAGTAACTCATAAAAGGATATAGAACATATCTTATTAAGCTATTTATAATATCCAAAACTTTGAACTTTGGCTGAAGCCACCCGCTCCACGTTTTTTGTTAACAACAGATAGAGGAGTCAATCATATTTCTACTGCCAAATACATTCTCTTCTTTTCATGATTTATTCTCCTGTTCATTATTAAGACCCAAGTGCCTTGCGACAATTGTTTCCTCTTACATCATCGGTGTTAGATTATCAAATCTACTTTTGGGCTTGTGTTTAGATTGCCTATGTTTGAAATCTCTAAACTTTGGAAAACAAAGGCACAGTAGAAATGGTCTGACATACTCTCTCCTGAGTGTTAGTTCTGGTGACCCCTGAGGCTCCTCTTTAAAGCATGTGCCACACAAGGTCCTTCATGGAGATTAAATGTTATTTCTCCAAAATTGGCCTTGCCAGGGATTGTTCACAATATTATTTTGCCAAGATTACCATTTCTACATAGAGTTTCAGTATCTCACTTTGAAAAATGTTGATCTCACTGCAAGAAGTGTGGGGTTACAAATTCATTCTCCCATTTCAGCAGTGGACCGTTTCTTCGCAAAATGTTTCCTTGTTCTTGGAAATTATTTTGTAACTGTCGCTGAAATGGATTACCAGCTTGATCTAGAAGTATGCTCGTTCTCTTTCAGAACACACCTTTGTTCCTCTTAAAGCTGCAGGGTTTGTTTCCATCTACGCTTTAGCCATTAAAATAAAATTTTACATTATTTTTCTTTCATTTGCCAAGAAATATATGTAAATTAGAGATTCAAATGTATTAATTATTCAAATACAGATGTGTTTCAGTCCAATTTATTCTTAGATCCATTTTTTAATGATAGTATGATATGGAGTGCTCTTCCCTATTAGTGCTGGGTTTTTTGGGTTTTTTTTAACATTTAAGGAATAAAGTGATGCTCCAAAAACCTTGTATGCTAATATTTTATTCAATATGAATGTAAGTGACGACCTGTTCTCAGTTGTCTATATTGAGAAGAATATATTACTGTTGTGACCAGGTTATGGAACAAATGCTGAAATGCACAAATGTTTATGAACGAAGTAAACAACGTATTCGACTCCGAGAAGTTGGCTACTCAGGATTGGGACTCCTTCTTAGTGAAGCACCCGTGAATACTTCTCTCTTGAAAAACCTCACCAATCAAATTGTAAACGCAGGTATGACGGAGACTGATAGTACTGATACATTCAAGACGTGTTCTTCATGTGACGTAATTCTATTTGATGGTTTTCAGGTTTTTTTCCTGAAGTGTTTTCCCCTTCCTCCCTCAGGTTGCTTTTTAAATTACCTGTTACCTGTCTCAGCAGAGCTTTGCTTGGGTGCTGATGTCCCTTTGTTGTTTTTGACTCCCCAGAGCATAGCACAGCGCCTTACTTGGTAGGCCTTCAGTAAATGTTTATTTGCTGACTGATTAGTAAATAATTGAGTCTATGTAACAAGAAAATGACACTAGAGAAAATATATACAAAATATTTTTTTATGGAGGTTAATTAGCCCTGAGCTAACATCTGCTACCAATCCTCCTCTTTTTGCTGAGGAAGATTAGCCGTGAGCTAACATCTGTGCCCATCTTCCTCTATTTTATATTGTGGGACACCTGCCACCGCATGGCTTGATAAGCGCTGCATAGGTCCGCACCCAGGATCCAAATGGGTGAACCCGGGGCCTCTGAAGTGCAGCACACGAACCCAACCGCTGTGCCACCAGGCCGGCCCCTGGAGGTTAAATTCTTAAAGACAAAATGAAAACTAGTTTCAGATATTCTTTTTTGTTTCTGATTTTGTTTTTATAAGCCATGTTTTTAGTACTTACTGTGAAATTTATATCAGGTGCCCGGGATTCAAAAAGTTGTAAGATAAGGTTCTTTGTCTTGAGTGGTTTACCATCTCATTGATAAGATAAGACATATACATAAAAAGATTAATAATAGTATAAGATCCAAGCAGTATGGACAATGTGTTCAGGCAGTGAAAAGAAGAGAACAGTTATTTCGAATTTACTCAGAAGATGTCAAACATTCCAAGCCTATTGTCTTTGTAAAATTTGAACATCTATAATTTTTTTTTTTTTTATTAAAGATTTTATTTTTTCCTTTTTCTCCCCAAAGCCCCCCGGTACATAGTTGTGTATTCTTCGTTGTGGGTTCTTCTAGTTGTGGCATGTGGGACGCTGCCTCAGCGTGGTCTGATGAGCAGTGCCATGTCCGCGCCCAGGATTCGAACCAGCGAAACACTGGGCTGCCTGCAGCGCAGCGCGCGAACTTAACCACTCGGCCACGGGGCCAGCCCCTGAACATCTATAATTTTTACTGAAAATGAAGTAATTATTTTAGCATTTATATAACTATTAACCACGGTTCTTTCTTTGAGAAAGAGTAAGAAAGCTGGAGGCATCACACTTACTGATTTCAAACTATACTACAAAGCTAGAGTAATCAAAACAGTAAGCTGTAGGCATAAAAACAAACACATAGAACACAGGAACAGAATCAAGAGCCCAGAAATAAACCCATGCATATACAGTCAACTCATATTTGACAAAGGATCCAAGAATACTCAATGGGGAAAAGATGGTCTCTTCAGTAAATGGTCCTGGGAAAACTGGATAACCGCATGCAAAAGGATGAAAATGGACCCCTATCTTACACCACTCACAAAAATTAACTCAAATGGATTGAAGATTTAAATGTAAGACCTGAACCGTTAAACTCCTAGAAGAAAACATAGGGAAAAAGCTCCTTGACATTGGTCTTGGCAGTGATTTTTTGGATATAATGCCAAAAGCACGAGCAACAGAAGTCAAAATAGACAAATGAGACTACATCAAACTAAAAAGCTCTGCACAGCAAAAGAAACCATCACCAAAATGAAAAGGCAAGCTGTGGAATGGGAGAAATATTTGCAAATCAAAATATAAAAAGAAGTTAATATCCAAGATATATAAGGAAGTCATAAAGTCAATAGCAAAAAAAAATCCAATTAAAAAATGAGCAAAGGACCTGAATAGACATCTTCCAAAGAAGACATGCAGATGGCTAACAGGTACATGAAAAGGTGCTCCAATGAAATATTAGAGCACACACAATAGACTATTAGCCATAAAAAAGAGGGAAATCCTGCCATTTGTGACAACGTGGAAGAACCCGGAGGGCATTCTTCTAAGTGAAATTAAGTCAGACAGAGAAGGACAAATACTATGTGATCTCACTTCTATCTGAAATCCAAAAAAATCCAACTCGTAGAAACAGAGTAGATTGGTGGTTGCCAGGGCCAAGAGAGTAGGGGAAGTGTGTGAAGGTGGTTGAAGGGTGCCAACTTCCAGGTATAAGATGGATAAGTTCTGGGGATCTCATGGCCAGCATGGTGACTGTAGATAACGATACTGTGTTATTGTATACTTGAAGGTTGGTAAGAGAGCAGATCTTAAATGTTCTCACCACAAAAAGAAAAATGGTAACTATATGAGGTGATGGATGTGTTAACTAACGTTATTGTGGTAATCATTTTGCAATATGTATGTATATGAAATCGTTACGTTGTACACTTTAAATTTACACAATGTTTTATGTCAATTGTCTCACCAAAGCTGGACAAAAATAAAGGGCATCTGTGGTTGACAGCAAAAAAAGAAAATAAAAACAAAACAGTTATTTCAGCGTTTATGTACTATTACCAACAGTTCTTTCTTTGGTTATCTCTGGAATTTAATTTTAACTTTTTGTTTTTCCTATGATAGATCCTGCTATTAATTTCAAAGATCTGTTATCTGTGGTGTATATGTCCCGCAGAGCGCACATCAATGTCAGAGTGGTCATCTGCAGAAAGGTTAGTAAACTTTTAAGATGCAGTTTAAGAATAGCAGTATCATTATACCCTGAATAATTCTTAGCTTGAATATTTTGCACAAGATGTAAGTTTTAACATCTGTCATTTTATAAATGAACAGTCCCCCTTTTTGAGGTGAATTAACTTCATGTAATCACAAGGAATCAGCCTATGGATTTCTTCCTCTTAGCTCTGCATGGGCTCCGGGAAATGTGTGCTTTGCAGAGTCAAAAAATTGTAACTGGAGAGTAGTTTCTTTATCAAGAACCTTCAATGATTGTGAACATTTCTAATTCATGTACCATATTTTAGAGTTTCTGAAAATTTTGAACTTTGTGGGAAGAATTTTCTGCAATTCGTTTATGAGTATTCCAACAGTGATTTGCACTCAGTGCACCCATTTGACTTTTAACTGAGTCAAAGAATGGTCATCCCGTGTGCTTTCTGCTCATTGTAACCTTCTCTCTCCTCCCCTGGAGCCACTGACCTGCCTAGTATTCGCTTCTTTATCTTACTCCCTCATTATGTCACAGTATTTTTCCCTCAGTAAATCTGCATATATATCTCTTTCTTTAATGGCTACATAGTTTTTCATTCTATGGCTGTTTATAAAGTATTATCTGGTTCTTTGTTGATGGACATTGAGGTTGTTTCCTGTTTTTCCATGTTAATAAACTTCTGTTAAAAACTTATTTTTACATATACCTTTACTTATGTACGTCTGTAAGACATAATCTGTGAAATGGAGTTGCTGTGTGAAAGGCACATAAATTGATCCGTTCCTTTCAGTGTGCAATTAGAAACAGCTTTCAGTGCAGCCTAGTTTTATCCATTTATATCTATAAAATAGACATAAAGTAAGTCTTACTATATGGAAATTTTAAAGTCATGAAAGGTTTCTTTGCCAAGCGAAGCTTAATCTGAAAGAAAAAAATTTTTATTCTGCACCAATAGAGTAATGGTTTCTCATTATTGATAGCATTAGTGAAGAAAGAAATTTCACGTCATTGTGATCTGCTTTCTGCATCAACGTCAGCATACATTAGAACCATTAATATTGAAGTCCCTACCAACATTATTCATCTCCTGCTGTGAAACTTCTCAGAGCTAGAAATTCTGATAAAAGAGACACTCTAAACACTGGGAGCCAAAGTTCTTTTCATCTACATAGAAGATATGTTCTTTTTGGGTGAGGACATTGTCCTTGAGCTAACAGCTGTTGCCGGTCTTCCTCTTTTTGCTTGAGGAAGATTGGCTCTGAGCCATCACCTGTTGCCAATCTTCCTCTTTTTGCTTGAGGAAGATTGGCTCTGAGCTATCATCTGTGCCAATCTTTCCTCTCTTGTGTGTGTGGGACGCTGCTGCAGCATGGCTTGATAGTGATGTAGGTCCACGCCCAGGATCTGAACCCGTGTACTGGGGCCACCGAAGCGGAGCGCACTGAACTTGACCACTACGCTGCTGAACCAGCCCTATCTACGTAGGAGTTTATTGGCTTTGTGATAAAAATGTCTTAAAGATCGTAACTGAATTTCTGACAGTGTTTGAGAACTTGTTTTTATCAAAAAAATGTGAAATCAAATGGATAGCAGAGGTCATACTTAGTGCTACGTCAGTGTCTACTCTTTAATTTCAGCTTCTTAATCCAGCTAAATAGCAGCATCCGTCTTATTGGAATTAGTTTTTTGGAATTAAAAGTTTAGTTTTTGTTTTGTTTGTACAATATAGCGTTAATGAAAAAACATGTTTTTGCAAAAGCAACCATCAACTTTGCCTGGATAAAGAAAATGAGATGAGAAAACTTTATTCTTGGGGTTCCTAGGGTCTGATACCAAAGTACCAAGACACTTTGATAGTGTCTTGTGTGTCCTGTTTCCTCCTGTCCCCAGTGCTGGAACTTCGCCTGGCTCATGGTAGATATTCAGTGTTTGCTGAGCAAATGTGGTGGCTCGTGGAAAGTTGTTAGTTGAGAGGACATAACTTTATTACACTTGATGCAAACTTTCATTCTATTTATATTTCCTCTCTCACCAAATTAAAGTAATAACATGAGTGTGTTGACATGTGGAGGATCATTTTCTTTTTTCCTTTTTTATCTTTCAGCAAATATTTGAGTACATCCCTACTCTGTACAATGAGTAATATGCAGATTAATTAAAAACACAATGTCTGCCCTTCATATAGCTTATAATCCACTTAAGAACATAATCTTTTGAAAGTATATCCTCCCAAAGTTTCTCATTGTTACTTTGTCATTAAAATAACTGAAAAGAAATTGTTTTTGATGTAAAATACTGTGTACTTTTTGACGAATTTTGTATTCTTCATCTCTTTGTAGATTTTACAGATTTTACAATCCCAGCCAGATGCAGCACATCAAATATCTCAACAAGTGGGTTGGCAAGACACTTTAGTTAGGCTTTTTTTAAAAGCAAATTTTGAAAATGGAAATACTCTTCATAAGCACAGTAGGGCTGTTTCAATGAAAGACAATGATAAAAATATATCAGCTGACGATAATAAGAGGAACTTCGATGAAAAGATGGATGAGGAAAAAATCAACTCTTTTGCCTCCACTAATGTGTCTTCAGATCAGTGGAGTCTGGAGGATAGACGCTCTCTAGACTCAAACACACCATTATTTCAAGAAGATAGCTCTGTGGGAGAGTTGTCTTTCAAATCAGAGAACCAAGAAGAATTCTGGCATCATAGTCCTTCACACTTGAGTTTAGATCTCAGTAGAATTGACTCCTGTGAACTGAGTGACAGTGGAGGTCAAATGCCAGACAGCCTGCCTAGCACACCATCCCCCATAGAGTCTACTAAATCATTTTCTGTGCCGTCTGACAAAGAAAGCAGCATCACAAGTGACACGGGCTTCAGCGATGACTTCTCTTTACTTGAAAGCCAGGAGGTAAAATTCCTTATCTGTCCAAATGCTCTTTTTGTTTCTATATGTCTATGTATACTTCTGATCCTTAGATGTATGTAATTGTTAACAATTTCATATTATGTTCATGTTCTGAGTCTCATGATCTAAGCTATTAGAAGCCTAGAAGTCACTAAATTGTGTGTCTTGAGAGCAAAGCCAGTGTTTTCTTCATCCTTGTATCTCTGACTTTGTATAATGTTGAACCCAAAGTTCCAGGTTTAGTGTATGTGATGGTTCTTACGATGTGCTTTTAACAGCCCCTCCCCCCGATAATTTACCATTACTTTATGTTTTGTGTAGAGATGTGAGGAGGAGCTTCTTCAGTTACTGACAAACATTTTGAGTTATGTGATGTGTAAGGGGCTGGAGAAGTCTGATGACGACGCTTGGATTGAGCGGGGACAAGTGTTTGCAGCGCTAACTAAACCAGGGATATCCAGTGAGCTGCTTCGACCATCAGATGAAATAAAACTAATGTAAGCATTCAGTTGGTGACTTCCCCTCTCCTTTTGGAGTGGGCAGGAGTCTAAAATAATATTTATTATTGAACATTTATTCAGTATTCAGTGGGTGTTGAGAGGAAAAAGGAGAAACTTTGTGCTTTTCCTGTCTTTTTGCCATTCCAGTGGGATCTAGAGAGAAATCCAGAACTAACTCCAGTGTGAGGAGATTTAAATCTTAAATTAATTTGGGTTTTAAGTGATTACGTGTTCCTTGTTGTTTAAATTGTTTGCTGCAGTGTCTAAGCACTTGGTGCCTTGTCTTCTACAGTCTTATCCAAATTTGAGTGTTTCCATGCTGAGGGAAGGGAGTAGTCTTTTCATGAAAATTGCTTCTCCAAAGGGCTGAGTTCTCTGCATCTGAGAGAACTCTGTAACATTAGCATACTCGGGGAGAACACTTCTCTGTTTTTCCACAGGGTTAGGCTTTCTACCCTCGTCTTTCCAATTTCAGCTTTAAAGAAACTCTGGACTATCTTAGGGAGACTGGAATGTGAATTATTTTCATAGCTATTTTATGGTCAAGTCAAACAGGTAACTTTTTTTTTGCCTTTTAGTATTAGGTGTATTAAAAATAGATACTCCAAAGATTAAAAGTTGCTTCATTGTTACTAAATTCCATCCACAATGTCTTATGATACCTGCCAGTAGTAGTGTATCTTTGGAGATACAGTCCTGTTCATAAGTAACTGGGTCTTTTTTCCATGTCCTGCGATTTCTCTAAACTTGAAATTGTTTTAAGAGGACTTTGTTTTACACTTAGTTTGCTGCAGAAGATGTTAGAATGGACAGTCACAGAGAACAGAGAGGCAAAAACTAATCCGGTAACTGCTGAGAATGCCTTCCGGCTCATGCTGATCGTACAGGACTTCCTGCAGTCAGAGGGGCTGGTTAATCCAAACGTGTGGACGGAGAAGGTACAGTAAGACCTCTTTGAAATTCTTTTCTGGTAGTGGAGGACTTTATTCAAGGAAAGAAATTTTGTACTCCCTCTTTTCAGAGCATTGGTATTTAGTCGGAAGCAATGAACATGGATAGGATGTGGTAAAAGTCAGGTTTTGTTAGCTCTTACTAGGATAGTTCTTTTCGCTTTTGCCAACTGAACATTGAACCATTTTTGAAATATTTATGATTTGCATTTCTGTTGGGGAACACGCATCATTGGAAGATTTACAAACTGAGTGTTTTTATTTCTCAATTTTTCCTTTGTGACAGCTTTTAGAGAATATGATGCAGCTCTTCGATGGTCTCTCAGTTTGGTATTCGGAAAGTCCAGTATGGGTAAAACTCTCTCAAATTCAAATCCAGTTGCTTCTAGGATTCATTGGAAGGGGTAATTTGCAGGTTTGTCAGTTCTTTTACATTATTTTCTCTACTTTCATGCAACATAGGTATTATTTGTGTGATAACTAAATGATAAAACGTTTTCGATATTTTAATTTTTTTAATTAGTTCAAAAAAATATCTGTGATTTCAGTTACGTTTTGGTTTTGAGATCAGAAAGAAGCTTGAGAGGCAGCTAATTATCTCTCCCTGATGTTTATCACTCCGTATAATTTTAAGGTTTCCGTATAAAGGATTCGCACATGGCTTATGTTAGAAGGCATTGCTCGTGTCATCTGTATTTAGTGCTGCTGTGCAGCCTGCATAGGCTGTTTGTACATGTACAGTTTGGGGCTTGCATTTTTAGGAAAACGATTTTTAAATTGTTCCTTTCAAAATCTTTTTCTATTACTCTATGAAGCTACTAATCCAGTTTCACATTTACTTCATATATTTTCATTCGTCAAAGACTCACTGAGTACCTACCCAATGTTAGCATTGTACTAGGTTTCTGAAATAAACATAAATAAAATATAGACCCAAGGAACATTTTTTGTTTCTATTTTTAATTAAAATTTTTAAAAGTTGGAAAAGTTCCATGTGCATTTTAGTCTGTCATCTTTCCATTTACATTGGATGCTTGTGGTGACCTCGGTTGGATTAGTCATGACATGTGTCCCTTAGCTGTTTACCTGGCCCTGTTTATTTTCTTTTGATACTGGAATTTTAAGTACTTGGGGCAAGGGGGTCTTGATGGAGATATATTATGTATTTCTAAGATATATAAACTTGCTATAATATTGATAAGAACATGAGGAGGTTAAAATTCCATACGATTGCCTTGTTTTAAAAAAGCCATACTTTGCGGCCAGCCTGGTGGTGTAGTGGTTGAGTTTGTGTGCTCCGCTTTGGTGGCCCAGGGTTCACAGGTTTGGATGCTGGGTGTGGACCTACCCACTGCTCATCAAGCCATGCTATGGTGGCATTCCACATACGAAAAATAGAGGAAGATTGGCACTGCTGTTAGCTCAGGGCAAATCTTCCTCAAGCAAAAAGAGGAAGATTGGCAACAGATGTTAGCTTAAGGCCAGTCTTCCTCACCAAAAAATAAATAAATAAAAAACAAAAATAAATTAAAAAGCCATACTTTTCAATAGATATTTTTTTACAATTGTAAAAGTAACACATGCTCATCGTGGAAAATACACAAAAACATAAAGAGAAAAAAATAAATAAATTCGTCAAGGGGCTGACCCCATGGCTGAGTGGTTAAGTTCATGCGCTCCACTGTGGCAGCCCAGGGATTCGCCAGTTCAAATCCTGGGCGTGGACATAGCACCGCTGTCAGGCCGTGCTGAGGTGGCATCCCACATGCCACAACTGGAAGAACCCACAGCTAAGAATACACAACTATGTACTGGGGGGCTTTGGGGAGAAAAAGGAAAAAACTAAAATCTTTAAAAATTAAATAATAATTAATTAAATTCATTGTGCTGTAGCCTAAGAGGAAACAACTTCTATATTTAGTATTTTTTCTTATGCGCCTATTTTTTCAGATGATTGAAATCATAATATATTTTGATAATTTTGTGTTCTTTTTCTTTCTCTTACAATTGTATCAAACTCATTTCCCTGTGTTACTCATTTTTTAAAGATGTTTTTGTCATAATCATAAAAGTAACACATGTTCATTATAGAAAACGTAGAAAATGCAGAAAAGTTAAACAGAAAATGGTCATTCTGATCCATGGATGGTGGAAATTTGAGTTGTACCCCCTTTTAAATGCAGTTTGAAAATATATGAACCAAGAACTTTAAAAAAATTACGGTACTCTTTATCTAGTAGTTCTACTCTAAAACCGTATCCTGAGGTAGCATGGTAAAAGACCAGACAATCCTTGTAAACGTATGTTCACTGTAGTGTGCTTTGTTTCTCCACTTAGAACTAGAATGAGGATAGCTTTTTTGGCTTTTTCATCAATATTAGCCTGATAGCAGTTAAAGCAATTGCAGCCAGGATGCCACGTAGTTATTTATTTCAGATATTAGCACTCTATTTTTGTTCCACTCCTAGTCACCCTCAGTGTTTTTCTCTTTGATGAAGTTTCCCTAAATAAAATGTCTGTTTCTTTAATTTGTTCAGCATTAAATATCCGGTGCCCATCCCATGGTAGGGCTCTATTATAAATACTTGTTAAATAAATAGGCTGATCCTGTCTACCGTAGTTAGTGACCTGGAACCTTTCTCACTAGCAAGTTGTTGGCTTTCATTCTCTCAGGAGCAGAAGCATATTCCCCGAGGCTGTGCGTGTTAGGGGCTGGGGGAGGAGCCTCTTCCCTCATGCAGGTTTAAGTGGAGCTGCCTGCACAGGGAATCTGACAGCAAACTTGTTTTGATTGGCCCCTATATGTTATTTAATTGCCAGTATTTAAGCGTTAGAAGATTTCCCATAAAATGTCAGGATTTCCCAAAATTAAAGTGATGGTCAAGTAGCTTCTTTTATATTCATCAAATGTATCTTTATACTTTTAGGTAAAACATAAACTTAGTGTTTATGTAGTACCATCATATTAAGTTAAAAGCAAAGCACCGAATATTCAACTTTTTATGTAAGAAGTATTTTTAAAAACACATAGCAAAAAGCCCAGAATGTTAGCATTGGTGTTTCCTGGATGATGGGGTTTTATGATATTTTTTCTTACGTTTGTTGGCCTCTATTTGAATTAAGCTGCTTTAGTCAAATTCAAAGGCTAAAGTGAAAAGTTTAGGGGAAAATCTGAGAAGGGCAGAGAAGCTTCACTACTAGAAGCTTAAGGTAAAAGTAGAAAAGTTAGTTTTGAGCTGTCTTAGAGACTGTTTCCTCTGACGCCGTATGCTGCTTTAAGGCTTGCGTGGAAGGGCTGCCTGGGTCCCTGCTTCTTGTCTTGGCCTGCGAAGGCCTGTGTGCACAGCTCAGATCAGCTTTTGGCACAAATACATTATTGAAGTGATGTCAGGTTCTAATACTTTCTTTCTCTCTTTCTCTTTTTTTCTTTTTAAGTAATAAGATGCAAAACTGGATTCTAGGGTTAAGAGGGAGAAGGAAGCACATTTGTCCTGCTATGGTTTTTAAAGCTTGGCTCTTTCTCTTGCCTAGACAGAATGAGGCCCCTTTCTTAGTTGGAGTTTAAAGCTAAAGCTTAAGAGTAATATAGGGTATTCCTTTGCCTCAGTTTGTGCCCTGAATATGTATTTTCTTGGAACTTTAAGGGTAATTAGATTTCTGATCAAGGACTCAGTCTCCTACAAACCTGTCCTTTCTGTAACAGAATGCCTTTGATTCCAAATAACAAATATCAACTCAAATTAACGCAGTTAAGAGGATTTGTTGGCTCATATAGTTGAAAATTCAATAGTTAGTAGGAGTTTAAGGCATGATTCAGTCAAGGATCCAGTTCCCTTTATTTGCTGTTCTCACAGGATTGCTCTCCAGCGTGTGTCAGCTTGTCTTAAGCTGGCTGCCCTTATTGTCACAAAATGGCTGCCAACAGCAGTTGAGGCTACGTGCTTCCCCATTCATATCCAGAGACAGAGAGTGCTTCTTCCTGCAGTCATTGTTGGCAGGCAGTTCTTCGGGGATCTCTTGTGTTCTGCACATCTGAAAAGAGGCACTGCATGCCTTTGTTATAAACTGTCTTTTTGAGGATTGGAAGACAGAGATCATGTCTCCCTCCAGAGCAAAAGGCAGGATCGTTTACTGTTCGATATAATAAAGATAATGTCTCCCTCCAAGGCAAAGTTTGGGCACACTCCCCACTGTAAGAGATTTGAGTTCCTTCTGCTTTGGGTTGCACTCCTGTGACACAACCACTGTGTGCACGGGCACCATCTAGTCCTGTTACTCTCTCGCCGTGGGAATTGCATTTCGGGGAACTAGGGAGAATGCTGATGTTCCAGCTGTTGTTAATGCTGTGATCCGTGTCTCTGACCGAGGAGTCTCGTGTCTTCTGCCAGCATCTGTGAAACTCTGGTAGGCTAACTTGTTAAGTTGGAGGTGAGGTAGCATCAGAGACCCTTCACGGTTCTTGACAGTTACTGTGTCAGAATTCTGAACTCGCACTGATGAAGCTATGCCTGAAGGAATCCCTGTGACAAAGGCAGTGCCATGAGTTGGCTGAAAGATGAGTTCCTGGACCAGTCACTGTGGCAAGGGGTTGGATTTTCTGTTCGGCTTATATCTTTTAGGATCTATTGTTGGAACAAAAGATGGAATCACCCTTGTATCCTTAGAAACTATAAGAAGCAGTAGAATGGACATTGGAGTGATTAATTATCCATCACAAGTTTTCTGTATATTCCAAATTAAATATGGGTTCCTTTTATTATATATTTAAAGAAACGACTTCAATAAGAGCCAAAGAACTATTGCTGTCGCTCATTGTCTGTTTTATTCTGCTCTTTCTCACCTAAGCTGTTTTCTTCCAGGTTTGTGCAATGGCATCAGCTAAGCTAAACACACTTCTTCAGACCAAAGTGATTGAAAATCAGGATGAAGCGTGTTACATTTTGGGGAAGCTGGAACACGTTCTAAGCCAGTCAGTCAAGGAGCAGACTGAAACCTACTCGTTTCTGATTCCCCTTGTGCGTACCCTGGTTTCCAAAATTTATGAGCTGCTCTTCATGAACTTGCACCTGCCTTCTTTACCTTTTACCAATGGTAGCTCTTCATTTTTTGAAGATTTTCAAGAATATTGCAGTTCAAATGAATGGCAAGTTTACATTGAAAAATATGTAAGTTTTATCTTTTTTGAGTAAGATTTTTCTACTAAATTGCCATTTTAATGGAAATATATATTAAATTTTGCATATATATTTTTTACAAGATTGTACCTTATATGAAGCAGTATGAGACCCATACGTTTTATGATGGTCATGAGAACATGGCACTTTATTGGAAGGATTGTTATGAAGCCTTAATGGTGAATATGCACAAACGAGACCGGGAGGGAGGAGAAAGCAAGCTCAAGTTTCAGGTAAAATTATTCAGTATTTTTAGTATCCAGTTTTTAATGTTGATTTCAAGTATTTAATATTCAAATGAGAGTAATAACAAGTCTGAACTTTGAAAACAAATAGTATTTTCTGTCATTTGCCTGAAAATTATTTCAGCATTGGAAAAAAACACTGATCAGTAACAAAAAATTAATATCAAAATGTTCTATACATAGCAATTATGTGAAAAGTCTATTAAGCTGATAGTACATATCTCTAAGGAGGCTGGAGGTATATCAGTGCTTAGAGGGAAATTTATAGCGTGAAGCACTTACATTAGAAAACGGAAAGGCCTCAAATGCACCAAACCAAAATATTTCAGTTTCATTTGCTACTCTTTTCTTAAAATATGTTGTGAACATCTTTTCATGCCATTTTATGACTGTCTAGTATTCCACTATATTATATATGAGAACATGTGTTAAATTTATTTCCCAGTTTTGGACCTAATTTACCCGTTTTTTCTTTATTATAAATAGTATTAATCATCTCTATAATCATATTTTTGTACTTATCCAGGATGACTTTCCGAGGATAAGTGGAGTTACTGGTATGCAGCACTTATGATAAATACTGTTACGTTGCCTTCATAGAAATTCTACCAATTTCTATTCCAACCAACATTTTTTTCTCTGACTTCCCCTTTAGCCTTTCTAGAAAAGCTTAATTTAAGAATATCTTTGTATGTTTGACTTCAAAAAACTGTGAAATTGATGTTTAATTATCATGAAGCTGTCATGACTTCTTCGATTTTCTCAGCAATGATCTGTTTTAAATGTTTGGTAACACCGTATCCCAAATCATTGATTTCCCAGAGTCCAGTAATGATTACAATAACAATTGTATTAGTAACAACTGCAGTTTACTGAGAGCTTGCTACTTTTCCGGCACAAATATTAAGCACTTTAAATCTTAATCTTTATGATGACAATATTGTCAACCTCATCTTACCTTGACGATGATTCTGAGCCTCGGAGAATTAAGTAGCTGAGATTTGTACCCAGTCTAACTCCAAAGCTTGTGTTCTTCGTCACACACTGCTGTACTTCTCTCTAAAAGATATCTTTTAAATCCATGTCTTTAACTGTCCTTGTTAATGTGATACAGTGTTGATTTGTTTGAAACATTAATACTGTCATTTTAGTTCCTAATAGATGAATTTCAATGTGAGTTAGATAAGGCAGTCTTACCATTTGTCTCTTTGAAAACTGTAAAACTGTAGTTTCAGGGCTTATAGTTATATCTTGGTGGAAACTATTATCAGAATCTGTTGTATCCTGAAAACTGGAATGAGTATGTGAATTAATTTGCCAGCTAGGATGTTGTTCAGAGAGCAGCAGTCTCCGTGATGGAAGTTTTCACTGTGAGAGATTGGCCCCTGTAGATTTCTGTGTCTCTGGCATTGCCTTTCGGGCCATCAATAGTAGTGTGAAATGTGGTTCCTCTTCCCTCTATTTAAACTTGCATTTCATTCCAGATGCCTTATAAATCAAAAGATCCCAAAAGAAAATCATTTCACTTGACAGTGTGAGGGTAATACTGAGCTCAAAAATCCTGTGTTGAGATACTTTACATTTCTGCAGTTCTTCACCTGTTTCTTAGTTAGTTTTTTAAGTTTTAAAAAAATACAAATAGATTATAGCTAGAATCATATGCTTCATTAAAGAAAATGATTCTGATGGAATAAGAAAATTCTCTTGGTTACCAGCTTCCTTCTTTTACTGCATGATAGTAGGCCAAATTTTTTAAATTATTGTATTAAATTTAAATATACCTGTAAATATATGATTCAATGCTATTTTGTATTGCTGTTTCTTTCAGGAGTTTTTTGTGGAACCATTTAATCGGAAAGCACGCCAAGAGAACTTGAGGTATAATAATATGCTTAAACAACTTAGCAGTCAACAGTTAGCCGCTCTGAGACGCTGGAAGGCAGTACAGCTCTATCTTACATGTGAGAGGGGACCTTGGGCTGAAAGGTAGGAATACATCATTTATTAAATACTCTTTTTTCTTTAGAACTCTGGTCTAGAACTTTCTGAGCCAATGGCCTCTCCAGTCCAATTTTTAAAATGTCCAATTTATAGAAGACTGCTTTTAATTAATTAGATTGTTTTTGTGAATTACGGGTCTGGTATATTTAGAGCCCTGTTTGTGTATGTTTTTCACAATGGAGTTATTTTCTTTCCTTTTACCCTTTGATATAGAAGTTGTTTTGAATCAGTTTACTTCTGTCTTACTGACACCGTCTCTTTGATCTGGGGTTAGTGATGCTATGTGTTTGAATATTTTACGTTTTCTTTACTTGATCCTAAGTCACTTCTGTTTTGCTTAATTATGTTATATACATGTAATTTTTTCAGCCCTTTTTTTATTGGGTAAAATACACATATATAAAATCTACTATTTCAACCATTTTAAAATGTACAATTTAGTGGCATTACCTACATTCATAATGTTGTGTAATCATCACCACTGTCCAGCTTCAGAACATTTTCATCACATCAAAAAGAAACCCTGGGAGCCAGCTCTGTGGTGTAGTGGTTAAGTTTGGGACACTCCACTTCAGTGGCCCAGGTTCACAGATTCGGATCCTAGGCACAGTCCTACACCATGCATCAGCCTTCCTGTGGTGGTGACCCACATATAAAGTAGAGGAAGATTGGCACAGATGTTAGCTCACGGCTAATCTTCCTCAGCACAAAACAAAAAAAAAGAAACCCTGGACCCATTAAGTAGTCACTGCCTGTTATCCTGTCCCCCAGCCCCTGGCAACCACCAATCTGCTTTCTGTCTCTATGGATTTGCCTATACTGGATATTTCATATAAATAGAATTACGCAATATGTGGCCTATTGTGTCTGGCTCCTTTCACTTAGCATAATGTTTTCATTATGTTGTAGCGTGCGTTGGTACTCTTTCCTTTTTTGTGGCCAAATAATATTTCATTGTATGGATATACCACATTGTTTCTATTCATTCATCAGGTGATGGACATTTGGGTTTTTTTCCTTGTGACTGTTGTGAATAGTATTACTATGAATGTTTGCAAACACGTGCTTGTTTCAACACCTATTTTTAATTCTCTTGGGTATGTGCCTAGGAGTGGAATTGCTGGGTCGTATGATAATTCTGTGTTTAACTGACTAAGGAATTGCCAAACTGTTTTTCACAGCAGCTGTACCATTTTGTATTCCCATCAGCAATGTGTGAGGGTTCCAGTTTCTCTACAACCTTATCAATACTTGTCATTTTCCAAGTTTTTTATTATGACCATCCTACTGGGTATGAAGTGAGATTTTATGATTTTGTTGCATTTACCTAATGACGTTAGCGTCTTTTTATGTACTTGTTGGCCATTTATAACTTTTCCTCCTTCTTTGAAGAAATGTCTATTCAAGTCCTTTGCCCATTTTTAAATTGGGTTGTTTGACTTTTTGTGGTTGAGTTCTTTTTCTGTGTAAGAATTCTTTTTATATTCTCAATAATATACCCTCTTCAGATATTATTTGTAAATATGTAGATTGTCTTTTCACTTTTTTTTTTAATGGCAGCCTATTGTGCTACAGCCTCTTTTTTTTTTTTTTTGGTGAGGAGATTGGCCCTGAGCTAACATCTTTTGCCAGTTTCCTCTCCCCCTCCCCTCCCCTCCAAAGCCCCAGCACAATGCTAGTGGGAGGTCATTCTAGTTCTTCTGTGTGGAATCCCACCACACCATGGCTTGATGAGCGGTGTGTAGGTCTGCACCCATGGTCCGAACTGGCAAACCCTGGGCCACCGAAGCAGAGCCTGAGAACCCAACCACTTGGCCACAGGGCTGGCCCCATCTTTTCACTTTCTGCATAGTGGCCTTTGCTGCACAAAAGTTTTGAATTTTGAAGTGCAATTTATCTCTTTCTTTTGTTGTTTGTATTTTTGACGTCATGTCAAAGAAACCATTCCCAAATCCAAGGTCATGAAGATTTACCCCTATCTTTTCTTCTGAGAGTTTTAAATCTTATATTTAAATCTTTGATCCATTTGCAATTATATTATCTTCATCTGTAGTAAAATTATTTTATTTTGAAAACTGTATTTGGAATAAACTCGTATAGGTAGTTAAGAACTTCCATATAACCATGAAAGAGTAAAATATATTAGGCTATAAGTGTGAAGGTTTATGTACCAATCTTATTTCTGCTACCTGTAAACCATATGGCATCTTGTGCAAATAGTTTAGCCTGTCTTAGATTCCTCGTGTATAAACTATAGCTATTTCTACTCATGTTGGTTTTCTCTCAGTGTTGTTTAGGTCAAATGAGATTATAAATATGAATGTTTTTATAAAATGATGCTAAAAAATGTAAAGTACCTGATACTTTTACTGTGTTTTGATCAACCAATCTTTGTAACTTTAAGCTAAATAATTTTCCATGTTTACTTATGAATATTTGTAGGAAACAAAATCCAATTCACTGGAAACTAGCTAATGTAGAAAATTATTCCCGCATGAGACTTAAATTGGTACCGAATTATAACTTCAAAACCCATGAGGAAGCTAGTGCTTTGAGAGATAATCTAGGTGAGTTCCGTTGGCTGTTTAATTATTCATTGAGGATGGTGAAGATGTTGATGGGGTTGGTTATTGTTTTTATTAATTGTTTCAAAAGTATTTCCTCATGAAAGGAGTGACATTTTATAATTCATATTTAAATGGTTGTATATGTTAAATGCTGTTACCTTTGGCCTAAATTAAGATGACTTTCTATTTCTATTGATTGTAATTTTTCAAAGTAAAACATAATTTAAAATCATAAACTTAGACTGTAGTTGGTGTAAAACGCATTGTCTCTTCTATCTGTTATGGTGCGGTGAAACGGTAGCCCTTTTCCCGTAGCCTTTTGCTCACCACGACTGAGCCTGGTGTCAGACGCATTTAGAGATCTTACAACTCTTAGATCCTTCTTCTATAACCTGTTCTTCTTATAGAACTCTGGACACTTAATGTCTTAGGTGGGCCAATGGCTTTTTCTAGGGGACAGTGCTTAAAAATACATAGCCTTAGCAATATTTCAGAACAGATTTTAAAGAGTGACTACAATTCTTTAGGAAGCCCTTTCTTTCTAACCATTTGACTTGGCATCTCTTCCTTTTTGAAGAGAGGTGGGTGAAATACCCAAAAATATTGATTGTTAAGAGTCATTGACCAGTTATGTGTATACTAAATTGTAGTTACTTGACCATAACCACCTGTGCACCTTGTGTTCCAAGACTAAGTTATAGATGAAATGAGTACCAGTTTTTAAATATTACTTCTTAAAATTGCCTTAGTATATTGGCCAATACAGTTGATGGCGTGAAATTAATCTAAAGAGCTATGATGCCTGCCATTTAGGGTCTTACATTCTAAGGTAAATCAGACACAGTAAGTGATTTTCCTTAATGCAAAATAATGTACCTACCCATGATACAAACACTAACTTGGAGAGTATCTTCGATAGGAACAGGCAGTTGGGTCTAGCGTGTCCTTCCTGCACGTCCTCTGAAACTGTTATTCTTCATCTCCTCCTTGAAATTTGATGGTGCTTATCACCAGAAAACATGTTCTGGTGAATGACTTGAATCTAATATTTAAGGAGTTAGTGTTCCCTATTTTTTCTGCATTTTTGCCAAGAGGTCCCACCCCAGGAAATTCCTTGTCTCTCTACCTCTCCTTCTCACCCCTCTGCACATGTACACAGATAGAATTTTGTGTCCCTTCTTCTTGGTCTCAATTGTTTTAAGTCCAAGAAAACCAGTGTCCTATCTTTTTTTCTCTTTTTCTCTTTACAGTTTTCAAAATTAGCCCAAGTATAATGGTGACAGTATAATTGTACAGAAGAAAAAATTCGTACATTTCAAAGTGAACTTGGAAATAGTACAAAACCAGTGGTATCAGTCTTTAGAACTCTTTATAGTTGCCTGAAGTATGCATCAGAATTAACTGCACAATGTTTTACCTACTCTTTGCATTTGTGTATAAATATTTTCATCAGCTGCCAGAATTCATGGTGGTTTTCTAAAGAAATATTTTCTTATTTCATTTTGTTTCACTTATCCCAGTACTGCTTTGTAAGTATCCCATTGCATATGTACAGAATAGTCTTTACATTATGGGCTAACCTTCAAAGTTAACCATTATTCATAAAATTTTTGATGGAAAGTTCATTATGAATTCCAAAGTGATTTGTGAAGTATCTTTTAGAACACATCCACTTGTAAATTATGTAATTTCAATAGTCGAAAAGAAAGTATGTTCCTTTTTTTTTTTTGAGAAAGATTTACCCTCTGCTAACACCTGTTACCAATCCTCCTCTTTTTTTTGCTTGAGGAAGATTAGCCCTGAGCTAACATCTGTCCCAGTCTTCCTCTATTTTGTACGTAGGATGCCTCCACAGCATGGCTGATGAGTACAGTAGGTCTGCACCCAGGATCCGAATGCACAAACCCTGGGCCACCAAAGCAGAGCACACGGAACTTTAACCACTCGGCCACGGAGCCAGCCCCAGAAAGTGTATTCTTAAATGTATCATTAAAAATATTTGGGTTTAGAAATATTTTTTTTTTTGAGAAAGATTAGCCTTGAGCTAACATCTACCCCCAATCCTCCTCTTTTTGCTGAGGAAGACTGGCCCTGAGCTAACATCCGTGCCCATCTTCCTCTATTTTAGATCTGGGATGCCACCTCAGCATGGCTTACTAGCAATGGGTAGGTCCACATCCGGGATCTGAACCAATGAACCCTGGGCCACCAAAGCAGAATGTGCAAACTTAACCACTGTGCCACTGGGCTGGCCCCTAGTTTTAGAAAATTTTTTTGTCCACACTTCTTCATTAGAAATAATCTTTTCTGATTGCCAGATGCAACAGCTTATTTTTAGTCCTACTTCCGAGGTCTCTGAAGCATTGGTAGTTATCCTCCTTAAGTGTATTTCTTTCTTAGCACTGATGCTTAACCTCCTCCTTTTCTTACCGTGTTTTAGTCTTTTTTGCTTGACCCTTTTTTCTGTTCGCGTTTTAAATGATAGTGTTCCCAGAGCTATGCCTGGCTGTCTTGCCTTTTACCTGTGCTCCCTACGAGATGGTGATCTCTTGGCTTCACCACTGTATTACAGTATATATTTAATGATACATTACGTATATATAAAGTGATACTTTCCCACCTGTATTTCTAATTCTCACCTGCCTTTTAAACTTTAGACCAAGGTTCCCAGCTGCCTGTTGGGATTCTTCCACAGGGGCTTCCATAAAACATTCCTGAAACTGAGTTCCTTATCTTTTCCCCTTTGTCTACGCCTCACCCCACATTCTGCTTCTCTTGTATCTTGTAATGTAGTTATCATTGTCTCCATCTATTAGTTACTCATGCTTAAATCATTAGTATTAACTATGAGTCTGTCCTCACGCCTCTTAATCCCTACACAGAATAGCTCATTAGGTACAATGTCCTGTTAATTCTTTCTCTTACATATATTTTGAATGTTTTTCCTTATATGCATTCTCTTTGCTATTGCCAAGGCTTAGCTTGGTGCTGTCTTTTCCCAAACTTAGAATGGTGTCCCAACTGGCCCCCGTTCCTGCCGTCCTTCCCGCCCTCAGTTTACTCACCAATCTCCCATCAGATTTTCAGCTTACACTCTTACTGGAGTACTGTCATCCATCTACATAAAGTCAGTTTTCTATTTGTATCAGATTATCTAGACTTCCTGCTTTTCAGTTTTTATTGCACTCTCACGTGCTTTGTTTAATTAAATGTTTAACAATAAATTTTTCCTTACATTATACCACAGGAAAAAAACGTGTTCCATAGAAATAGTTACTTGTTCTAGGGAAAGTGTGAGCCAGTACTTCCTAGTGTAGAGAAAGGTGTGATCAAGGGAGATTGACACAGAAAAATGCAACTGTCCGTTAGGCTGATTCATTTCATACGTCTGAGCAAGGATACTGTTTGAGAAATTAAGGGTAGATTTGTCATATTTGTAGTATTTTGTTATTTAGCATAAATTATTTTTATTTCCCACAAATGAAATGTCTTTATTCGTAGTTATATATATAAATTTTTTCCAGTCCTACCTATAAATTATGCATACATTGTTATTACTGTCCTTATGCCAATCGGATAATTGAGAGGTCGATTACAATAATAATAGCTACCATTTATTTTTTGTGTAATGTAATGTATCTCCATTTTACAGTCACAGAAACATCAATTCAGAGAGGAGTCATATGGTTAATAAATGGCAGAACAGAGTTTGAATGTAGATTGACCACCTCTCAGCCCGTGTTCTTTCCTTTACGCTAGCCCTGCTCTCTTACAAAATTCACAGTTTATAAAATGCGTTACATTTGTTGCATAGATATGTGTCAGAATTATCTATTAAATTCCCTGTGCTCCAGAAAGGAACAGTTTAGCTCTTGTTCTGTGTATTATCCTCCAATGCAAGATAATGTGTCACTTCTTTCTTAGTATTTTTTTAGTACAATTGCATAGTAAAAATAGTTCTGTTAGTACAATGAGAATACTTCTTTCTTTGACTTACTTATTGGCATGCTTTAGAAGTGAATTTGATTAGAGATTAATTGTCCTATTTCTGAAACTTACATAATACCACCATTAAAAATAGATATCATATTTTAAAACATTTATTCCTTTTATTATATGTATAGTAATTTTAAAAATCACAAACAGCATAGATTACTCTAAATCATGTATAATGACTTTTCTGTAGTAAATTAGTTTTTTTATCTTAGAAAATTTCAAGTACCTTCTTTACTTATAATATACATTATTATCATATAATTAACAATCAGAAATTACAGAAGGGCTATATTGTGTTTAATAGCTATTTTGTGTTTAAACAGGTGTCCAGCACTCACAGCCTTCCAGTGATTCATTGCTTTTGGAAGTGGTGAAACAAGTAAAAGTTAGTGATATGGAGGAGGATAAATTAGATCTTCCTGAAGAGGAAATAACAGCCAGAGTAAATATGTATGTATAAGTATTTGGAGAATTTAGAATTATTTTGTTCTGAAAAATGGGACTGTGAAATTGTGGAAGGTACTTCCTTGAAATTCTAATGCTATGCATTTCCAGGGCCCCTAGTTACTGCTGTATCAGTTGGTGGGAGGCCGTCAGTGTTAACTGAGGTTATTGAGGAACCTTCTTAGAGCTGGGATAACTTGGAGCTGGACCTTGAAACTAGAAATATTTTGAACTGAATGATAATGGAAACATGACGTATCGAATTTATGGGATGCAGCTAAAGCTGTGTTTAGATGGAAAGTACAGCATGAAATATAAACTCTTTAAGTGAAAGGAAGAAATTAAAAAGAATAAAAGCAGAAATACATGAAAGAGAAAACCAAAAAACAAATAGAAAGATCAGAGAAGACAAAAGCTGGTTATTAAAAAACAGATAACAAAACAATAAACCTTTAGCCAGACTGGTTAGGAAAGAAATATAACATAAATTACCAATATCAGGAATGAAAGAGGAGGTAACACTACAAATATTAAAATGACTAAAAAGAAATGACAACTTTATGCCAATAAATTTGACAACTTAAATGGACAAATTCCTTGAAAAATGCAAATTACCAAACCTCCCTCAGGAAGAAATATATAACCTGAATAGCTTTAAATATATTTTAAATTTCAAATTTGTATTTTAAAAACTTCCCCTTAGCAGATATAAAATACGTTCATTTCCTCGTGTCTCCTTTGTGTTATTATTGTGACAAATATTAGACCTTTATATGTTTGATGCCCAAGAAAACAGTTTATAGTTATTGTTTTATGCAGTTATCATTAAATCAGTTAAGGGAAGAGAAGAGAAAGGTATGTAACTATATTTTATATTTGCCTACATAACTATCATTTTATCATACGTACTTATTTATCACATGTATACTATCATACTTATTTCTTTGTGTACATCTAGTGTCCTTTCCTTTCAGCCTACAGGACTTCCGTTAGTATTTCTTGTAAGGAATGTCTAATAGCCACAAATTCTCTCAATCTTTGTTATCTGTAGAAATCTTTATTTTGCCTTCATTTTTGGCTACTTTTTTTTTTTTTTACTGCCAGTCCTCCTCTTTTTGCTGAGGAAGCCTGGCCCTGAACTAACATCCATGCCCATCTTCCTCTACTTTATACATGGGACACCTGCCGCAGCATGGCTTGACAAGTGGTGCCATGTCCGCACCCGGGATCCGAACCTGCGAACCCCAGGCCGCCGAAAAGCAGAACGTGCGAACTTAACCGCTGCACCACTGGGCCGGCCCCTTGGCTACTTTTTTTCAAAAATTGAGATAGGTTTTTGAAAATTCGCATAACGTAAAATTAACTATTTTAAAGTGTACAGTTCACTAGTTTTTAGTATATTCACAGAGTTGTGCAACGTCACCACTATCTAGTTCCAAAACATTTTCATCACCCTTAAAGGAAATCTTGTGCCTTTTAGTCATCAGTCCTAATTTTCCCTCCCCACATCCCCTGACAACCACTAATCAGCTTTCTGGCCCTATAGATTTGCCTGTCTTTGACCTATCATCTATTTCATACAGTATGTGGCCTTTTATGTCTGGCTTATTTCATTCAGTATAATGTTTCCGAGGGTCTTCCGTGTAGTAGCGTGTAACAGTAGTTCATTCCTTCTTATGGCTGAGTAATATTCCATTGTATGGATAGACCACCTTTGTTCATCCATTCATCAATTGGTGGACGTTTAGTTTGTTTCTACTTTTTTACTTTTGTGACTAACATTGCCTTGAATGTTCATGTACAAATTTTTGTGTCAATGTACGTTTTCAGTTATCTTGGATATATAACTAGGAATAACTTTGCTGATCATTTAGTAGTTACATGTTTAATCTTTTGAGGAATTGTGAAACTGTGTTTTCACAATAACTATACCATTTTACATTCTCCTGAGCAATGTGTGAGGTTCTAATTTCTCCAGATCCATGCCAACATTTGTTATTCTTTTTTTCCCTTAATTTATTATACCATTCTAGAAGATTTGAAGTGGTATCTTGTGATTTTAATTTGCATTTTCCTGGTGACTAGTGATGCTGAACATCTTTACATGTATTTCCTGGCCATCTATAAATATGTCTCTTTTGGAGAAATCTTTATGCAAATCCTTTATCCATTTTTAAATTGGGTTGTCTTTTAGTTATTAAGTTGTAAGGGTTCTCTGTATATTCTAAGTATAAATCCCTTATCAGATATATGATTTGCAAAAATTTTTTCCCACTGAATGGGTTTTCTTCCACTTTGTTGTTGGTATCCTTCAATGCACAAGTTTTTAATCTTGATGAAGTCCCATTTGTCTATTTTTTTCTAAGAGTTTTGTATTTTATTTCTTACATTTAGGTCTTTGATCCATTTTGAGTTAATTTCTGTATATGGCTTCATGTAAGGGTTCATGTTCATTCTTTTGCATGTGGTTATCTAGTTTTCCCAGGACCATTGCTTTCTGTTTGGGTGGATAGTTTTGCTGGATATAGAATGCCTGATTGACAGTCTTTTCCTTTCAGCATTTGAATATCTCATGCCACTACCTTCTGGCTTCTATTGTTTCTGATGAGAGATGTGCTGTGAATCTTATTGTGATGTCCTGTATAATGGTGCTTGTAGGTTATTCTTTTTGTTCTTGGCTTTCAACACTTGACTTTTTGTCCATGTATGGGCATCTTTGTGTTTATCCTACTTGGAGTGCACTGAACTTCTTGGATGTGTAGATTAATTGTTTTCATATTTGGGAAGTTGTCAGCCATTATTCCTTCAAATAGAGTTTTTGGTCCTTTTTCTCTGTCCTCTCCTTTTGGGAATCCCTTTGCACATAGGTTGTTTTGCTTGATGGTGACCCTCTGAGGCTCTTTCGTTATTCTGCTTGATTCTTTTTTCTTTGTCTTCTTCAAATTGGACAGTTTCTTTTGATCTATCTTCAAGAGCCCTCATTCTTTCTTTTGCAAGTTCAAATATGCAGTTGAGTCCTTCTGGTGAGTTTTTCATTTAGTTATTGTATTTTCAATTCCAGAATTTTCCGTTTGGTTCCTTTTTAAAATACGTAATTTCTATCTTTCTATTGAAAATTTCTATTTGATAGGCTTTGTTCCCATAATGAGTTTTAGTTCTGTAAACGTAGTTTCCTTTAGTTCTTTTGATGTATTTATGATATCTACTTTGAAGTCTTTGTCTACTAAGTTGAACATCTAAGGTCCCCTAGAGACAGTTTCTTTTTAGAGCTTTTGTGTTTATGGCTGATACTTTCTTATTTCTTTGTATGTCTCATAATTTTTGTGAAAACTGCATTTTAGATGATAAATTGTAGCCACTCTGGTTTCTGATCCCTTCCCTCAATGGTGGTTGTTATTGTTGTATTTTGGTTTCTTTGTTTAAGTGAATTTCCTAGACTATTTCTGTGGAGTCTGTTTTACCTGCAATGTGTTGCCAGTGATGTCTGTATTCATTAGATTTTTGTTTTGTTTTTAAAGCCTGGCCTGCTAGGGGTTGCCCCTAGGACATCATAGCTTGGTGGTCAACCAGTGATTAGTTTGTGTTTGTGTTTGAACCCCTTGATCCAGTAAGACTGCCACTCTGCCAGTGGATCTGAGTGTGGAATAGGAATGCATTCAAATTTGGTGATTTACACATCTGTCCTGACTTTTACTTTCTATGTTTGTAAAGCCTCATATTTAGCCAAGAATGAGTAGCTAAGTCTCAAGTATTTGATTTATTCTAAACATCACTTTGTTTGGATTATAAACTAGACATGGCAAGTATTTCTTTGGAACTTATTTTAATATTACAGATTGACCAGATTCAGTAATATCCTTTGTTGGCAGAGCAGGATTTTTGTTCATATAATTTTAATAATTTTTAAAGATTTCTTTGATTATTTTCAGGGAACTGGGTAGGGATAGTTATCTAGGGAGCTATCTTTGGTAGATTGTTTAGTTAGCCTTTTTATAGAGATATTATTTTCTTTCTTCAATGACTAGAGAATTCCATAGATGTCAGTCTCATTCATTTTAAACTGAAAAGCCAAAACACTTTGTTTCGTAGAATATAAATAGCCTTCAGACTATTTACTCTCTTAGGTCATTTATTTCTTCATTTCATCACTGTAAATATTGGAATTTCTCTGTTTAAGAAAACATCCTTAATTTTTAACTTTTTTTTAAAGATTTAATTTTTTTTTCTTTTTCTCTCCAAAGCCCCCAGGTACATAGTTGTGTATTTTTAGTTGTGGGTCCTTCTGGTTGTGCTGTGTGGGACACTGCCTCAGCATGGCTCGACGAGCGGTGCCATGTCTGCACCTAGGGTCCGAATCAGCGAAACCCTGGGCTGCCACAGTGGAGCACACGAACTTAACCACTTACCCATGGGACCGGCCCCGAATTTTTTTTTTTAAGCTTAGCTTTAAGTTAAGAGTTGTAGTATTACCAGTTAAGTTGGTGATACTTATAGAGCTTGCTCATGGAAATCCATTGGAAACCAAATTAGACTTAGTCATTGCTATCCTGGAGATGAGTCCAGTGTGAAATATCTAGGACCAGAGAGCAACTGACTTGAAGGATAAAATTGAATAACATTCCATGAGTGGTCAGAGTTCCCATTTCTATACTTGGCAGTTAAAAGTCACTGAGGCTCCCAGAAAGCTGTCCCTTCCCCTGCATCCCCTCCAATAAACATAAATGAAAACAGTCCTCCTAAGAGAAGGTTTGGCATAGCAGCTTTTTGTTTCTCTCCACTTCCACGGTCAGGGAACGCTGTGATGATGTTCTAGTTTTAGTTGCTCTTAAAAAGTCTCATTTTACAGTTTAAGAATCAATGATAATGAGTACTTCTAATAATTATTTACAAAGCACCACTAATGATGCAGTCCTTTATTCACAGATTCCTATGTTCCCTGGGTCAATTTATGGCTCCCAAATATAACTCAAATGACATGACCGGTCTTGCTGCGTGTTTGAACTGTCTTTTGCCAGTAGTACTAAAGATTCACTATATTTCGTTTTAATGAGTCATATACAATTAAAATGTAAAAAATATTTTTTTGAAATTAAGTTATTAGGTAATAAGACTACGTGGATAATATTTTAGTAATTTAACATGCAATGGAATTTTTTTTGTAGATAATTCGGATACTCTTTGAATACTAGTTTTCCAGACGTAAGATTTGTATTTGAATATGTTATTCTTTTCCGTTTACACAGAACACATTGTTGGATGTTTCTTGCTTGTTTGGTTGGTTTTTGTTTTTACAGTGATGAGAAAGAAGAACAGGATCAAAAAGAAAAATTAGTGTTGTCAGAAGACTGTGAACTCATTACAATGATTGATGTGGTTCCTGGCAGATTAGAAATCACTACTCAACACATTTACTTCTATGATGGCAGCATTGAGAAAGAAGATGGTGAGGAGTTCTGGGGGAATAATTTCTGTTGTTCAATAGTTAAGTATCCTGTTTATCAATCATTAATGAGAAGAAAGCAATAAGATGGGACTGTGGAATTGTAGTCTGTCATGTACAAAGAGAAATGGAAAGTCAGTATGGGATTAAATTATTCAACAATGTATTGAAGGGGATGCTTTTTAAAATTATCAATGTTTTTTAAAAGGTTTAACTAGAGGGATTGCTATAAACTTAAGCTGTAAAATACAATCTCAGGGGCTGGCCCCGTGGCCGAGTGGTTAAGTTCGCGCGCTCCGCTGCAGGCGGCCCAGTGTTTCGTTGGTTCGAATCCTGGGCGCGGACATGGCACTGCTCATCAAACCACGCTGAGGCAGCGTCCCACATGCCACAACTAGAAGGACCCACAACAAAGAATATACAACTATGTACTGGGGGGCTTTGGGGAGAAAAAGGAAAAAATAAAAATCTTAAAAAAAAAAAAATACAATCTCAATTTTATTTGTATGTACACTTACTCTTACAGGCTTCTCACCTAATCCTTTATCTGAAAATAAAAGGATATTAAAATCTAAGATGCCAACAGAAAGAGAAAAGGAAAAATGTTTCTAAGATACAATATTCATAATTTTTCTCTCTTCTCATGAAAAGGAAGTAGAGTACCTAAGGAATTTTGAAATAGTTTTAAAAGAAACATTTAAATGTCCACTAAATTTAACAAATAGATTTGATGATACAAAAATTGAATTCCTTTTCCCTAAATGCTACTTTTGTCAGAAGTGGGAGATATTTTTCTGCATAGTAACTTTATATGGTGCCCCAGTCACAAGATTTCTTCTGTTTTCAGGAGTAGGCTTTGATTTCAAGTGGCCTCATTCTCAAGTTCGAGAGATTCACCTACGGCGTTACAACTTAAGGAGGTCAGCCCTCGAGATTTTTCATGTTGACCAGTCCAACTACTTTCTCAATTTTAAAAAAGAGGTATGTAAGATGCTCCCTTCCTGGAAGGCCCAAAGCATTAGCTTGAAGTAATTTTCCAGCTAGTGAGCTGTAATGAAACTTTGGACTCTGCTCTTTCGAGTCAAAATATTAGAGGAAAAAATATGTACTTTGGGGGCTAAGCAGTGTATGAATTTTTGTTTGGATTTATGTTTGAATGTTTGGAGGGTGCTTGTTTTCAGGTTCTGTATATAAGTAGATAAAGAAGTCAGTGGAACATTGGGTGTCAGCCAACAGGTGCCTCAGAGTACCCAATTGTGACATAATATGCAATATATATGATATGACTGGATTTATGAAATTAGGTGGTTCAGAGATAACCACTGGAGCAGGGTTGCCTGGGTTGGGGTACGAGCTCCACCGCTAGCTGTGTAACCTTCAGCACGTCACCTGCCCCGAGTCCTCCTTCCCTCGTTCACTCACTTGGGGTCAGACTTGCCTCACGATCTGACAGCTCCTCCTGCCTTGCTTAGCTCTCCGCTTCCCCTCGCAGATCTCTCTCCTAATAAAACCCTTGCATGTTCAATTCTGTCTTGGCATTTGCTTCTCAGATGACCTGATTAAGCAGAGTCAGTAGCTAAGTTTCTGTTCGTTGGTGGGATCTAGGTTTACTTATGGATGATTTGATTCAGATGTTACAGAGCATTTTTCTATTTTTACAAAAGGATACTTTTTTACTTTAAAAATAAATTTTCTCCCATAGGAAAATACAAAGCATGTGTGTTTTAGAAAGCTGTGTTGAATACTGTACGTTTGTATAACTATAGTTTTTAAAGCACATTTGTATGTAGTATCTAATCTCCATAACAACCTTCAGATTAGATATGGCAAATTCCATTATTACTTTTTTTATAGATGAGGAGACTGAAGTTCACAGATGAATTTTATTACTTTACATTTATATAGCCTTGAATAATTCACAGAAGTCTAAGGGTAGACATTAACGTAAAAGTGAGACTCAGTAAATTAATTTATTTTTCAAGGTGATTAGTAAATGACAACTAAATTTGAACTAGACTTTAGCTAGTTTTCTGATTTAGTGTCTGATGAACAAATTCCATTGTACTCTATAACTTTCTCAAAAAATACACGTCTTCACTTCTCCAAGTGTAGGATAGTAGAGAAGTCAAAACATAATCCTCTGTTTGTGTGAAATGTCCAGAATACGCAAATTTGCAGAGACGGAAAGTAGATTAGAGGTTGTCAGCGGATGGCAGGGAATGGGAATTCGGGAATGATGGCTAGTGAATATGGAGTTTCTTTTGGGGATGATGAAAATATTCCAAATTTAGATAATGTTGATGGTTGCACAACTCTGTGGATATACAAAAAAGCCCACTGAATTGTATACTTTAAAAGGGTGAATTTTATGGTATGGGAATTATATCTCAATAAAGCTGTCATAAAACAGTAATCCTGGTTTGTCTTAATCAGTTTTTAAGCTATAAAATGCTGTGTTTTCTAGGTTAGAAATAAAGTGTATAGCAGACTGTTGTCACTTCATTCTCCAAATAGTTATGGCACCAGATCACCACAGGAGTTATTCAAAGCTTCAGGATTGACGCAGGTGGGAAGTTTTAACAGTCGCTGTTTTGGTGTTCATATCTCAGACTTTTGCTTAAAAGTAAAACTCTCTTCTTCTGATTATTTTATTTCGATAATTACAACTGCTCTTCTTCCATTCAGATTGGTCTTTAATCTTTGAATCTTTCTTTGTTTCCCTCACACACACAGTGTCCTGTTCTCCAGCTCTCATATCATTCAGTTTATGGACATATCTTGTGACTTCTTTCTTAATAATTTTCTTTTTTAAAAGAATAACATGGGGTTTTTTTAATAATAAAAATAATCCATGCACGAGGTAAAAAATGGGAAAATGCAAAAGGCACCATGGAAAAAAGGTCAAAAAAAAAAAATTGTTAATCCTTCTATCAGCCAAAGTTAACTAATGCTCTTGATCTCTTACCCTCACCTGTATCCCAGCCTCTCTTGAATTTGTACTGCCAAAATCCAAGGAAAGGCTATCGTTTTCTGCTTTCCCGGACTGTTAGTGGTCTCCTAATAAGGATCTCTGCCTCCCAGCTCTCTCCTTCCTCCTCCGTGTGCATTAATCTTCAGTGTTGCTCGTGTTCAAAAGCCATCAGCAGTCCTTTCCTGTTGCTTATGGAATAAGCTTTATTTAATAAAGTACAGTCTCTGTTTTCTGTGGAAAAAACTTTATTCATTATAGTACTTATTCCTCAGTTTGGCACTGAGGACAGTTGTAATGGGGCTTTCTGTAAAATCCATACACGTGTATTCAGCCTTCCCTGTCTGTCCTGCGATTAAGGAGCACAGTAAACTTAGAGGTGCATGTTAATCTGTCCACGGAACCCTGAGCACACCCATGCTGGGTGGAGCAGGCAGCAGGCCAGGGACACTGAGGTGATCAGAAGAAAATAGTAATAGTATCTTTCTTAAGAAAATTTTGTGTTTACGGTAGCAAAATCCCATCTACCATTGCTCTGTAAGGGCAGTTTTCTGAGGGTTGTTAACGTCATGTTTATTTAAAATTCATAGGCCATTTTAATACATTAAGATACTGATTTTTTAATATGTGCACTTACGAAAATTTCAATTTATAACAAAATTTTCAAAGTTGGACAGTCCTAGAATTAAAATTTTTAAGATATTCAAATAAAATATTTATTTAATTAAAGAAAAGACTTAATTCTTATGGAGATCTTTTAGACTGCAGTATAAGATTTATATTGACTTTTCTGTTCCTTTTCTAGAGACCAGTTTTTAAAAGGAAGCGAATTTAGTAAAAGTATGTTGATTTTATCTCCCTGTTAATAAGCTTTTTTTTTAAAGCCCTATTCCTTTTATCAGAAAGATGGTGGACATAATGGAAACAAAAGCTTATCTTGGTGCTGTCAGTAATAGTTGCTGATTTCTAAGAGACAGAGATTGATTCTGATTTTGTTCTTTGTTGTGCTGTCTAGAAATGGGTAAACAGAGAGATATCAAACTTTGACTACCTCATTCAAATAAATACAATGGCAGGACGAACTTATAATGACCTTGCACAGTATCCTGTGGTAAGTTTTATATAAATCTCATTAATGTGGAATTGCCTTTTAGTTTCATAATACACAAAAATATATGTGCATGCTAGTTATTTTTTATTTTTAAAAAAGATATAAAAACTATTTTGGGGGGCCGGCCCCGTGGCCAAGTGGTTGAGTTCGCGCGCTCTGCTTTGGTGGCCCAGGGTTTCGCAGGTTCATATCCTGGGCGTGGACATGGCACCTCTCATCAGGCCATGTTGAGGTGGCATCCCACATGCCACAACTAGAAGGACCCGCAACTAAAAGTATACAACTATCTACTGGGGGGGATTTGGGGAGAAAAAAGGAAAAAAAAAAAAATTGGCAAGTTGTTAGCTCAGGTGCCAATCTTTAAAAAAAAAAAAAAACTATTTTTGCCCTTCTGTATATTTTCTGCCCTGCTATTTTCAAGAAGTATATACACATGAAAAGTAATTAAAAAATAAAAGCCTTGTTTCTTTCATTTCACTGAAAATATTCCAGTGGAATTACAGGAAATAATACTTGTGATTATTGAACTAAAGATGAATAAACACTGCAACAGGGAAAAAATATTTGTAAAGACTGTCCCTTTTTGTCTTTAGATAAGCATTTGATATTAGATATGGGGATAGTAGCTTCTCCAAGAAGGAATGCGTAAATTGTAAATTGTGGCTCTTTTAGTTTCCCTGGATTTTACAAGATTATACTTCAGAAGAGTTGGACCTTAATAACCCATCTGTATTTCGAGATCTTTCCAAACCAATTGGGGTAATTAATGATAAAAATGCCAAAGCCATGCGAGAAAAGTAAGTGCCTTTTATCCCTTTCGAAAGATACCCGTCATTTGTTTGAATTTGTATTGATTTCGGCTGCGGCCAACCAAGCGTTCCTTTTTTAAATGCACAGCTACTTTTAATCATCAGAGTCTGATAATTCCTTCATTAAGTGTTCTTGAAAATATATCACTTGTCCTTCAAGTATATTAACTATAATCTGTTATTTCCCTTATTTGCCGAATTTAAATTGATACTGTTTAGAATTTCTTTTCATGTTGTAAAAAGTATGTGCTCAAGGGTAATAGGTTCTTGAAATTTTTCTTTCCAGGTATTTTAGACTTAATAACCTACTAATTTAATGTGTAAAAATATTCATATAATAGAATATTTTAGTAGATGTAAAATTAATAGTCTAACCTATCCATGAATAGTGTGAATAAAGAACAGTGAAATGTGTGGAAATCTACACAGTGTCATTTTAATAAAGGAAATTTTTATAGTGGTATATATTTATGATCGACCCTGTAAATGTCTCACAGTCTTTTTGTGAGATTAAAAGAATAATCTAATTTTAATTTCCCTTTTCTCCATGTGAACTTGTGGATGACTTGTCAGTTATGACTTCTAATAATAAGGACAAATAACTGTTTTGCAAACAAACTTAGTTGTAGATTTATTTAGGAGTAGATGGTACAGTATTCCTATTTTTTTCTTTTTATTTGCAAGTCTTCCCTAGGACTTTTTGCAATGTTTAGTACTTGATTCGATTTGATTTACTAGTGGGATTTTACTGTGTATCTATTATCTCATTAGTCAAAGTTTTTTTTCTGACAATATGAAAAAAAAGGTTTTTTTTGACACTTCCACAGGAAATACTTGTCATATAAATAACTTATTTTATTGATAATCAAAGATATAAGGTTCAGATTTCAGTAGTGTATTTGTTTGCGTGGGTACAAATGACTTTGACCTGAAAAACTTGTTTGTTCCCTTGAATATTAATAATTTCTATGTAAAAGGAAATTGACCTCAGTTTGATAAACCGATTATTATTTTGGTTTGAAAGCTTATTTTGGGAGGCAATAAACACCTCCCCAAAACTGTTCATTTTTATTCATATTTTATACCCACTAATTCAGATGTCACCATTCAAAACAGTTACACATGTGTCAGTGACAGTGCTTGTGAATCACTGTATCTGTCCTTTGCTAATAATTTGGTTTAGGCCTTCTTCCTATCCACCGTCTCCTTCTTTTACCTTTAGATTGTTAGATCTTCACTTCCACAACTCTTGACTGATCCTCTGTATTTTTTTTTCCGTTACCTTGGCCACAAAAGGATGTCTAATTATCGCATTGCTTGTCATGTCTAAATATCACAATAGCAGAAAAACAGAAACAACCTAAAAATCTAAAAGTAAGAAATAGTTAAATTGTCATATATCCGTACACATACCTGTTAAAAATACCATGTAACTGTTAAAAATAGACTAATCAATCATTTGGAAAGGCATTAATAGAAAATTGTTAGATGAAAAAATAAGTTGTGAACAATATATTATGTATAGCACTTTTATATTAAAATATATTTGTATTATTCATTAAAGATTGACAGATGTTCACCAATATGTCAATATGAATTATCTCTGGAAAGTGCAATTATAGTTGATTTTAAGTTTCTTTTTTGCTTCTCTGCTTTCTAATTTATTTACAGTGAACATGTATTATTGAATAGTACAAAACTGTTCAAGAATCCAATGTTAATGACATTTCATTGTTCAGAAGAAGATATTAATGAATAAATTTTTTTTGATTTATTAACGTGGTGTGATGATACAAATACATAGATAATGAAACATTAAAAAGGACTTATTAAAAACTGTGTTTTCAGCAATGCAGTACAAGTTTATGTCCTCCTAATTTACTTTTACTATTGTGGTTAAAAAACTTTAGTTTCTTTTTTTAGATATGAAAATTTTGAGGATCCTATGGGAACTATTGATAAATTTCATTATGGTACTCACTACTCAAATTCTGCCGGGGTTATGCACTATCTTATTCGTACAGAACCGTTTACCACCCTCCACATCCAGCTTCAGAGTGGAAGGTATGTTTTGGGTAAATAAGATGTTTTCTTAAAACTATGTGTTAGTGTTGAAACTCTTTGCCTTCATATAATGTACTGTATAACAGGGCCTTATTTTTTTTTATTCTCTCCTATTAAGTTTTGATTCATATAATAACCTCTAGATAAAAATAGCCATACTAGTTTTAGAATGAGTCATTCAAACTGACTTATGCAAATGACTTTTAAGATAAATTCCTTTTTACTATTATGCGGTGTACCTTTGTGATTCTTACTGGTTTTAGGAACATACCGGAAATTTAGAATTGGAACTGATTTAGACCTAGATCTAAAACATTTACCAGAGCTTCAAAACTCATCAATGCTATGTAGTCCCCCTAAAAATATTTATCAATCAAGAAGAATGAAAAGAGGGAGGAATGAGGAGCTCTTAACGTTATTAGTAGCAGCTCAGACAGATCCGTGGCATCACTGTATATCATGTTGCCTGTCAATATTATAATTTACCTGCGTTTCACATTTTCTTAATGATCCTAGAGGAACAAACTTCTCCCTAAATTCTCGGCTCCCCATGTAGCCTCCAGATAGCTCTCTACTTATTCACATTTTGTCTCCAGGTTGCCTTATTCTCTAACATTACCATTTTGCCTTTCCTGCCCAATTGAAAGCTATGTAAATATTGTCTATTCTACTCTCTTTCCATGTAGCTTTTATGTCTTAAAATTAGCCTGGGTCCCTTATTCCTGGGTCTTTATACAGTACAGTGACTTGACTTTCAAGAAGAGACTCTGACCTCAAGATCACTATACCTCTCCAAACGTTACATTTGCCATGATAGCAGGTAATTTTTCCTCCAGTAAAGTATAACTGGATCTTTTCAGCTTTTAATGCTTTTATGAATAAATGATTTTTTGAGAAAGCTTCAAAAATAGATTCTGTTTGTGTTTCAAAGGACACCAGCAAGAATGTGAAAAGACAGTCCACTCAGTGGGAGAAAATATTTGTAAATTTTATGTCTTATAAGGGGCTTGTATCTTGGATATGTAAAGAACCCTTACAATGCAATAATGAAAAAACAAATATCCCAATTAAAAATTGGACAAAGGATCTGAATGGACATGGTTCCAAAGAAGATATACAGATGTTCAATAAACACATGAAAAGATGTTCAACATCATTAGTCACCAGGGAAATTCAAATCAAAACCAAGTTGAGATACCTCTTCACACCCACAAGGATGGCTATAATCAAAAAGACAGATAGTACCTAGTGTTGATGAGCATGTAGAGAAATTGGAAGCCTTGTGAACTCCTAGTGGGAAGGTAAAATGATGCAGCCTCTGTTGAAAACAATCTGGCAGTTCTTTAAAGGATTCAACAGAGAATTACCATATAACCCAGCAATCCCACTCCTAGATATATACCCAAGATAATTGAAAACTAATGTTCACACAAAAACTTGCACACAAGTATGCAGAGCTGCGTTATTTATATTAGCCAAAAAGTGGAAACAACCCAAATTTCCATCAACTGATAAAGGAATAAATAAAATGTGGTATATCCATACAATGGAATATTATTTGGCCATGAATGAATAAAAGGAATGAAAGATTGACACATGCTATGACATGGGTGAACCTTGAACATAGTATGCTAAATAAACCAGACACAAAAGGCCACGTATTGTATGGTATACAGTCATCCTTGGTATCTGAGGGGTATTCGTTCCAGGACCCCAGCAGATACCAAAACCTCAGATGCTCAAGTCCCTTATATAAAATGGGTAGAATTTGCATGTAACCTACGCACATCCTCTCATATGCTTTAAATCATCTCTAGATTACTTATAAAACCTAATACAGTGTAAATGCTACATAAGTAGTTGTTATACTGTGTTATTTAGAGAATAGTGACAATTAAAAAGTCCCTACATGTTCAGTAAGGACACAGCCATCATAGGGCTTTCAGTCTGCAGTTGGTTGCATCCGTGGATTGGGAACCTGCAATGTGGAGGGCTGCCAGTACATGAAATGTACAACACAGGCAAATCCACAGAGACAGAAAGTAGATAAGTAGTCGCCAGGGGGGTGGAGGTAGGGTGAATGGAGAGTGACTGCTAGTAGATACAGGGTTTCTTTTTGGAATGATGAAAATATTCTAAGATTGATTGTGGTGATGGTTGGGCAACTCTGAATAGACTAAAAATCATTGAATCGTCTACTTAGAAAGGGTGAATTATATGTATGTTAATTATATCTCAGTAAAGCTGTTCTCCCCGACCCAAACGAAAAGATTCTAGCATTAAAGCTGTACCTCTCCTTGAATTTGGATACTCCATCATTAGACTTTATTGGTGACCCAGTCATTGACTATAATTAAATTGAGTTCTGCTAAGTTCAGCTCTGCCCCAAACCAAGATTAGTAGGCATAAAAAGAGTCAAAATTAGTCATCAGTGTCACTTAGTAAGTCATTATTTACGAAATAAACCTAGGAAAACAATGTCAAAGGAGAGAAAGAGAAGGGGTTTATGCTTTTTGTGATTAAAGAAAATATAATGAAATTGCAACATGACCATTTGAGCTTCTTTCAACTTCCTTAGGCCTGTAATGGAACTTAAAAATGAAGTTAAAATAAGATAACAATATATGCAAGTAAAATATAAAGCTTTAGCCACAGAACTGTTTTCCTAATTCACCCTCTGGTTTTTGGCAGAAGAGTTTGTAAAGATATTTCTGTATCGAGGATTAAGTCAGAAGCATTCCTATAGCTCTGTTAACCACATATGTCACCACCACAATGCTTAGAGGGACAAACTCTGTGATTTTAAAATATCCAAATAACATTTATTCACATTCTGGAATAAACTTTACTCAGCAAAAATTATACCATTTTTTAAAAGTCTCTTAGATTTATATTTAATTACTTGAAAATTTTGTCCAGTGTGAATTGGTTTTCAGCTGTTTTAACTACGATGATACTAATGATTAAAATTACAGTGTTTAGTTCCTAACAACCAAATATGAAAGATAGATTGTCATAAAAAGGAGAACAAATTGTGTGTTTAGACGTTAAGGGGAAACTCTAGTCAATAGGAAACCTGAGGGGAGTTTGAAGGTTTGTTTCCTGCCTGTTGCTGCTCTCACTGGACATTCGCTGTTCTCTTTCAATCTCCACATGCAGGTTTGACTGTGCAGATCGACAGTTCCATTCCATCCCTGCTACCTGGCAGGCTCTCATGGACAATCCCTATGATGTAAAGGAACTTATTCCTGAATTCTTCTACTTCCCAGAGTTTTTAGAAAATCAAAATGGTAAGAAATAGGAGATTAACATTTTGACTCAAAAGTCCCAATGGAGGATCCTGAAAAATATCTTTCAGGACATATTTGTGATGCCCTATAGAGGATTTAAGGTCCATTGACTGTGTATTACTCGGTGACAGGGCTTAGCTGATGCCCAGGCGCTGGTCTTACCTTTCAGGGAAGTGCTCCAGTGACCAAGATAAGTGAGTCAAACAATTGGTAGGAGAACCTGTCAGAGTACGGTGTTTACTAGAGAAGCAAAATGGCCATATGCTCTTCCAGCCATATAACCACTTAGCTTAAAAGCGTTTGAGTTAGATAAGATGAGGATTTAGCCCAGGGGTCAGCAAACTACAGGTCCATTGGCCAAACCTGTTTATAAAGCTTTGTTTGCACACAGCCAGCCAATTAATTAATATATAGACTGTGGCTGCTTTCACAGTATAATGGCAGATTTGAGTAGTTGCAACAGAGACCATAAGGGCTCACAAAGCCAAAAATATTTATTCTTTGACTCTTTATAGGAAAAGTTTGCTGACTCTGACTTAGAGAAGAAGACATGAGGCAAATTGAAAATAATGACAGAGTATAAGTTACTACAATATTTGAAAAGTTGTATTATGTTTTTGAAGTAGAGAATCATGGAACTAAATATTTAAAAATATCCAAATGCTTTTTCTATGAAGTACTTATAAGGAAATTGGCAAGATTGTTACTACTGGTGTTCTTTAGGGAAATTCCTGTGTCAAAGGGTCATTACCAACTTCTTTTGCGTCCCCTAGCAAGTAATGTTAATGTTTGACCCTTTCTACCTCAGTAGACTTATCTGTCTCTCTGGGGAGAGCATATCCAGGGCTTCACATCCTTTGATCATGCACTCTGGGACAGGCTCTTGGAGGCACGGCATCTGATTCTGAGTAAGGCAGTTAGAATTGGTCACTTTCAGAAAATCAAGTGAATCTGTTGACTGAGTCTGATCGTGGGCTCTCCTTCAGCCCTAGGACTGGAGTCTCCTAAAGCAGAGTATCTGAGTTAGGAGGACGAGCAGATTAAATTTGGAATTGAAGGTGCTCTCAGCTTGACAATTTCTGCCATTCACCACAGGCAGCCAGTTGCTGTCTTGCACGACTGTGCTGGAGCCCTCCATTTCTAACTGTACGTTGCCTCTTCATCTGAAATGTGCTGGGTGGGAGAAAGCAAAGTAAATTAGTTAGAATGACAACAAATATTAATTAACATTAGTGTTAATATTAATAAAACAAACTCATAACTGTGCAATCAAGAACATTTTAGTATTTTCCATAATGAAAACAGTGAGGTATGGTAGCTTCAAGTAGCTCAACAACATCATCAAAGCCAAGTTCTTTCTGTATTTTCACTCTGCTGTTCCAAGGGTTTGGCTTTGTCCTCTGCTAGTTCCTCTCATTGTTACAAACGACTAAAGCAGTTCCAGGCATCACAGGCAGATGCAACAGCATCTTAGAAAGAAGTGGGACTGTTAATTCTTTGTGTCGTTTCCTAAGAGTGAGAAAACCTTTCTCATAACCTCCCTCATTGTCTAGAGCTGGGTCACATACCAACCCCTACACCAGTCACCTGCAGCAGGCATGAAACAGAGGGCAGGGATGGGCTCTTGAATAAAATCCAGTTTCTGCTGCCAAATAAGGAGGAGTGGCTCTCAGGTGGCCAACAGTATCTACTGTACAGGAGTTGGGTTAATGAAGGCAGAGACCCTGCGCACCTATCCTTCTGTGACATTTCAACCTCTCCGCCTTTGGGACACACTGATATCCTAAGGCAGCTTCTTTCATGAAGGTGTTTTGTGTTAACACTTTTCCCTCCGCACACTGCATGAACAAGAAAACCTCACCTTTGGGACAATTTTCTCAAAATACTGTGTTCTAACTATATGAGCAAATCTTTGTGATGTCAGTATCTACTTAGAATAATGGTATATAAGTATATTGTTCTTCCATAAGACAAATATAACTCTTCTACTGAGTGAGGTTAAGGTGTAAGTTGCACCAGCAAGCTCTCAGGAGCTGTATTTTGTAAATTAACCATTAGAGGAACTGTGCTAATTATTTTTAATATAAGAAGAATACTTAATGTTGCATTTTTGTTCAGATTAAGGTTTTGGTCATAGCTGTAGTTTCCCCCACTTTTCTCAACAGAAAATCAATTATTAATCTGATTTACCATGTAATAACTAATTTTACTTTCATTTTGTCTTTTTAATCAACTGATAAAAGGCATTCCAATAGATAAGTTTTTTTGTTTTTTGTTTTGATGGGGATGATTGGCCCTGAGCTAACATCTGGTGCCAGTGTCCCTTCTTTTGCTTAAGGGAGATTGTCCCTGAGCTAACGTCTGTGCCAGTCTTCCTCTATTTTGTATGTGGGTCACTGCCACAGCATGGCTTGATGAGTGTTGTAGGTTCACACCCTGGATCTGAACCCATGAACCCAGGCCACCGAAGTGGACCACAGGAACTTTACCACTACCGCACCGGGCCAGCCCCCACAGATAAGAATTATTTTTACCTACTCAGTGATTTTAGATCAAGAAGGAAACTTGATTCTCATCTTTCACTCTTAAAGAAGAAAAAAAAGATTTCAGTATTGCTAAGGAATGTGCCCTCATATTTATTTTACTTGATTTATTTAAATCTAAATGATTTGATGCATTTATCTTTTATGTCTTAGAGTTTAACTTGGGTCATCTACAAGTTTCCAAAGAACTAGTGAATGATGTCATCCTCCCCAAATGGGCTAAGTCAGCTGAAGATTTCATCTATAAACATAGAAAAGCTCTGGTAAGATTTTTGTGTTTAGTTATGAGACAGAGTAATAAGATAAAGATGTATGTGTTTTCCAGAGGATGGAGTAAACTATACCTGACTATTAATGATTTTTCTAGATTAATTTGTAATCTATTGTACATGCTGTTCTTGAAAGTATAACATAGTAATTTATTTTGAGGTTCTGGATCTTCTGATACAGTGAGAATATAGGACAGTCAAAGGATATATAGCAAAGCAAATGTCAGTTCTATAAGATATCTGCCTGTTAATACATGAAACTACAGTCATGCGGCGCATAACAGTGTTTCAGTCAAGGACAGGCCGCGGATATGGCAGCGTCCCCATAAGATCAGTCCTGTATAGCCTAGGTGGTAGTAGGGCGTAGGCTATACCCTCTGGGTTTGTGTGAGTACCCTCTACAATGTTCACACAATGGCAAAATCACCTAAGGATGCGTTTCTCAGAATGTGTCCCTTTGTTGAGCGACTCACACCTGCCCTCCAAGCATCATCCTGATGTGGTTTGATGTTTTGTAGTTCCCACATTTGTTTCAAACCTAACAGGATAAGTACATTTTTGTTTTCTCTGAAGGGTTTCAGTAAGTTTTTAATAAGACAACTAAGTCCTAAATGCCACTTTAAAAAAATATAACTAGTTTTTGGCTAAGTTTCCAATTTGGAATTGAAGGACAGGTGAGAATTACTTTAACGGGATATTGTGTGGTTATCTTGCAGATGATGTGGGTTTTTTCCCCACAGTAGCCCACTTAGTTCTCTGTCTAAACCAAAATGTTGCAGACTATGAAACTAGTTAGGCCAATACTTGGAAACATTCCTTCTCATTAGTACACAGTTTGTCAAATTTACAAAATTCTGGATTAGATTATGATATTTATAAACATTAACCTTATGCATGAATAAGAAATTGGGAAAAAAATAAAACAGCTCTGAAAAAATAATCTGTTACTTATCAGCTAGCCAGGAACTTCTCGGATGCTTTCCTCTGTAGTATCTGTGACATGAAGTAGGGGTCCAGGATTTTAGGAAGATATGCTCCTCATTTATAAGATGTTAGAAGTTTGTGTTTCAGTTATGTATTGCTGTGGGACAAATTATCCCAAGCTTTAGTGACTTAAACTATAGCCATTTTGTTGTCTCTCAGTGACTCTGAGATAACAGGCCTCAATTGGGCAGTTCTCCTGGTCTTGCTTGAGATTCTCCTGCCCTGTCGGTCCTGTGGCTGCTGAGGTTGGAGTCTTCTGGAGGCTGCGTTGAGATACTGGGATGCTGGACCTTTCATCCTCTCCGTGTATCTCAAGGATCTCTCTTCTTCATGTGGTCTCTCTAGCAGAGTAGCCAGACCTCTTACGTGACAGCTCAGGGCTCCCCAAGAGTGCAAAAGTGGAAGCGTCCAGATTTTCTTAAGGCCTGAGGCTGCTCGTTGTCACAGCATCATGTCTGCCACTGGGTAACAGGGTCAGCGCAGATTCAGGAGGAGGGAAAGTCAACTCTTCTCTCAATAGTGGGAGTGAGAGAGAAAGTGCAGCCATCTTTACTCCACCACACAAAGTCTGCCTTCTGGCCACAAATTATTTACATTCCTTCTACATGGAAAATGACATACTTCCTCTGAGGACCCTCCTGAAGTCTCATCTCATTAAGGCAGGGATCTGCAGACTTTTTCTGTAAAGGACCAGATAGGAAATATTTTCCTTGGTTCTATGGTATGTGTCGAAATTGTGCCATTGTACTACAAAAGATAATGGGTGTGGTTGTGTTCTACTAATCTGCAAATCTGGCAGCCCACAGGCAGTAGTTTGCTGATCCCTGCATTGTGGCGTGAGGCCTGAAGTCCAGAATCTTGTTAGTGATCTAAATCAAATCCATGTGTGCATGAAACTACGCTGAAGACTGTGAAGTAGAAACAAGTTATCTGCCTCCACGTAACAGTCGTGTGACAAGGACAGGAGAACAGTAATAGATAGACACTCCCATTCAAAAGGGAGAGAAAAAAGAGGCACCCAGCAGAAACTGGTTTATAACAACTCTGAATTCCAGCAGGGCTGTGTTCTCGGTTCCTTTATTGGGCCTTCTGCTGTTCCCTGAGAGTGGTTTTCCGTGGCTCTTTTGTTCTACCCTTGGGCTCTTGGCTCCCTGCTCTGAGTCATTCTTTCTTTTCCATTAAAAAATAAATAAAAGCATTGTTTACATGAGTATCTTTGCCAGCTTCTTTCCTACCATAGTAAGTTGGAGGCAAAGGTCTCTCTTCATTTTTGAACAGTTTCTGTCTCAGTCTGAATGAAACCAAACACAAACTTAGTTTCATTTACCTGACGCGCTGCGTAAGCCAATCACCAAAATGTCAGGCTTATGGGAAAGAAAGAGGTTTATTATTGAAAGGCAGTCAGACGAGGAGATGGGAGCTAAAACTCAAATCCACCTCCTCATAGGGAAGAAGCTAGAGGGTTTTTCTCTGAAACTCTAATCAGAGGAGGGGAAGCACGTGGCCTTGCTGGCTGGCGCCTTCAGCCTCGTTTGGCCTTGTGAGACTGAGTCTCCTTCCTTCTGGACGGTCTGGACCTTGACTTCCAGGGAAAAACAACTCACTCATATACCAAGGAGGGACAGGAATATCTGGTTAGTTTTAACAACAGTTGACTGTGCTGAGTATGCACAGCTGCAGTTAGCCAAGCTTACCTCAATTTGTTTTCCTTCTTCTAACCTAGGGAAGATTTTAACTCATTTGTTCTCAGCTTCATGAACTATTACAGTTTCTTTTAAAATTTTATGGGTTTCTCATATGTCAACTCTGTTGGACAAAAACCATTTTGCATTACTTTACATTATAGTCCCTTATCTCCTTTGGACCGAGTGGGAGGCTCCTCTGGGAAAATGCCCTTAAGATTCCTAAGATGCTCCGTTTTCTAGTTGAGTGGGTCTATGAGGCACAACCTAAATCTTTGAGGTCTCAACAGATTGTTTTATACCCATACTCTTAAACTAAACTTTTGCCTGAGGCCGTATTTTACTGGTAAGATTCTGATTTGATCATTGACTTAGGCGGTTTTTCGCTTTGAGAGTCTTTGCTCTCTAGTGATCCTGAAAATTAGAAATAACTTTATTTCAAACCCAGCAAGACCTGGCTCCTATATATTTTTTTTAAATTATGCTTAAAACCCCAAGAGTTCATGTTTTAACTCATGTTACTCCTCCCACACTTTATCACAGGCAGCTAAAAGAAGCCAATTAGCACTTAAAAACATTTTGCCTGAAAATCTCCATCCCCAGATTCACAAGCCCATTGGTACCCTTTCTATATCTTTCCTGTAACTAAAATATGCGTCCCTTTTTCTCCCGTCTCCAGTAATGATTTTCTTACTGTGTTTCAAGACATCACTAATAGGCTCCTCTGCCTTCCACCCAGTCACCTCTTAGTGGGGTAGGTGGGGTGGGTGGAGTGATTTGCAGCCGTCTTTCATCAGCTGCAGTGTGGTTTCACTGTGTCCTTGAATTGGATTTCTACACAACTATTTCAATGGAGATTTCACAACAAAGATGCATTCCACAGCTGTCATCAGTTTTTTTGTTGTTCATGTTTGCGCTATTAGAATATTTGTTATTTTCTTCACCCATTAGTTAGGAGATGCATATGTAGTAAATATTAATAAATATGATGTCTACATTATACTAGATAGATTATAGGCAATATATGTAGTAGATATTGAAAAAACGTTTTAACATGATTTTGAGATTATTTATTTATAGCGGTAAGATTTGTGTGTAGAAATGCTTAATTTGCTCTTACTCGTTTAAAGTATACATATTTACATTGTAGTTGTAAAGTATCTCTATGTTAATTATTAAGTTTGTTCTTTTTCCAGGAGTCTGAATATGTTTCTGCTCATCTTCATGAATGGATAGATCTGATTTTTGGCTATAAACAGAGGGGGCCGGCTGCAGTAGAGGCACTCAATGTTTTCTATTACTGTAGTTATGAAGGTATAAGCCGATGTGCTTTTTCTCTTGCATTATATTGATAGACAATATTATTAAATATGTGTTATGCATGGTATTTTGGACATAACTAATATGAGAAAGACTACATTTAAAAAATAGTTTTAGTGATCTTTTCTTTTTTTTATTTTATTATTCTTTAAAGATTTTATTTTTCCTTTTTCTTCCCAAAGCCCCCTGGTACATAGTTCTGTATTTTTATTTATTTATTTTTTTTTGAGGAAGATTAGCCCTGAGCTAACTGCTGCCAATCCTCCTCTTTTTGCTGAGGAAGACTGGCCCTGAGCTAACATCTATGCCCATCTTCCTCCACTTTATATGTGGGACGCCTACCACAGCATGGCTTGCCAAGCGGTGCCATGTCCGCACCCGGGATCCAAACAGGTGAACCCCAGGCTGCCAAAGTGGAACGTGCGCACTTAACTGCTGCGCCACCGGGCTGGCCCCAGTTGTGTATTTTTAGATGTGAGTCCTTCTAGTTGTGGCATGTGGGACACCGCCTCAGCATGGCCATGTCCGCGCCCAGGATTTGAACTGGCAAAACCCTGGGCCACTGAAGCAGAGCACACAAACTTAACCACTCCGCCATGGGGCCAGCCCCTAGTAATCTTTTCTATTTGAAAGATTGACTCATGCTTTTTAAAAAAAATAGTATTTAAGAGTATGTATGCAAATCTAAATATAAATGTCAATTATTGGTGGCATAGAAGTTTCTGATCTCTGGTCGTATTTGTCCTGTTGAGTCGGGTCCTACATTAAATATTCAGTATTAAATTATTAGCAGACTTTGAAAGAAAACCTTTAGAATTACAAATAAAAAATTCTTCAAATGATAAAATGACATTATTTTAATGTTTACCTCAGGATCAAGAACATTTTCTGAAGGCTTTGAAAGGCTTAGGAAATAGTTCTTTCTTTTCCAGTCCTTCAGTAGAGCTAATAGTTCTAAAGATTGTGGATAGTGTGAAGTTAGGTGAATTTGAGCAGAGCCCATATGACTTTTGGTAAATAGACATGTTTTTACCTTTTGCCATATTCATTTGATAATAGTTTTATTGGGAGGTAGTATAGGATGGTGGTTAGGAGCATAGACTTTGAAATCAGACTTACCTAGTTTGGCCAATTAAGAGCCATTTAACAATCCATATTAAGTATGGCAGGGTATAATCAATTAACCAGAGTATCACCTTTCCCAGCATGTGTTAGATCGGCAGTAACTTATGGCAGTATGTTTGTGTGGTTATTACATTTGTTTCAGCTTGACTATCATGAAGAAAACAATTAAGTGTATAGTTTGTATTTTTCTGAGAGAAACTTTTATAGACTGCAAGTTAACTTTTATTTAAAGTATTTTAGTTATACTGGATGGAATTTATGTTTATACATCTGTGATGTTTGAAGCTTTACTGATTTTTCAAAAATCACCTCTTTACAATGTTCTCATAAATTGAGGAATGGGATAATATTTTGTTGAAAATATATCAATCTGATATATTAATCAGTTGTGTGCGTTGGCTGGTTTGTTTTCACTCTGTAGTGAGTTGACTGCTTCTCTTGCTTTTAGGAGCTGTGGATCTGGATGCCTTAACAGATGAGAAGGAAAGAAAAGCCTTAGAAGGGATGATTAATAATTTTGGGCAAACACCTTGTCAACTGTTAAAGGTAAATCATAGAAGTTATTCATTACATAAGAAGTCTAGAATTTAATTGCTAAAGAATAGTACTGCCAGTATTTTCAAGGATTTTAATGATTTAAAACTTTATTTCAGAATTATCTAGAATTTCAGAAGAGTTATGCTCTCACTTAAAAAAAATAGATTTAAATGATTGTTCCCATTTTGAAATAATAAAATATCGCAGTCAAAATTCACATATGCAGTCAATTACTCTTAAATTACAGAGGATTTATAGTTGTTCAGAAAGCCAATCATCTTATTTTGTTATTTCTGAGAAAGGAAAAGCTGAGGTTGAAGGCCCCTGTCAGTGAGATGCCGCTCCTTTATTTAAATGGAGAAGGAGCTCTAACTGAATGCTTGAATACTGCAGTTAGGTTATACCATTAAAACTGTCATTACATTGGGACTCATTCTATGTATAAGACTTCTCATAGCTGACATCTGCCCAAAGAGGAGACTTACCATCCAGAACCCACATCCAGTCCTAAAAATCAAATTATAGAATCAAATTATAAATATTACTGTATTTCTTTCCCCATACTAGTTTATGAAGTTAAATTATTGTCTTCCTGATTGCATACAACTTTGGATTCATAGAAATTAGTTTTCAAAGATGTCTTGATCTTTGTTAGTAGATGAGCTTAGAAATGGGGAATACACGATAATACGCCATTTGTTAAGTTGACACTTTCTTTTGCAAGCACTGTGCTAGGTGGTTCACCTAACCCTTTCAGTAAATGTCCAATTACCCTCCTTTTTCAGGTGATTGATGAAGCCAAGCCTCATAGAAATTAATACCTAGCCTACAACACTTTAGAGAAATCACATACTTTTTCCAAGTTTACACAGCTAGGATGTGACTTGGGCAGGATTTGCACACATGGCCATCTGACTCCAAAGCCTTTCCACCGAGCCCTGTTTCCTCTCAATTCATAGCTGTGAGCCCCATTGGAGAACTAGACCACTTTCCCATGTTCTTATGGGCTGTTATTTACATCCTAATTATGACTCTTTCTGCCTTAGTTAGTTGTTTGTTTATTCACTTGCTTCACTATATTATAAAGGCAGCAACCTTCTCTTAATCATCTTTGTACCTTTCTTGCATATAGTATGTGTGCAGTAAATATTGTTGAATTGAAATTTCCATAGCTGTTGCAGCAACAATATATCTAAACTCTGGCTTACAAATGTACTTCTGTTAGTTGGGTTGTCAGACTAAGCTTTATAATTGTTACTATTTCTTAGCAACAGTTTATTTGAAGCCTCCAACATTGGTTTTTACAGAATGGTCGTGTTTGAAATCAGTGCATTATCCCTTTCCTGCCGGGAGAGTCAGAAGGCAAAAGTAACAGAATAAAACAGAACACTTCTTTGGGCTTTGACATATAGATTCTATAATATTTTTGTACTTGCTTTACTTTTCTTTCTCTCTCTCTTTTTTTTTGAGGAAGATTAGCGCTAAGCTAACATCTGCTGCCAATCCTCCTCTTTTTTGCTGAGGAAGACTGGCCCTGAGCTAACATCCATGCCTGTCTTCCTCTACGTTATATGTGGGATGCCTGCTACAGCATGGCTTGATAAGCAGTGTATAGGTCCGTACCTGAGATCTGAACCAGCAAACACAGGGCTGCTGAAGTGGAAAGTGTGAACTTAACTGCTGTGCCACCAGGCTGGCCCCTCTTTCTCTCTCTTTTTTCTTTTTTTTAACAAGAGTAGTGCTAATTAGCTTTTTATCACCATAAAAAATGACACAAAATCAGCCTTTGATTTAAAATAAAGTGAATGATATTCACATGGATAATTGAGTGCTAAATATTGAAGTACTTATAGCTGTCACATCTGTTTCCTATAATCTAATAGTTTATGATGGAGATAGAAGAATCCCCTTTCGGTAGAATTCTTTTCTGCATTTTAACTGTGCCTTTGGAATGTTAATTTGATTTGTCACTTCTTATTTATAAAAGTAATACTGTTCTATATCTCTGACATTAAAGTTAAGGAAGAATAATTTATTTGAAAAGAAATGCAATAATATCTATAAATTTGATTCTGATAATATTGACATTTTGATCTTACTTCAGGAGTTAAAGATTCACCCATATTGCAAATTTTGACTTTTTAATAATGCATTTAATTTTATCAAACATTTATTAAGCATTTACTGTATTTAGGTTACTAGATGCTGAAAATCCAAAACTGAATAAGACTTGTTTTTTGGCTTTAAGATACCTACTGCCTAGTTGGGGAAGACAGACCATAAACAACTATATGTAATCCAACATAGAAAGAAATAAGTACTAATTAAAACAATGTTCTGAGGAAAATAATAAAAGAGAATAATTAATTCTGACTTGGAAATTCAGGAGAGATATCAGTAAGAGAAGTAGAGGTAGGGTTTCTCTGGAAATGAAGAGGGTAGGACCTCTGCTGAGGGAATAATAGTGTGAGCAACGGCCTGGAATTGTCAGCCTTGAGCGGTACGTAATCCATTGTAGGTGCAGCCCGTATGTGTGAGGGAAACAGTGAGAGATGTTCTAACACAATTGTGGGATTGTTTTTCCTTAAAATTATTTTGAAGGAACCACACCCTCCTAGATTATCAGCAGAAGAAGCCGTGCAGAAGCAGACCAAAATGGACACTCCAAGCCTAAACCTATTTCAACACCTTCCTGAACTCAAGTCATTTTTCATAGAGGTAATGTCCAACTCGGTAATTTCAGAGTTTTTCTCTGAATTCTATACACCTCAACGTTCCTTTAATTCTTTAATGTAGGGGTGGTATATAATCCAAAATAGTAAATAGTACTACAATAATCTGTTCTTAGATTTTAAAGCAATCTTATTAAAAGCTTGTTTGCTGCTATGTGCTGGTCTGAACTGTTTCTTGTGGCTTTTTTTCTCCTAGTCACATTTTCTTGACCAAGAAGAATAAATAATTTGAATTAAGTTGCCTTTTGTGACAGTTGAGATGATATGTAGAGGAAGTCTAAAATAATTCTTAATTATAATGGCTGCTCATGTATAAAATATGGCCCAGTAAATCAGATTGTTGATTGCTGATATCAGAAGGAATAGTCAAGTACAAGATAGTCAATGCTGTAATTGAAAGAGTACCTTCAAACTCAGATGTTTAAATAGACACATTGAATTAGTTTGAATAGTTCAGAATGTGAATGTGAAATGCAGTCATACCTATGGATTTGGTTAGGACAGATAATATTAACTCTTTTGGCAAAAAATGATGACAAAAGGTTACTAAGAATAGTTTCGAGATGTGCATAGAACAAGTAGTAACTCTCATGCAACACAGCAGAGGTTGGGAAACCTTTTCTTAAAGGGCCAGATAGTAAACGTTTTGGACTTTGTAATCCACAGGCAAAATCAAGGATATTGTATAGGTACATATAAACTACTTAAAATATAACCATTTAAAAATGTAGAAACCGGGCTTGGCCCCATGGCTGAGTGGTTAAGTTCACGCACTCTGCTTAGATGGCCCGGGGTTCGCCGGATTGGATCCTAGGCATGGACCTACCACCGCTCATCAAGCCACACTGTGGTGGCATCCCACATAGAAGAACTAGAATGACTTACAACCTGGATATACAACTAAGTGCTGGGGCCTTGGGGAAACGAAAAAGGAAGACTGGCAACAGATGTTAGCTCAGGGCCAGTTTTCCTCACCAAAACAAATAAGTAAATAAAGTAAAAAAACATTCTTAGCTTACCCACAGCCTACAAAACAGATGGTTGGGTGGATTTGACCCACAGGCCTAGTTGGTCAAATCCTGCATTAGGGCATCGTCATAATGTGCTTCTCAGGTTCAATATCTTGGGAAATCTTTATATAGAATTTTTTGATAATTTGGTATAAATATTTTTTTTCCCTGAGAAAGATTCACCCTGAGCTAACATCTCTTGACAATCTTCCTCTTTTTGCTGGAGGAAGGTTCACCCTGAGCTAACATCTGTGCCAGTCTTCCTCTGTTTTGTATGTGGGATGCCTCCAAAGCATGGCTGCTGGCGAGTGGTGTGAGTCTGCGCCCAGGAACTGAACGCAGACCACTGAAGCCAAGCATGCCGAACTTAACCACTAGGCCACAGGCCGGCCCCTAAAAAGTTTTTATGAAGTTTATGACAGTTACAGCTTTCTACTGAATTTTACTCAAATGAACAATGTTGTAGTAAGCTCCACAGTATTTTAATGTAAATATGTTTTCATATATTTGTGAAAGCAGTTCAAAATATTCTTCATTACTGTTGTCCTAGATGCACGTTTGTTGAGATAGTTATTAAATGTTTAACAATACAAACTCTGTAGATTTGGTTGTGTTCCAAAAGCATCTAAGTCAGTTGCCTAGAACTCAGAACTCACAGAAACAATGCTTAGAAATGATGACTAATTCCCAGGATGTGTTCTGGGTCCCCAAGACCAGGTGATTTTACCTCTGGGTCCCTCAGATTTGGTGATTTGCTAGAAGGACTCCCAGGATTCAACATACAGTTGTCCTCACAGCTAAGATCTCTTACAGCGCAAGGTTACAAAGCGACATCAGCAAAGGGCGAAGGCCCAGGGAGTGAAGTCGGAGGAAACCAGGTGTCAGCATCCACAAGTCCGCCCCCAGTGGGGCCACACAGGACAGGCTTAATTCTTCCCATAGAGAAATGTGAAAACTTGGTTTTCTCTACCAAGGAAGCTCATTAGAGGCTCAGCACCCAGTTTTTGTTGAGGGCTGGTCGCATAGGTACCCTGTGCCTAGCACATGCCAGAGTTCCAGACTGCCAGAAGAAGAGCGGGAGTTCAGCATAAACCCTATTGTTTGCACAGATAGTCTGGGTACCTTGAGCCCCCCTTATCATTGAGGACAAGTTTTATATCAGTGTAAAGAACTCTTTGCCCACGAAGTTCCCAGATGCCAACCAAGGGCCAACTTTGCAGGAGGGCCTTTCTAACAGAGCAATCTCCGTCCTGCTCTGTTAACTCTTTACGGGACATGAGGCAGCCCATAAAAACCTATTTAACCCATAACCTGATGGATGTGTAATACTGTGTTTATGATGTCGTGCTGATAAAGTATTTTCATCATGTCTAATCGTTTGTGAGATTGTTTTTATGGGATAATACATTCCGAGTTCCATGCCCAGGACCAGTGTCTGGAGCAGGATAAAGGACACAATAGATATCCCTGGGTACCAATAATTTGTTAATCCCTTTTCATCATCATATGAGAAGAAGTTCTTACTCATTTGTATGAAAAAAGAAGGCCTCTTTGTAGGTCATCTTTTCCTAGGTGGTAAAATGGTGAAGAAAATGGAGGAGGCAGTGAAAGCAAGAGCTTAATAAATGAATTTCCTCAGACACCATTTTGATTTATGCTTGTTCAAATAGAAGTTGTTCTTTTCCTGATTAATTCATGGTGTGAAGAGAAAAGATAAGCACTGACTTTATATGGTTTATAATTCATTGTTTAATTCATTTAAAGGTCTTAGAACAGCACCTGGCACAGAGTATATACCCAATAATCTTAGCTTGTAATTTACCTAGTGATGGTTAGGTGTAATTTATGAACTGTTGTCACATCAAGAAACATAGTTCACATCGTTGTTCTCTTCCACGTTGCAGTAAGGTAAAGGCGGATGTTTTCTGAGGAGTATGTTTTCTGGTCCTGTTGTGGCTTTCAGGGAGTGCCTCCGTTAATGGAACAGATCTGTTTTTAGAAAGGAAATTTCTAGAAAATATAACCAGTTTTCCCACTGACATGTTTGAGAAATGCACTTTTATATGGTCTGTATTTTCTACTTTATATTCATGTCAGTATGGCAAGGGAAAAAGAAGGATCCTAAGTCACTGGCTGTTTTAAATGGTTGACGCTCCTTGAAATCTGCATCTCTGTTTAATAGCAGAGTAGTGGAATAGAAGGTGATGGGTTTCAGAAGTTTCAAGTATGCCATCCAAACGTGGTGTATAATTTCTTTCCTACATTTTAAATTAAATGATGATATGTTGTGTTGTTTGTTTTTTTTGAGGAAGATTAGCCCTGAGCTAACTGCTGCCAGTCCTCTTCTCTTTTGCTGAGGAAGACTGGCCCTGAGCTAACATCCGTGCCCATCTTCCTCTACTTTAAATGTGGGATGCCTACCACAGCATGGTGTCCCAAGCGGTGCCATGTGTGCACCTGGGATCCAAACCGGTGAACCCCGGGCTGCTGAGAAGCGCAACGTGCGAACTTAACCGCTGCGCCACCAGGCCGGCCCGATGATATGTTTTAATAGAGTAAAATGCTATTTCACAGGCTTCATCCTTGTTTAAAGAAATAGAAGTTTTCAATAATTTGTACCTATAAATTGTAAGCAATAAATTGTAAGCAGAACTAGCCACTAAAGCTCTGTCTTTTATTTTATAGGGAATTAGTGATGGTATTCCACTAATAAAGGCCATTGTCCCCAAAAATCAATCTCGTTCTTTTATGTCCCAAGGCAGTCCTGAATTACTGGTAAGTTGATTTATACCTTTTCACACTGCCGTGTCTATATCTATGACAACTTACAAAAAAATTTGAGAAAATACAGTATTCTAAAAGCCTTTTGAAAAAATAATAGAGAAAATTTTTATAGAATTATTTTGACCATGTATAAAAAAATGTATCTTCTATCTGCACAGCTTTTATTTTAAGTAGTTATTGTAATTCTAAAATTTATCTTGTATAATAAATATGTGAAAATACTAGGAAATTTTGTATAACAAAAATAGAAATAACATCAGATATTAAAATTTGTCATAAAGCGGTAATAATAATGAAAATGGAAATAATACAGAATTGATTAACTACACGTGCATGTTAATGAGTGCTTTCCGGGAGTTTTGTTGTTTAATCCACCCAACAATCCTGTGAGGGTAGGCGCTACTGTGAGATGAGAAATTAAAACTCAGGAGTAACTTGCTCAAAGTCACAGAGCTGGCAAGTAAGGGATTTGGGGCCCTGGCACATGGACCAAACTAAGTCTGTCTTACTCTAATTTTATCACTTGGAAATTATAAAAATGGAGTATAGCACAGTGAACAGTAGAGATTCCAGAACTAGACCTGTTTTTCTAATTATGCATATTGTATGTTTGCTTAGAAGAGAGTCTAGAAAGAGATACAAAAATAATAATAGTACTTTTTGAGGGGTAGGATACTTGTGATTTTCACCTTCAATACCTGTATTTTTAAAGTTGCCTTTAAAGTTACCTGATATTTTTGGAAATCTATTATAATCAAAGGGGGAGAAAAGCTTTTCATTTTTAAAAGAAAATATTCACTATGACTGTCACTAAGAAGGGAGACCTTCTTAGCAATCGTTCATAAGTTATACTTCTGATTTATGTTCTAGGTGGTATATGATATATCATATTTTTATGGTAAGGCTTGACCCTTAATTACTTCTGACTGCCAACTAACAGAGGTTAATAAACTTTGAGAAATTACGAGGAAAGTAATCTTACTAAAGAGGGATGTATTAGACAACTTTTCTTTGAATAAGATAAACACGGCTTTTCCATTTAAATTATTTAAGACTTTCTTGATGAGTTTCATGTTTTACGTACACAGTCCCACATTTTTCCCTGAATGATAAATGCTAACATCATGTTAGCATTTGGTTATTCTATACAACTTTCTTTAATCTTTCATTTCATTTTCCTCTTCATATGTTCTTTTTCCAGATAACAGTAAGCATGAATTATGTAATCGGAACCCATGGGTGGCTGCCTTATGACAGAAGCATTTCTAATTACTTCACGTTCATCAGGGATCCAACTGTGACAAATCCAAAGTAAGTAAATTAATATTTACTGTAAAACAAGTACAGCCAGCACCTTGTTACGAGGAAAAACCACTAGATTAGCCCTGAGCTAACTACTGGCAGTCCTCCTCTTTTTTGCTGAGGAAGCCTGGCCCTGAGCTAACACCCATGCCCATCTTCCACTACTTTATATATGTGAGACGCCTGCCACAGCATGGCATGCCAAGCGGTGCCATGTCCACACCCGGGATCAGAGCCGGCAAACCCTGGGCTGCCAAGAAGTGGAACGTGCAAACTTAACCGCTGCACCACTGGGCCAGCCCCATAATTTCTTTTTTAAAGAGATTTAAAAATAGTTGATATTGATCTAAGTGATTTTTTAAGGAAAAATCTAATATTTCATTATGTTTACAGAACTCAGCGCAGTATGAATGGTCCTTTTGCTCCAGGGCTGGAGATCACTTCTAAGCTATTTATAGTATCACATGATGCGAAGTTGCTTTTCAGTGCTGGACACTGGGATAATAGCATTCAAGTGATGTCACTTACAAAAGGCAAAGTTATTTCACACAACATCAGACACATGGGTAAGCATTAACTTTTTTTCCCCAAAAAACTATAAAAGTGTGCGTACTCCTTATAGGAGCATTAAATTTTACCTTTGAAGCTGAGTGAACTTTTTGATAGAGCAGTGTTATGAATATTATATGCTTTCTTTAAGAGTATCTAATATATTTTTGGGTATACTAAGCACTACATAAATTAAACACAGCTTCATAGTATCTGAAAGATGTTAGGGTAAATCCAAAAAATTGGGTTGATAGAAATAAGAATTTTAAGCTAAAATGGAAAAAAAATCTGTCATAGTGGAATAAGATCAACTGCCCCGTTTCTTCTTAATAGTAAAGCAAGAGAGATAAAATGGTTGACTGTAGTTTAACCTGCTGCTTTTTGTTGTCTCAGTCTTCAATATAAGAATAAAACACTGAGTAGATTTTTTCTTGATAAACCTATTGGGAAAGAGAAATGGAGTCTGCTACTAATTCTGTACCAGTAACTCCTAAGATGTCACTGAGATCAAGTTTTTACAGTTTGGGCAAAATGTATTTTATGTTGTGAATTTACAGTGTGCTCCATACTGTTTTGGTTAAGGACACATATTCTATAGGATTGCAGTTGCCAGTGGGAGGAGGTGAACAGGGAGGAGAGGGTGTGAGAGCAGAGAAGCGTATCGGGATTAACTGGGGGGCCATCTCAAGCCACCTAACCTCCCGCCAAGATACTGACAGGCATTCCCTACCCATGCCCACTCCTCACCTGAGAGGAGGGTGCAGCCCCGGAGAAGGCTCTCCTACGTGCCCTTAACGCTGCTTCTTTCCTGTGTCGCTCTTTCCCAGTGCTTTTCCAATGCCATTCCTGCCTTCCTCCCTGCCAGAACAACTGGTTTAGTAATAGTGTGAACATAAACTAAGATTGCCCTGTTAGTTCTGTTCCAGCAAAAACAAGCCATCTCATTTTTCTTAATTCCTTCTTACAGATATTGTGACTTGTTTAGCTACAGATTACTGTGGAATACATTTGATTTCTGGTTCCAGAGATACGACGTGTATGATATGGCAGATAACACAGCAGGTAGTCACACATTTAAATACTCTTGGTTTAGATCAGAGGTTCGCCCTGGGAATACTGTTGAGATGCTCTAGTAGAGTAGTGAATTTTTCTCTGGCGTTGAATGATTGTTTGAGCTTCTTTCCGTTCTTTTACCCCCATTCTGTCCTGTCCCAATCACCACATTTTTTTCCTAGGTTTGTTGTCTGATTCGTGACCTTACCCTCTGTTATTTTCCAGAAACTCCTCCTTGTTAACCTCTTCTAGGAAAACAATTATTTTTCTTGTCTTGTTAGCGTAACAATATTCCTATGTTACTTTCAGGTGGGACTACTGGAAATTATAGATTTATAATTTTCATCAACCTTATTGTGCTCTCATAATAATGCTTCAAGGCAGTGTCTTCTTCCTTTATGGTTTCTGAATTTTCTACCTTGCTTAACAGGCTCTCTCCCACTCCAGATGTATAAAAAATATTATCTAAAAGTTTTCTTTTAATACTTTTCTTTTTATTTTTTAGATTTAAATCTTTAATTCATTGATAATTAATTTTTCTATATTTGATAATATAGAATATATAATAGATATATAAAACATGTATATATAGAATATATATTGTATAACAATATAGTATATAGAAAATATTATTTTTATAATAGATATATAATATTAGGTATATAATATGTAGATATAGAGAGAATATATAATATATGTTCAATAACAATATAGAGTATTAAAAAATATGATTTTGTTTACTTCTGAGTGGCATAAATGAATACCCACTGAATTGGATCTTTTTCTTGATTCCTCATTCTTTTGTACTTACCTATTTCTGTATCAACACCAAAATGTTTTTTTTTTAAGTTTAATATTTGCTAAGGCAAATTCTCCTTCACTGTGTTTCCTCTATAAAAGAAATGTTTTCAGCTGTTCTTTTCTTTCTTTCTTTCCTTTTACTTTTCTTTTCCTTTCTTTTTTGCTGAGGAAGATTCACTCTCAGCTAACATCTGTTGTCAATCTTCTTCTTTTTGCTTGAGGAAGATTTGCCCTGTTCTCAGCTATTCTTATATGAGTATTTATTCTTCCATATGAACTTTAAAAATATTTTAACCATATCCTCCTCAAAAAACCCCATTTTAGTCTTAATGAAATCATGTTCAATTTATATATGAGTGTGATATGAATTGACATTTTTATAATTATTCCTATCCAGACATAAGAACTATCTTTCCATGTTTGTTTCAGATCTTTTATGTCCCTTGATAAAATGTAACTTTTTTCTGTTTGGATCCTGTACTTTTTTGTATTACTTCTAATTATTATATTTTTATTACTATTTTGGTGGGATTTTTAAAAATTATTTTTATTTCTGATTCTTGCTAGTATACAAAACAGCTATTGTTTTCTATACAGTTATCCTGTATCTAATTGGTTTACCAAACCCTCTTATCGAGCTCTCATAATTATTAGTATTTCTTGGATTTTCTGGAAAAAAGGTAGATACACAATCTTGATCTGGAAATAAAAGTGTTTTTATTTTTTTCAACATACTAATTATTTCATTTTCGCACCCTGTTACGTTGTTAGCTAATGCAATAGAGTAAGAAAGTTATGGTGAGCCTCCCAGTCTTGTGTCTGATTTTGATGAAAGTCCCTCACTGTTGTGCCGTTTAGTAGACTGTTTGCTGATGGGTTTCACTAGTGTTGTTTTTTTACATTTAAGTAGTTAATTTCCTTTTTTTTTTTTTTTGTCTTTTGGTCACTTTTTAATTTTAATAAAATTTTGATCTACAGAAAAGTTATAAAAATAGTACATTTTTGCCATTTCTGTTAGCATTCCCTCCTCATGTCTCTCTCCCAGCATCGTTCTTTTTCCTGAATAATTTAAAAGTTGGAGACATTATGTTCTTTTACCCCTAAACACTTCAATGTATATTTTCTTAGAACAAAAGACCTTCTTATACATAACCCGAGTGCAGTTACCAAAATCAGAACACTTAAGATTTATGTAATACCATTATCTAATCCACAGGCCATGTTCTAATTTTGTCAGTAGTCCAAATAACATCCTTTCCAGCCATTTTCTCCAGTTTCTTTTCCTTTTTTATTAATGGTTTTTCTCTTCTTTTTTCTTAATTTCATATATTGTGTTGAGAAGTGTCCTAGGTTTGAATCATCCTTGAATTCCTATAATAAACCTTTATAATTCATGATGTATTGTTATATTGTACTGCAGGATTTTATTTGCTAGTACTTTATTCCTCTGTTCATAAGTGAAATAAATCTGTTTTTGTTCTGTGTTTTCCATGTTTAGTATTGAGATATGAAAGCTTTATAAAATTAATTTTAGAGGGATCTCTTTTCTCTGTAACTTGAATTGCCTAAATAGCATAGGATTTTCCTGATTTAAAAAAATTAGATACAGTGCACTAAGCACTCAGACTGACCCTCTTAGAGGAAGGCAAATATGTCCCAGGTAATAGTGTCAAAGGGAATTCATCCACGTTATATAGTGCAGATAGAAGATCTGGAAAGAATTATCCAGGATCACCATAAAACAAACACCATGCAACTAATCAAACATTCTATACTATAGAAAGTAATATACAAGCAAAGCATGCTAAAAACAGATGAAGAGAGAATCTTCTTTCTTCTAGGAGAAAACAACTCAAGTGCGGAGAGATCCCTTGCAGTGAAATTGTGCTATTAGAAGAACATAATGAGAATATCAGTTCAATAAAATAGAACCTCAAAGGTGAAATTATAAAGTAGCATATAAGATGAAAAGAGAGATTGAAGAAGAATCAAACTGAGATTAAAAATAATGCCATTATAAATATAATAAATAAACCCAAAGCAGAAATAGCAAGGAACAGATTTGATATGGCTGAAAATCAAATTATTAGCATGGAAGAAAGTTAATCAAAGTGAACACAAATGAAAAAACAAAAGGATTAAAGCAATTAGAAGAAGAATGATAACTATCGAAATCAAAGACAAGTCAGCATAAAGGCAATTGATGTCCCTGAAATAGGGACTCTAATAAATGGAAAAGAGAAAGTTTTCAGAGATATAATACAAAAAGTTTCTTTGAAGTGAAGGAAGAATAAATCTGTGGATGAAAAGGGCAAATAATATGCCTGTTAAAATTAATCCATAACAATCACCTTTGAAACCATTCAGATTGAGTTTCTGAGCTTCAAAAAACTGAGAATAATTTGAGAATCCAGGAAGGAAGACAAGAATGAGTACTATTATGAATAGGCTCAGTGGTAAAAACTAGTTGCAGTGTTAATGATTAGACAGTTTAAGTAGAGTATAAACCTTTTATAGAAAATAGCCTACAAGAAAATTACCTTTGCTTCTCTGTTTTCCTGTTAGGGTGGTGTTCCTGTGGGCTTAGCGTCTAAACCCTTTCAGATTCTGTACGGACACACTGATGAAGTGTTGAGTGTTGGCATCAGCACTGAGCTAGACATGGCAGTGTCAGGATCAAGGGTAAGATTTCACCTTTAAGAAATAGTAATTTTTTCTACAAATTCAGAAGCAGTATTTATATTTAAATTTTTTTCTTGGGGGATAGGTAAAAATATAGAAATTTTATACTATGTGTAGGACTTTGCAAAAGTGACATAATGCAGAAAGAAAAAACCTAGAGGCTGCATTCTATTTTGATATTTTACTGGTCTAATTTATTAGTTAAGGGAAGAGGGCATTTTATGAAATAAAATACTATTTGAAATTTCAAGATTGGAATTTTTCCTAAGGTACATGTGGAATAACCATGTTCTCAGGTCTCACATTTCTTTATCTGACCCACTTTCTTTTCTTCTTTTTTGTTCTTTTCACTTTCTTACATTTCCTGTGTGTAGGATGGCACTGTGATTATACATACCATTCAGAAAGGTCAGTACATGAGGACTTTACGACCCCCTTGTGAGAGTTCTCTGCTCCTGACTGTTCCCAGTTTGGCTATATCTTGGGAAGGACACGTTGTCATCTACTCCAGCATTGAAGAAAAGACCACCCTCAAGGTATATAACAGCTTCATGCATAGGGCTAGACTCCCTATGAGCGTATCTTTTCCTTCCCCCATTATATATAGGAGGCATTTTGAAGAAGGAAAAAACACCACACTTTAAATAGCATGTTTTCCTTTCACCATTCAGTTTGTTCATTCCATACTGGTAGATGGACCCCTATCAGAGTCTTGGCCTCACGTTTGTATTTTGTTTTAGGAATTTCTATTGGTCTATATAATATGCAACTTCAAAAATAATTTCTGATTATCTGAAACTTCATAAGCTTAAGTGGAAATTATAAAATTAAATTATTTTTGCACAGGGCACATTATAAATAAACAAGCCATGAATTTTATATGTTTATTTTCCTTTCAGATATAAAGCTTTTTAAAAATTAAGAGAATCTTTTTGTTTTGTTTTAAGAATGTGGACTTTTTTGAACTGGATGAGATTTTAATTCTTTTGGAAGAGTGAGAGTTCTTGTTTAATATTTATTGGCAATCTGATTTGAAATCACTTTAATAATATTGTCTACACACTTTCTCTTTAAATATAACTGTATGTTTATTCCAAAATTTTAAACCCAGTTATCATTCTGTTGTAGTCATAGTTTTAATTGATAATATTAAAACTCAGGTTTTTTTGTTTTTTTTTAAATTGAGTCTTTTTTTTTTTTTCCTTAAGATTGGCACCTGAGCTAACAACTTCACCAATCTTTTTTTTTTCTGCTTTATCTCCCCAAATCCTCCGGGGACATGGTTGTATATCTTAGTTGCAGGTCCATTCTAGTTGTGGTAAAACACAGTTTTAATTAGAGATCATTAAATTTTCTTCATCTGATCTTTGCAGGATAAGAATGCACTGCATGTGTTTTCTGTAAATGGCAAGTACCTACGGTCTCAAGTCCTGAAGGAACAAGTATCAGATATGTGTGTAATTGGAGAGCACGTTATCACAGGCAGTTTGCAAGGGTTCCTGTCCATAAGAGATCTCCACAGGTAAATAATAATTCTTGAAGTATCACTTAAGAAAAGGTGGCAGAGGGTATAAATGCTAAGTGAAATAATGTCAGGCAGAGAAAGACAAACACTGTATGATTTCACTCATATGTGGAAGATAAACAAACACAGATAAAAACAACAGATTGGCGGTTACCAGAGGGGAAAGGAGTGGGAGGAGGACAAAAGGGGTAAAGGGGCACATATGTGTGGTGACGGGTGAGAACTAGACTATTGGGGGTGAACACAATGCAGTCTATGCAGAAACTGATATACAGTAGTGTACACCTGAAATTTACACAGTGTTATAAGCCAGTATGACTGCCATAAAATAATTTAAAAAAGAAAGAAAAGGTGGCAGTACTTTCAGCCTGGAGTGGAAATCAGCAATGTAAGATTTCTGATCTTTTGGTTTATCATTTATTATGAACATGTCTTTTTTGATAACTATGAAAATAATTGGGGAAACTAAAGTATTCTTGGATTAGTAAATGATATATAGATGTACATTTTAAAAATGTAGAAAATGTTGTGTGTATTTTACCACAATTAAAAGTTTTTTAAAAAATAGCCAGAAAAAGGGCCAGCCCAGTGGGGTAGTGGTTAAGTTCACACATTCTGCTTCAGCAGCCTGGGATTTGCAGGTTCAGATCCCAGGTGCAGACCTACACACTGCTCATCGGCAGCACCCCACATACAAAATAGAGGAAGATTGGCACAGATATTAGCTCAGCAACATCTTCCTCAGGCGAAAAGAGGAGGATTGGCAGATGTTAGCTCAGGGCAATCTTCCTCACCAAAAATAAATAAATAATAGCCAGAAAAAAACTTGTCATAGTGCCAAGCCTGGATTATGGATTTGGAAGTCTGTCCAATTATAGTTTGAGTTTTTACAAGTAAAGTTGGGATTTTTTAAATTTTTTCCTAACTATGGTTAAAATAAACTATTTTTAGGGCTAACATATCTGTTCAGGATTGTGTATGAGTGTGTGTTAAATTAGTGGGGAATCTTGTTATTTAACCCAGTGAAGGAGAGGATGTTTGAATGCTGGATGTGCCTGTCTACTAGTTTATATACACAAAGCACTGATTTCCCTGTGTGCCCAAATACATTCTTTTCTTACCCCTCAAAAAAAATTTATTATGGCTTATTTATACTTCTCAGCCTATCTTGGCCCTGCCTAAAAAACCTTTTCTTTTAGATCATTTCCTGATCCAGGGTGTTATCTTATTGCATTCATATCAGAATCACTTCTGTACCAACATCCTCTCCCTATTTTTGTATTTTCTTTCTCCTTTTTGTCATTCTTTCTTCTGGAGTAGAGCATGGAGTCCCCATTCCAATCATATCTTTCCAATATTTTCTTTTACAACTCTGATTTCAGGGTATTGTTAAGAGAATCCAAAGTTAGAAAAATCAGTGGGATCTTTTAGCAGATTAGTCTAGAAAATAGTATGTACATCATAGGATTCTAATATTATGCTTTATGTTTGAATATTTTGTATATGTTGTATCTTTTAAGATAAGGCAAATAGACCAATTTTATTGAGCTTACCTCCCCCCGAAAGATAAACTTTTGAGCTTTTGCCCTTTCTATCCAATTTTCTCTTATTAGTCAACTATGTGAAAGTCGTTTAGTGAGAGCTCATATATATGGTTAGAAGAGAAATATATGTTGAGAATAGAGGAAACATCTGTTAAGTGTTTTAAGTAACGCTATAAAAGTGGGCCCTCATGCGAGTCACTCAAGCTTTCAGAACTTAAGCTCCCATATCTGTGAAATTAGAATGCAGAACTAGATGATCATGTTACCTCCCAGGTGTAAAATTCTGTGAATCCATTATATATCCATGTAATTATGTGTGTGTTTCTTATTTCTCTTCCAGTTTGAATCTCAGCATCAACCCATTAGCCATGCGATTGCCTATCCACTGTGTTTGCGTAACCAAAGAGCACAGCCATATTCTTGTAGGATTAGAAGACGGCAAGTTGATTGTAGTGGGTGTTGGCAAGCCAGCTGAGGTAAAACCTAGTATCAAGAATTTCATTTCCCGTACTCTTGGGGATTCCTTTGTTTCTCCTTCGTTCCAGTTGAATCAGAAGTCTCCATTATGGATAAACAAATTGAAAAACAAATTTGATCTTTCAAAGGATAGTAAATGAAAAGAGGATAAAGCTGGTATTCAAGAGTGATGTTTATAGTATGAAAAGCACACATTTGACATTTCCATCCATCATTCTGTGTGAATAAGAAAGTTCTTTTATTCTGTCTTTCCAAATTTAGATTCGAGGCCACTACTTGAATTTCTAATACAAAAAAACCTTTATAAAAATGAAATATAGCTTCAAACAATGAAACTACTTACTTTAATTTCAACAAATACCCAGCGTGACTGTATGTCAGTTGTCCTTTTGTAAAAGCATCATTTTTTACTTGGAACTACAAATATCCCCATATAACATGCTAATTCTCAGTGTGTGCCCTATAGTGACTGTAAATTTATTTGCCAGTGGTTTATCAATTACTGAATATTCAGATATCATGAATCTAATACTGTCTTAAGCAAGCTTAGTGTCTATACTCCAAGTAATTTAGCAATTCTTCTAGAAAATTTACTTTATTACATAGAGTCATATTAGGCATTATAAATATTTATTAATACCAGCAGTCTTTTCTGAGAAATCTAAAATATGACATCTGTAGGGGTTATTTCAAGAGAAGACGTTACTGAATAACAGTCAGTGGTTATAATAAATCTATCGTCAATCATAGGGACCTTTTTGATTTATAAATATTTTAAGATTTTGTTAGTCCTTATGCTCTTTTCTCAGGATGTTATTTTAACAAAAGAGAGATCTTAAGTTAAAGTGGCTGCAACAACATTTGCTTTCAGAGGTAACAGGTCCCCCAAACAATGTTTGTAAGTCTATATCTTGGTATCTCACTTATATTTAAACATTTGAAGCATTTTTCCATTCAACAGTAATAGAGTTTCTTGGTTAATAAATTTCCCCAATAAGTATTGCCCTCCTCTCCTCCGCTCGTGTGGTGATTACTTTAGAACTCTGCTCAGACTTCTGAGTTTCTTATTTTACTGAATTTTTAAAAAATGAAATGACTAGTATGTACACACATTTTCTTTTTAAAAATTGATTTGGAAAAAACATCTAAGCAGCTTCATTTCTTAGGCCTAAATCAATGTTTTGTAATATTTACGCCAAATAAGTGTTTTGTCCTTATTGAAAGATTTATATTCTAAAACATAGAATCTGAACTGTGTGTAGATTTTGAATAAAAATATTTTTTACCTATTTTACATCCTTGGATGTATCAACTGAATTATGGATTTATTTAGCAAATAATCTAATTGAATACTTAGAATCTTGCATAATTAACATATAATTCTAAATGACAAGGCAGAAATTAAAAAGATCAATGTTTAGTTATGAAAAGATTTCTATTTCAAGATCTATTTTTACCTAAAAGATCAAAATCTTGATTAATGTGTATTTTTAAATCATGTAGCAGTTTATGTATTATACTATCAGCATGAAATTCATATTTTTAAATCAGATGGTAATGTGGGAATGGAAATACTCCTGGAAATGAAAATGCAAAAACAGGCATGCCAGAGTATCTTTACATGAGGCTTGTCTTTATCACTCCAGTAAATGTACCCTGGAGAAGTAACCATTGAGAAACGCGGCAGATGAGTCTCGATTAGAAAGTGCTTGCACTTGGGGAAGGAATTCCAGCAAATCCCGGGTTAGAGTGAGAAATGTTTCCCACGTGGAGTTTCTGCCCTTCCCAGAAGTGTAAGCACTTTCAGAGGGGCATTTACTCACTGGTTCACTTAATGTTTAATTAGTAATTGTTACCTGCTGGGAAGTGTGCTAGGTGCTACAGATTTAATGGTGGACGAAACGTGCCTTCAGAGAGCTTATGCTATTCTTGTTTCTAAATTACTTTTTGTCATTCTCTTGTTAAATATTATTTTTGAAATTCTTCTGTAAAAATATTTTAAAAGTACTTTCTTTTCATCAAAATGTTATTTTACTTTTTTCTTATCCTTGTGATTGGCGTTAATAGTACTGCAAATATTTAAGAAAGAAAATCCCCAAACCTGTGTCTTGTTAGCTAGATCAAGTATAACTTGAGAAGATTATTTTAATAAGGTGAAAATATATTTTTGTTAATATATAAAGTAAGAGAGGCTGGTAATTTTGACATAACTGAGACATTTAATTTAAAAATTTACAGGCTGGCATTAGATGTTTCTCAACTGAAAGACAATCAATTAGTGAAGGCTTTCTTTGATTATTATTAATCAAGAACATTAAAATGTTAATGATTCTCCTAACAAAACTTATTTCTTCTGTGTTTTATAAAATCAGTGTCTTGTATATCAATTTCATGTATTCTTTTTCTCTCTTTCTTTCTCAATAACATCTATTCTCCATTTCTCTGGATTAAACAGATGCGTTCAGGTCAGCTCACTCGAAAACTGTGGGGATCTAGCAAGCGGCTCAGCCAGATTTCAGCTGGAGAAACTGAATATAATACTCAAGATCCCAAGTGATTGTTCTTTCCATCTTCCGTCATGGATAACTGAAACTTGATTTATTGCTTTGTCACTTTAACTACATCTCTCAACTATCTGAATCGTTTCAGGGCTTTTATCCCTGAAAATCATTTAGGAATTACCAAAATTTCATATGATATGTGTATAAAGACGTAGGTTGTGACATTATCCACTTTAAAAATTTCTGGTTGATATTATTAAATCCGATCTTGTTAAGTATTTCTTGGTCTACACTAAGGTGTATTTGAGAAAATACATTTGATAGATTTAGTGGTCCATTTCTAAAGATCATTAGATCCATTTTTAAAAACAAACTCTGAAAGGTACTTACTATGTTTTAAAACAAAAAAGTCTAAAAATGAAGAAGTTAGATTCAGTTCGCTTATTATTCAGAACAACAAAGTTTAAGGTATTTCTAATAAAAGTACAGATAATGAGACAGTTGAGAGATATGGCTTTTAATATATTCTTCTATCATCCTCCTGCTTACTGACCATTATATTTAAAAATACGTCAATTTATTTATGGAACTCCTCGTTGGACGTAATATTTTAAAGGTATCTGTTGCATGCTTGGATTTTCAAAACTCAGTATAAATTCCAGGATTTCATGATAAGTTGAAAATAAGACTATTGAAACTGGTACATTGGCTCATTCCACTACTAAGTACATTACTAATGAGAATTTACTGAAGTGTATTATTATCCTTAAATAATAAAGATTGAGTAGGAATCAGAGAAACTGGAAATACACTTTGTAGATGTATTTCATTAGTAGTATAATTAAGGGAAAATGTTGGTTATGATTTTGACAGTGGCTCATTTAAGTAGCATTTGCAGCACAATTTGTATCAGCAAAGCTCAAAATTTCTTGGGGGTTTTCTTTACTAAGCAAATACTGTGTTTTCCCTGATAATTAGAAGAGTTAACAAGCATATCCAAATATATTACATTTTTACCTAGGACTTCCATGTGATTGATGTATCAATTGAAAAGATATGCATAACTTAAACTAGTCATTTAGATATAGTAATTTTTAAAAATATGCATTTCTGTTTCATGTTCTGTATAACTTTTAGGGTTACAATTAATATACTATACGTAGCTAAATGTTACATGCTTTACTATTCAAGATTTTAAAGCAAAAGGCTGATAGGTTTGTTTTGGAATTCAAAGAGATTGTTAAACCTAGTGCTTTTATAAGGTCGTCTTTTGAGTTAGGTCAGAGAGCTTTTACAACCGAGAGTGTCCTTAACCTGAGATTCCATGGGGTTTGGGGGATTTCCGAATCTCCTGAGGTTGTGTTGAAGTTCTGTGTGTTACCTGCACATTTTTCAGGAGTGAATGGTTGTGGGTCTTTAAGAGGGTCAATGATCAGGGGGGAAAAACACAGCTTTTTACAATAATAGTGTTTTTAAAATAATAATAATATTTTTTTATTACACAAATCATAGATTTCCTTACGTCCCATTGTCTTCTCAATTGAATCTTCGAGAAATTTTCCTTCTGCAGTTCTTCTCTCCTGTTGCCCACAGTATCTCATACCCTTTACTTTATAGCCTTATGAGTGAGTAAAAAGTTTATAAGAAGTAAAGAGTTCTGTTTAGGGAAGCTGTTTGAATAGACTTCATATGTTTGAGTCAAGACTAATAAAAAATTATAGAGGAATTTTCTTCCCAGTCATTTAAAATCCTCTGTTTTATTCAGTGAAAAACAGTTATGTTTTGAGTAAATAACACTGAAATAAACTGGTGCAGCAAGTGCAAATAGAATGTATGTAAATGTGAAGGTTTCCTTTTGAGGACTTCATGAGTTTGTGGTGAAGATGTCTCAGAACAAGTCAATAGAGATAATTATGATTTACTGAGATTATTGCTTCTGTTACCTTATTTCATTCTATTTTCACTTATCTTATGTTTTTTAGGAGGTTTCAAGTCAACAGAACCAACGTGATTGATTTTTTTAAAACTGTTTGTAAATCAAAACTTTGGAAATGTTTTCTTTTGCTTATTTATTAAGAGATTTTGGTATAAGGATGCCTTCTTTATTTTTAAGGCCACTTAATATTGGTTTTGGAGATTATTTTGGATGCTTATAAGTTACGAAAAAGTTTAACTTAGATTATCAGGGGAAAATTCCTAAATTTATGGTGTTTGACTTTCCTGCTTTTTAAGATGGAAGAACTGAAGAGGCAGGATTCATTTTATCACAGAAATAGGAAGAAGCTTTGTTCACAGTAAAATAGAAATCCTACCTAGACTGATAATAGATGTTCAGAGCAGGCAGTTATTTCTTATATTACTTTTTCCAAAAAGTAAAAACCAAAAATGTAAAATTTTCAGGAAAATCTTTGAGAATGGAACTTAAAGTTTATCTATTAAATAAGCAAACACAGTAGAACCATTAGCTGAATAATCCTCTTTTAACCAATTTTGCCCACTGAATTAAAAATCACTAGATAAAATCACTGGAAAGATATACTTTGGGCAATTCTGGTGTATTTAGACGTTATCCATAGAAATTATTTCTATTTTGTATAATAGGAGAAATTAACAGTATCATTAGAATGGAATAACAGGTGGACATTTCAATCGAATATATCTTAACTTGGCTATTATAAAGTCTGTTGTCTTTGCAGCCAGAACTTTTTGTCTGCTTTTGTTTCTTGGCACTGGTGATGATGGAAATAAAAACCTCAGCATCCTGGTGACGGGGAGAGATGTTGCCTGAGATAATGGTTTCACTTTCAGAAAGTGAGGTCAAAGTATTAAAACAATAATAGCTGTGCTCACTTAGAGAACAAACAAGCTTTGTAAGACTTTTTCAACTCTTCCCAATCAATATTCTGTCATTACTTAGATAAAATTGGAGGAGAGAAGAAAAAGTAGATAAGGGCATGACAATTAGGAAAATGTATGAAAATGAAGCCTGGGCACTTGGTTTAAGGTCTTTTAGGCCCGTGAAGCTTATGTGAGCTGTGAGTCAGCTTCTGTTTATTAATCTCCCTCAGGCCACAGCGCTTTTCTTGGGTCACATCGTTCTGTAGGAGAGAAAATGCCAAGTATTCGTTTATCGTTGTCGAGGAGCATCAGTGAGCCTTCCTTTTTCTCTATTAAGGCATGTAAAAATTATCCTTGAAGAGCTGGTACTGAAGATCAACTTGATGCTTCTAAAGGAATGTGTGACCCTATAATTAATTAGAGTTTAGATTTGAAAGTTGAATCTTAACCTAAGAGTTTTTATGTTTGCTTGAATAGGAGTAGGCGGAGAAAGCTGTTAACTTGAATACTAGATTTTTATTTAATGATGATAGACTCATGGCCCTTGCCTTACATATATTTTATATTATTATTATTCAAGAAGTCACTAATGGAAATCTTTGAATTTAAAGAGGTTAGCTCCTTTTTTACATATTTATATTTATAAAATATTATTAAATGAGTAGCATTGTCTTTATCACCTTTCCAATGAAAAGATGCAAGTGCATGGATTATATTAAATATAAATATTGTATATAATATATAATATAAAATAATATCATATATGTAGTATCATAGGGTGTGTGTGTGCGGGCATGCATGCCTGAAGGTGATTTCTTCAAATACATCATTAAACTTGTCTTCCCTAAATAAGTTCTTACTTGTCTTTAGGATACAGTTTTTGACTGATATAGGAAGTGAAGTATATTCCTTTTCTTTTCTAAATCTAATCTGTCGTTTTCTTTTATCAGCCAGACTCGTGTCTCGTCCTCATTACTGTTCCCCTCATCAGCTGAAGCTGTTCTTTCCCGGTAATGACCAGTCTTAAACATTTGCATCACTCAACAAATAGCCATTCTCACTATTTGTCTTGCCTGATTCACTTCTCATATATACTCAGCGTTTGATTTGTTTTAAATGTGACCCCACTGAGAACATTGTTCTGGAGAGCTTTTTCTGATGCCATTAGGCAACAACAGTGTAGCGTTATCAGTCATCACTTCAATATTATTAAAATGTTGGCTGCAACTTGACTTCTTTAATTGAATCTAGCATTTTCTAGGCTGGCGTTTCTTAATGGAGGTTGCAGGTCAGACTTGTCCACGAACTTCTATTAATACACAGGAGTCCAGGTACTGCTCTGGACTTTCTGAATCTCTTTACTTGATATTCTTGATATTAAAAAAAGTATGACTCAGGATTATTACATTAAATCTTAAAGTATTTTCCTCTATAGAGATTATCTCCATTCATTTGTATAAATCAGATCTAATATTTACAGGCTAATTTGAAAATAGGTTTAATCATTATCCTTGGAGACATTTTGTCTAAAGTTTGCTTGGAATGGCTTTCTTCTCTTTGTTTTGTGTGCCATAGAAACAGTCAGACTTCCTCTTCAGTTGCAGTATTCTCATCACAAGCCCTCTTCAGACCTTACACATTTGAAAATTATAACTAATATTTGCCTCCAACAAAGTGTCCGTTTGCTTTTATTAGTTCCTAGTGACTATCAGTGAATATTTTGCATATTTGAATTAGGTAACATTTCAAAGTATTAATAAAAAGCATAAGTAACAAAATGCCAGATTTAAAACATAGAATTAGATCTCTTGTAGCCTTGATGCCAGTAATCAATAGATTTTCCTAATTAAAAAGGATTGGGCAAATTCCCTAAGGACTTCTGATGACTTCTGTAGGTACAGCCTCTGTATGGTAAATAATTGAGATCAAAGATGAAATGATCTTTAAGTTAAATAATTAAGATTAAGTTTAAATAATCTTTAAGTTTTCAAATGAAAAGTCCTAGTAGTACAGAAAATAAAGCATTAACGTTTAAGATACTTAGGCCTATATTGGAAATGGTTCCATTTTCTACATTGAAAATATCCTCGAGTATAGGAGTTAATGTGATTTTCTTCAGTATAAGAATCTTGAGTAAAAGTGGCTATATTGTCAAATACTTTCCTGGGAGATTGTAGTAATCCGTCAGACACGTCTTCTTACATTTCCTCATTGACATCTGTCACATGTGGGTAATTTCTAAACACCTTGCAGGATTTGAAGCTAACGGTTTTAGTGAAAAATAAAAGGACAGAGATACAACTGTATTTACTTTTGTCTAAATGCCTATAATCTTAAGAACTGAAAATTCAGAGGAAAAGAACAAGTAGAAGTTTACTAATTCAACATTTTTTTTCCATGATATACTTTGAATGTTTCCTTAGAAACTTATTTTACAAATATTACCATAATAATAATAACAATAACAACAACACAATGTTGTTATTGAAAGAATTACCCATTCATTTTTCAAAGTTGACTGTGAGTGGAGTTTTGGGGGGGGGGGGGGGTTTTCACTTATGATGGCTGTCTCATTATTTAAAATTTATAACTATTTTTGAATGTGCAGAGTGATTAGCTATTTGTAACACTATTCCGATGTAGCGTTGTAATTTGAAAATAAAAAAACAAGTTAGGATTTAGGTGGGATGGAAAAATTATATTTTATTGATCAAAATATATACTTTTAAACAAGAAGTCTTAGTACAATTGGGCCTTTTAAAATTTTATTTTGGAAATAATATATTTCAACAATATATATTAAAACTAGAGGTTCTCTGGTAGCCAGCGTACTAACTAGTTAATGTTAAAATGCTATTTTTGCTATTCCTTCTCTTGGAAACATTTTCCCACACTATGTGAGCAATGTGTTTTAAGATTTAGTGGGCTCAACCCTCAAATTCAGCAAATACTCCTCTTGCTTTTTGAAAGGAAAAACTTACCTGTGATAGACATATTATTTTGCTCTTCAGAATACTAAAATTATATTAATCAATAAACACTTTAGAAAGTGGTTCTGGTAAGGAGTTATCAGTTATCGGACTTAACTGAAAAAAAAAATTCAACCTCTTAGTTTCTTATATAGGGATTAAAGAAAATAACTTTATTTCTTCCTTTGGGATTTTGATTATTTTTCTTGGGTAACTTTTAAAGTAATTATAGTAGTTTCCACACTTTTTCCAAAATTATGGCATGTTACAGTAAATCTTACTGTTAAAGGTCTTTCACATTTTAGACTGGTTTTTTCCTATTCTGCTTTGTACTGCTTTCTGTGATTCGTAAATACCGTCACCAAAAAGGTTTTGTGGCTGCTTACTGTTTATTTTGTAGTTAGCTCTACATAAGGAAAACTGTTAGAGACCGATATGGCTGGTCTGTTCTCTTCAGAAACTCCTAACAGGTCTGGCTTTCCTTGCCTTGGCTGTTTGCTTTTGTAGACTAGAATGACAAATTCAGAAAAAAGTAATCAGAGACCTAGCCAGACAGTCATTTTCTGTCAGATGCCTTGCTGTACGTAGAAGTGAATCCATTAAGACAGGAAAATATCAAACGCATATGATTTGTCTCTTATGTCACTTTTTCTGGGACTCAGATTAAATCGGAGTATTTCGGTGTTACCATAGAGGGTGACAGTGACTTGAATGCTTATATATGCGCGTCGTCAATTCAGAGGAGGATTCTGAAAATTCGGAATTGTTAAAAAACTTGCAAATCGTGCTGCTACTTAAACATCTAAGGAATTCACAAAAGTTGTGTCGTTATCATAAATGTTCCTTCTCATTTATTCTACTGGAATTGACAATGAAAAAAGATTATTAAGCCTTATTTATATCTAATTATTGACTGCAAACTGTGACTGAATATTTGTATGCCAAAAAAAGGTTTTAAAGTTGAGAGTTTTAGACGTAATAAAGATGTGTAAATACTTTTGATTAGTATTTTCATTATAATGAAGTTACTGTTAATTTGGTGCAATATATTCTTCCCTTCCTCGTCCTTTTAAAATTAAATATATAATATGTATGTTTTGTTTTGTTACATTGAAAGCTGTTTGGAAATTTTTCAGTGTGTGTATATGAGTTACTGTTTGCTTTGTTTCTGTATAGCGTGATTGAAGATGATAACTGAAAATTTTGCACCCTTTTTAGTCCTTTGGAAATTTGTATTCTAACAGTTTTTAAGAATGTGCATTTATTTTGTACATAATAAATAGCTTTGTATATGAAAATGGGCTGGAATCAAATTAAAAGAATGCTGTTCCTTTCCTCGGTTGGTTTGTGAGTCTCAGCTCATGGCGTCTGGTGAGAACTCGGCCTTCACCGAGTGAGCGGGCAGAGGCCTGAATGCAGTGCTTGCTAATGCATTACTGCTGCTTCTCAAGTGAGCAGAGCCGCTTCTGTAGCCTTCTGTGCACAAGATAAACGTCATGCTAATTGACCAATTTTTGTCATATGTAACAACAGATATTAAGCCTTTCGTTTTAAAGCCACCTCAGAAATATGGCTACATTTTTTTCCCCAGGAAATGATCATACGCCAGAAATCTTCATTTGTAGTTTATCAAATAATACATTAGGTTGAGGTTTTTAAAAAACTTTTATTTCCTTTCATAATTAAAATCTTTTATTCATCAATTTTTGATTAATGTCTAAATGTTGACCTAATCCTTCTGTTTCTGTTAAAGTTAATAGAACCTAATCCATGATAAGACAGAATCCAAGCTCTGTTGGATTCTTGCTATGTAGTACTTTTGTCTCCAGATCCAGTAAAGCAAGACAACAGAAATGAACATTAACCTTTTTCTAGTCTGGTACCATTTGTGCGCTATTCTACCTCTACTGAAGACACTTGGCTAGAATTGGAAACCTCTGCATTCATTCATCTGGTGAGATTTGTCAGTCACAGGACAATGAAAGCCAGGGCCCTTACAGGCTTAATTAAGTCTGCCTTGGAGAAAGCCAAATACCATCTGACTTCACTCATGTGGAAGATAAAAGAGCAAAATCAGCAAACACATAGATACAGAGAATATATTGTTAGATTGGGGGAGGGTGAAAGGGGTAAATGGGTCATTTATACAATGATGGATGGAAACCAGACTTTTGATGGTGAGCGCCAGTCTATACAGAAATCGAAATAGAATGATGTACACCTGGAATTCATACAATGTTATAAACCAGTATTGCCTCAGTTGAAAAAAAGACCACTTTGCTTTTGTGAAATAAGTCCATAACACCATATCAAGCATCAAATAAATGTATTTGTTTTACACAATATGCTGAAGCTTATAATTTCTCACCATATAATGTTTATTTGGTGAGAATCTGAGATTAAACAATTTTTTGAAGCTTTATTGTGAATTTTTTTGCCAGTTTTTTATTTTGTTCACTAGTGAACTTAGTAGAATGATTTTGACAGTCAGTCTATTCCATTCTGGTAGAAACTCTTTACCTACATAGTGTTTGGTGCATTTTCTAAAGTTGTATCCATTCAAAAGTGGTTCAGTTGTCATTTTGCAGAGACTGAAGAATTAGGGAAAGGCTACAGAAACATTGTGAATTACCATTATTCATGCTCTAGAGATAAAAAATTCTTTTTGAAAGTAAGTGCCTTCTTACATTATTCAACTTTAACTTATAGCCCGAATCCTTTAACAGATCGTGGGTTTTCAGAAGAAAATCTTGTGCGAAGTCATATGCATATGATAATTAAAGAGAAGGTGAAGATGGATTTAATTCTTCAGCCTAGAGCAACAGTAGTTTCTGAATCCTATTTAAGCAGTTTTTGTCAGAATGCTTTCAAGGAACATCACAGAGACATTTACAGATGGGAAGACACGTGAGACCTTGAGCACAGTGTCAGGGATTGAAAAACAACATGGAGAGCTTAAAAAAAAGTCTGGATCGAAGGGGTAAAGGAGTACATATGTATGGTGACGGATCAAAATTAGACTATTGGGGCTGAGCATGATGCAGTCTATACAGAAACTGATATATGATAATGTACACCTGAGGGGCTGGGCTGGTGGCACAGCAGTTAAGTTCGTACGTTCTGCTTCAGTGTCTCAGGGTTCACTGGTTTGGATCCCGGGTGCGGACATGCACCGCTTGTCAAGCCTTGCTGTGGCAGTGTCCGACATATAAAGTAGAGGAAGATGGGCACAGATGTTAGCTCAGGGCTAATCTTCCTCAAAAAAAATGTACACCTGAAATTACACAATGTTATAAACCAGTTATGACCTCAAAATAATTTTTTAAAATCTTCATCAAATTTTATATCTGAAATGGAATATGCAGGTCATCTGTAGCTTTTATTTGAGTCTATAGTTCAAGGAACTTTTGAGAAAACAACCTAAATTTATATTAAAACAAATCATTTTAATATGAACAGTTGTGTTGTATGCAATACTTTGGTTTTCCCATATTGATTAAGTAGTGGTTATATTAATTAAGAGTCTTATTAATTAGAGCCATAGTCATGCAGAGAGACTTATCCAGGTGCACACTTTCTCAGGAGGGTATTACTTTGATGAACTTGTCATGGTTCAGGATCTGGCCCCATCAGTATCCTAAAAATAATGAAGCTTTGGAATGCTAATTAACACAAGTTCACAAGTGAGTGACATATGTAAATTACAATACAAATTTACTAATTATAATGCAGCATATTAATTTCCAGTGCTCATTCTTTCCGAAGACAACCTTCCTTCTTTTATTTTTCACAATTGTCCTATATACCATCAACAGATGTGTACTAAGGTCACTACTATTTTTTAAATACATAGAAACAACAGAAAATATAAATTGTGATCTACGGTGGACAGTATTGGGTAAGATTTTGAGATACCAAATATCTCTAAGAGACACTGTGATATGGTGGAAAGGGCGTGCACCTGGAACAAGAGATCTGGCTTCAAGTCGCATTTCTACATCATCTAGTTCTATGACTGAATAAGACACCTAACCTATCTGATTCCAGTTACTTCGTCTGTAAAATAGCAATGTTAATGATGGCTTAGGGATCAAATGAAATCATGTTGTAAGATCAGAGGTGAGAAATATACCATTGTAATAGACAATTTTCATTTCACTCTAGTGAAAGTAGGATAATCGGCATATCATTGGTTGTAGGGACCCAGATCATTGCTAGGGATGTTCACATAGAGGATAACAAGCATGGAGTTCCTTCATAAAAATGCCATGAAGGGTTAATGACAGATTATAAATTATTAAACAAGGAATATCCAATACACATTGTTAAGGCAACACAGTTTTTAAAATAAATGGACAGCCTTATTCAAGGAGCTCAGTGCTTAGATTATCTTCCACAAATGAAGAATCTATACTTCCCTGGCAAGGGGTAATCTTTTAAGAGAGGCAAAGTAAGTTTCTTTGAAGTGAATAGCTGATATCCTGAATCTAATTACCTTTACTATAAGGTATTTAACTGATAGATGGTATTGATCATAACATTAGATAAACTTGCCTCTTCTTCATTTAAGGTACATCATTGCATTTAAAGGTGATTATGTCACATTCCTGTTGCTGCTGTTAGCAAATTAGCAGAAATTTAGTGGCTTAAAACAACATATATTCACTCCTGCAATTCTGGAGGTCAGACACTCAAAATCAGTTTCACTGGGCTGGGGTCAAGGTGTCGGCAGGGCTGACTTCCTCCGGAGGCTCCAGGGAAAATCTGTTTCCTTGTGTTTTTCAGCTTCTAGCGGTCCCCTCTGTGCCTTCGCTTGTGGCTACTTCCTCCATCTTGAAAGCATATTGCTTCCATCTCTGCTTCCATCCTCCCATCGCCATCTTCTCTGCCTCTGCCTCTTCCTGTGACCCTCTTGTTAGTCCTGTTGTGACTATATTGGGCCCACGTGGATAATCCAGCTTGATCTCCCCATTTCAAGATCCTCAGCTTAATCACCTCTGTGAAGTTCACTTTACCATGTAAGGTAACGTTCACAAATGCCAGAGATTAGGATGTAAACATACCTGGATGCCATTATTCACCCTAAAACAGTAACGAATGTGAAAAGCCGGTAGAACATGCCTGTTACGCATTCTTTCCTCTTTTGCTTCCTGAGCCAAATTATCCCCCAACAAATGATATAATTAGTTTCATTTTGCAATTAGTGTTCACAAATCTTACGCACTAAAATTATATGGAGGTTTGAAGTGGAAATATGTGTCATTTAGGAAACATTTTGCTTTTGCCTAGTTAGCCAGTTAAATTAACCAGCATGAAAAGGTGTTTGTTAAAGGAAAATCTGAGTTCTATCAATATCCAAAAAGTAGGATTTAATTTGGGTTATTTTAAAAGTATGAAATATTTTACTTCTAGGTTTTTGAAATCTTAAGTAAGTAAAATAGTGATCAAGTAAGAGGAGCTCTTACCACCTGACATTTGCCACAGTTGGCTCTGTTTGCACAGAACTTTGAAAAGACTATACACTTTAGATAAAGGCTAATAGATTGAATATGAGTACTGTATTTAGTTTTGGTCCATATTAAAATTCTATCAGAACAACAGTGAAGGCATAAACCTACAAGGACAAAGAAAATAGAGAAGACAAGCAATACAATTTTGCAAGGTGGAAAATTAATGGGTGAATCATAAAGCAGATCCAAAATGAATGAATCTGGATTTACAGGGTGCCTAAAGTAATAATGGTTATCCAAACCTGAATCTCTCCACATGTTCCCCAAAAGGAAAGTACAGATAGGCAAGAACAAATACAACCTCAAAAACCCCATGGCTTCAAGATATCCAGAAGACAGATAACACTACAAACTTTAAATTAGCTAAAAATAGAAATATAAAAGAAAAATTCCAGCAGAGCTCTCTCTTAAGTTTCTATAGAGTAAGCCTCTGTGGAGAGCAAGGAGAGCCCAGAAAAATTGAGAGAGAGTAAGTGAACAACAGAGGACCTAAGACTGAGCTAAAAAGAAAGCCCATCCTAAGTGCAAAAATATTGAAAAGGGGTTTGAGTGGCTCAGAGCACCGTACATCAAAAAAATGGATTTGGTTGAGGGATATGAGGTGACAATCTCAGAGGGCATTGCTTCTTGAGAAAAGTGTGAACTTGCAGTCCCTCTGAAGACTGGATGGTGAAGGAGTAAAAAAAAAGAATGGGGGAAATTTCAGATTTAGGATCCTGCAAGCCAAGGAGAAACAAAAATATTGAAAGACATGTAATCCTACTCTTGACCGCCACCACCACAAAACAAAAATCAAAAAAAATTATGGTCCATTATCTGTCATGAACAAAGACACAGAAATCTTTAAGAGAATATTAGATCAATTCTAGCAGTGTGTAAAAAGGATCATGCATCCAACATCCATTTATGATAAAAACCCTCAATAAAATGGGTATAGAAGGAAAGTGCCTCAACATAATGAAGGCCGTATATGACAAACCCACAGCCAACATCATACTCAACGGACAAAAACTGAAAGCCATCCCTCTGAGAACAGGAACAAGACAAGGGTGTCCACTCTCACCACTCTTATTCAACATAGTACTGGAGGTGTTGGCTAGAGCAATTCGGCAGGAAAAAGAAAGAAAAGAAATCCAAATAGACAATGAAGAAGTGAAACTCACTGTTTGCAGACGACATGATCTTACATATAGAAAACCCCAAAGAATCCATAGGAAAACTATTAGAAATAATAAACAGCTACAGCAAAGTTGTAGGGTATAAAATCAACATACATAAATCAGTAGCATTTCTATATGCTAACAATGAACTAACAGAAAAAGAACTCAAGAACTCAATCCCATTCACAATCGCAACAAAAAGAATAAAATACCTTGGGATCTATACAACGAAAACGATAAGACTTTCCTGAAAGAAATTGATGACGACGTAAAGAGATGGAAAGACATTCCATGCACATGGATTGGAAGAATAAACATAGTTAAAATGTCCATACTACCTAAAGCAATCTACAGATTCAATGCTATCCCAATCAGAACCCCAATGACATTCTTTACAGAAATTGAACAAAAAATCCTAAAATTCATATGGGGCAACGAAAGACCCCGAATTGGTCAAGCAATCCTGAGAAAGAAGAACAAAGCTGAAGTCATCACAATCCCTGATTTCAAAACATACTACAAAGCTACAGTAATCAAAACAGCATGGTACTGGTACGAAAACAGGTGCACAGATCAATGGAATAGAATTGAAAGCCCCGAAATAAAACCACACATCTATGGACAGCTAATCTTTGATAAAGGAGCTGAGGGCCTACAATGGAGGCCCTGTATCTCCCACTCTTCAACAAATGGTGCTGGGAAAACTGGACAGCCACATGTAAAAGAATGAAAATTGACCCTTCTTTTTCACC